ACTTGACTTGACTTGGCCATGAATTGATTGTGTTCAAATGTTTCTGCCAGTGGGGCGCCATTTCCCCTCGTCATTTCTCGGGCACGGCCATGTCTTCGATTTGCTCCCGTCGTCGCACCCCGTCGCGGGCCGTCCATTAGCACATCAGGATTCAGCCTCATCAGAGCCATCACAGGTCGACGCCGGCGAACTACCTGCCGCCCTGCCTCATCTCGTACATGTACATGGATGGGGTCCCAATCGACCGGCTCCGGCCATGATTCGACGCGTCCTCGACTCCTCGTCACCGGGAACCCTGCGCCACACCTGATGCCGGCGCAAATGACGCAAGAGAGCAAACTGCCCGCCCTCGGCTGCGACGACATCACACCAATGTCTCCAAGGCCACGTCCGCCGGGAGACGTTCAAATTGCTTTTTGCTTCCGAGCGCACCGGGCCTGGCAAACTTGGTCCAATTTGTCATGACTGTCAGCCGTCAGCCGTTTTCTCCCTCCGAGACTTTGTCCCAGACTCGTATGTCCCCCCTCTGCCCGTGTGTCCGACTGTCTTCTCAACCATGACGCCTTTATTCCCATCCACCCCAAAAGGCACGTCTCTGGACCACGAATGACTTGCAGCCGTGCAGTACAGACCCTTTGCAGCACCACCTCGACAGGTATGCAGGTCTGACGCCCCGTGGAGAGTGGGCATCGAGCCCATGTCTCACACAATCAAGCTGCCGTGTTAATGCTACACGCCAGGTGTTTGCGGACGCCCAACCCAGTGTGCAGTGTTCCATGTTGCCCACGGACAAGCTCGACAGACACGAAAGCTACCGGACATATATAGACCTATAACACACCCCAGGCTGGATTGACCGTGTCCGCCCGCCGCCGGCACAAGACAACAGCGAGGACGCGAGGAAAAGTCGGTCAAGGACAGATGACATGGAGCTAATGACATGACCTGGCTGGAGTTACCCACTGCGCCGGGACAGGCGGTGATATTCTAGACTTTTGACCTGACTCGGCTCTCCATTCTTGGGCCGGCCTCGCGACGAGGCAAATCCGCAACAGAGTCGGAAGGATCGTGGGCTAATGCAAGGACGATTGACCGACATTTCTGCAGGCCAAGGCACCAGCCAGGACCGTAACAAGCGCGGGAAGCGCGTCCGTCACGGCCAGCACCTGCGAAACCACGCGCCCGGCCTCGCTGTCTCATTGTAATACCAGACTGTGTTGCGCCGCCCTGTGCGACACCTTCATCTACATGTATCTGCCGTCAGCCGCCCCGCGCGGCGACAATGCGACGACAATGCCCGTGTTTGGCGTTGCCGTGCTGGGACGATCCCATGCTGCAGAGACACGAGGTGCCCGTCGAGCTGCCGTGTATATGCACGGGGTGCATTCCCGCGGTGCGTCTGGGCTGCCCGCCGACGTCGTGTAACAGAATGTCTTGCGAGCTTCAGCAGCCAGACCCCGTGCCGTCATGGGCGCACCAGCGAGCTACCAGACATGGCCGGGCTTGCAGGAGACGCACGCCCTACATATATGCAATCGACTCGTTCGCTGCCGGCATTTGGGCGAGGCGCATGGTGCGACGCGGAGGGCAGGAGCCTCGTGCAAACATACATGTAGGCTGTCAGCTCTGCCTGCAGCAGGACGCTGTGCGACGCTGCGGCGCGGGAACATGCAATCTCGTCCGTTGTGTGACAGTGGCCATGGGGCAGACGGACGCATGCTGGGTTGCATGGTGAATCTGGACATGGACGTATTTTGGCCCGTGTAACCGCACTTTTCAGCTGCCATGGCTGCGCGGCGTGCGAATAGTGACATGGACTGGAGGATTCCTCACATGTGCGGTGCGCCGAATGCCCAGGACAAGACGGCCAGTAGTCGATCGATCTGGGGTAATGTGCCTATTATGGACGGCATCGATGCAATGGCTTGTTGCGGGTAGAGAGGGGAAATACATGCTGGGATACGGAGCCGTGGTCATGATGGCCCTACGTTTGTCTAACAGGTAGAGACGGCAATGTCTTGAGTTGGTGCCATTGCCTCTCTTGCTTATGCCTTGCTTCATTGTCGGTGCTGCTTGCTTACATTATGCCGCCCAAGTAGGACAAGACATGTCGTTTCATGTCGTATGATGAGGATAAATAAAACATGAAGGATTGTGTGTATGAGTACTAGAAAGTATCCTGCAACGTCTGTCAAGTTGTTGTCGCGCGCATCTTGTACGCCGACATGCTGCAGTCGTCATGTCCACGGTCCATTTGAATGCTACAGAACCTCCCACCATGAACACGAACAATCATTTCTAGCCCTTTAATACGTCGGACGTGGAACAAGTCACATGGCCTCGGCTGCCGTTGGTCGAGGGCCGTTGAGATTGTATTCCCGCTGGGCGTTTCGTCGGCACTGCCACGATAAACAATGTTGGCATGCCCGACACGGAGTTAGTCTGCGCCATGGCTTCGTATATAACAAGTCGAGTCACGGTCCGTAAAGCGACCTCTCCCATCGACAGCGGCAACGTTCCCTCGGCTCAGCCGGCTTCGCTGCTTGTCCGCCAATACATGTACATCTGGTACGCTCTGGCCACCCCTTGCTGCGATGCTCATCACGATGGGCCACCGTGTCCAAGTGCACATGCACCAGACCATTTTGCATCGCCGCAGCGTGCTCCATCAGCCCAACCGCCAGCCGGATTCCTCCATGTCTCTTCTTCAGCACCAGGCTGTGAAGCGTGGCATCCCGCACGCAGCCCCCGGCATTTGGCTGCTCCATGCCGAAGCCGTGCCACCACACCATGCGGACGGCTCCCGTCTCGAAAATGCTGCTGCACGCCGCGTTGCTAATAATAGGCCGTCGCCCTACCGGGTTTGAGGCCCATGCCACGGCAAAACAATCGTCTTGGCCCCGTTCGTCCGACGGCGAGCCAGGGTCTCACCCCGAAACGCAGTCCGGCCCTCGCCCTCACGCCCTGCCGCCCCGTTGCCCGACAGCAAAAAGGTGCATGGTGAGAAACGTACGCTCGCCGCTCCTTGTGCTCTGATTAATATGAGCGCACGGCAAGGTCCCCGCCATTTGCCGCGTGGTCCTGTCTTTCCTCTCCCTGGCGCTGCTGCATGTCTAATACGGCCGCTGTCCCGTCTCCCACGCAGGAATGCTCACCCGCAAGGGGAGACGTCAATAGTACCAGACACCAGGCGCATTTAATTCGTCTGCTGCGCAAACATAACCCTGCGCTCCGGTCCGTGGGCCGAAGTAAAACATTTTGCCGGCATGGCATGATGCAAAACATGGGCAGCGTTTGACGCCCGTTGTCGTCTTGTCTTGCACGCTCTACCCCGGGGAAATTATCCGCGTCGGAACCGCAGCATTCTTGGCGACATGGTGTACAAGGCTGCCCCGTGTTTCTGAAACAGTTGGCAGATTTGATGCTTCATAGTCGACACTTGGTTCTTGTTTGCGCATGCCGCCGCTCGTGCGATTGCCCCTGAAAGCAGGGTGAGCGTCTTGAGAAACGTCCAAGTCGACGACCTCGCTCCACGGCGAGTTATGGGAATCTACTGCTCCAGCAATACGGAGAACTCGACGCGAGGAACAAAAGAGACCTTGCTTGTCGCCGGCATCATCACCAAGCAGCCGCCTCCCCGACTCTCCAGAACAGAGATGCCGCCAAGACATTTGTTCTGCACCACGCTGGTGTCTAGAATGCAGACACGCCGAAGCCAAAACCCTTGCGTCTCGCCCGCACAACCAAGACCAAGGGGCACGACGTCTCCGCAGCCTCCAGACATGAAGAGCACGTGTGCCTGTTGTGCATACTCGCGGCACGTTTTGTTTCTCTCAAATTTGGGTGAAACACGCACGCTTCTGCCGGGGGCGGCTCACACTCGAGCATGGCTTGTCTCGTGCTCATTACTCGCCGTGGCGGTCCGAGACGAAAGCAACGTGTCTGCGTGGGATTTCCGCTGCTCCCGTGCATGAACTACATGCCCACGGGGGCATCCTTGCCGTCTTGCATCCAGGTCGAGACGTGAAGCTTTGCTATCGAGACATTTCGTGGCGGAATACCACGCCGTTCCTGACACGGCGACTGAGCCTTGATACTGCAAGTTGTCTTGGACTCGCTGTCAAGCACCCTGATTCACGTCCCGTGTCCAGGGGCCGAATGGGCTATATTTGGCAGAACCAGAGCCCAGTTGGCCACTCGGCCGTCGGGGATTCGTCCGCCTTGGACACTGTCGGTAAACCAGTCGAGATGATGACTCTGGTTGAAATACGCCATGCAGCATACATGCTTGGCAAGGCCGCAGAGCTTGTGCGTACATGGCGGAGATGACTGTGTCCTGCCGTCGTCGCAACCTCGTGCATGTCCCGCTCAACAAGGCCGTAAGCATGCCGTTGCAGGCGTGCCCAGAACATTCCATCGAATATGTCCACGCGGGTGCCTCGGAGACATCAACGGCCCGCAGCTCATGAGGGCAAGAGGAAAGACGTGTCTTAGGCTTCGTTTGCGTCTCGTCGCGCGCCACGTGCTGCGAAAACAAGAATAGGGAGATGTTTAAACTTCAGACGCTTGACCAGGGACGCTCTCCGTCCTTTGACGCTGATTGGCTTCGCCGCACCAGAGCATGCTGCCACATGGCGTGATGGCGACGACGACAAGAACAACTAGTCAAGCTGGTAATATGTGTCGGCAACACTGAATGTCATCATGGGCTACCCTCAGCCGCGAAAATTCCTGGTTTCAATGCTCGTCAGAGCTTGCTGCCAACACGACCAAATGATGGATCTCGGCCCACGATTATGTCTGGTCAACTATTATGGATCCGGGGCCGGTTCGGGAATTCTCAATAAAGTCGGGTCAAGGTTGCACAGCGGATCATGCGGCCGCTCCCGCTCACGTAAACGTTTATGCGAGACCCGGCCAAAACGACGTCAACTCGAGTGAAAATCCGAGTCGCGGCAACGTCTCCCTCTCACCAACCATCAACAACCATCGCCGACATCATGCTCCTTGATGTTCTGCAGAACCTGCGGGCTGCCCTGACACCGTCGGCTGTTCTTGGCGGCCTGGCCGTCCTGCTGCTCCTCCTCGGTTCCGCGGCCGCCGGCGTCGTATGCACCGGGCGCAACTACGCCCTTGGCCGGGAATTGCGACAGCTCAGACGCATCGGCGTCGCGCCGGGCCAAAGCAACATGCGCGACCAGTACGACGCCCAGTATGACCTGCCGCCGGGAGCCAGCGCCAGCCGTCCCATCCGCATCAAGGCCATCTACATCCACCCCGTCAAGTCGTTTGCGCCCATCGAGGTGGATCGCGCCCTGCTCACCAAGTCTGGCTTCATGCATGATCGATGCTTCGCCATAGCCGCCGAGGTGGTCGAGCCCGATGTCGACACTGGCGCCCGGAAGACGTTTTGGCGGTTTATAAGCCAGCGCACCAAGCCGGCCATGTCTCTCGTCAAGACGGAGCTCTGGCTACCGCACCCGGGCAGCGACCCCAACCACGAGCTGGTGCGCTCGGGAGGATGCGTCGTCGTCCGGTTTCCCGACCCCGAACCTCCGTCCTGGCTGCGCTGGCTCGAGGCCCTTCTCTACACGTGGAATCCGGCCACGGCGCCCGACGTCTGCTTCATTGCTCCCTTGAACCTGCCCACCCATCATGTGGACAAGGTGCCCTTGCGGCCGTTTGTCATCCACGGCCGCACGGCGCAAGGCATCGACATGGGCGTCGTGCCCTCTGTCGCGGCAGCGCTTCCCAAGCTGAAGAAGTTTCTCAAGATGGCAGACTCGACCCCCTTCACCCTCTTCAAGTGCACGCCCGACACGCTGGTCCGCACGACAAGGAACCTCGCGCCCCTCAAGTACATTGGCTCTCCCGCCGTCCACGGCTACACCGACCAACAGCCCGTCAACGTGGCCAGCCTGTCGTCGGTCCATGACTTCGCCCGCCTGCTCCCCAGGGAGAACCAGCCTCTGAATGCGCTGCGCTTCCGGGCCAACGTCTGGATCACGGGGGCGCCGGCCTACGACGAGGAGACCTGGAAGCGCTGCCGTATTGTGCCGAGGAGTGCCGGTGGTCCCGATGCGCCCCGGCGCGCGCGTGTAGATGCAGTCCTGTGCGTCGTGTGCCGCACGTCGAGGTGCACGATGCCCAATGTCGACCCGGGCAGGGGCGTCTTTGATACCGACGAGCCCGCTGCGGACAAGAAAAGGGGCAGGCCGCAGCCGAGCACGGCGCTGATTCAGCACCGCACAGTCGAGGCTGGGAACAATGCTGCCATGGGATACATGGGCATGCACTGTGTGCCCGAGGACCGCAGCTTGCACGAGGCCCAGGAGCAGAATGCAGGGCTGTATGTTGGCGTCGGCGATGAGATTCAGGTCTTGGACCGAGGGGAGCACTTGTACGGGTCGACGGGGGATGACTACTAAGATGCCGTGGGGAGCTTTGGAGACGTACAGATGGTAGTAGACTGATTTGTATTTTTGGATGATGCTGGACCATGCATTGCAATTATCGTCAATAGCCCTACACCTTGGATATGGCGTCGTTTTGCGCATCTTGGCTACTAACATGGAAACGAATGTTGCAGGCATCCGTCTAATATTTGTATCCATATTATTTCAAATTTCCTTTTAAGCCGTGGACATATCTTGCGTCCGGATTCTATTTGAATTTATTTATGTGACAAGGGCTTGACTAAGGGCTTGGAGCAAAAGGGCTCAATTCAATAATAATCTCGTAGGATGTCAGAGGTCCCGAGTTACTAAAAGGAAGGAAGGGAACAGTGACCGCTGTATATACATGAAAGGAACGCCCGGGCCTAAGGCTCTTACCTGACGTGTTTAAGCTGTGTAACTAATAAGTCTCGTATCAGCGAAGCCCCTTTACTGGGTTTCACCATTTGTTGGGCCTTTTCCGTGTAACAATATATATGTCAGTCACGATTTACTCGTCGCCCCTGTGGTGGTGAGGGTTAGTTGTTGAGTTGGCAGAAGTGAAGACGCACACCGAGATTAGCTCTCTTTCACTGAAAAAAAGAGATATGCAACGGTAATAACTAGTTATTGAATTGCAACGCTGGTCAAATTACAACTTATAGACGACGTCAATAAGAGTACGCGACAGTACTATTAGCAATATCCCGACGCCGACGTCAACACTTGACCATAATTGTAGCCCGAACTCATGACGTGAATACATACTTGTCCCTCCTTCCTCTTGAATTTTATTGGCTTTGATAGCCGAATATTGCTGAAATAATCAAGAACCTCGTTATAAGGGCTTGCGGAATAAGGTTTCTTGGTTCTCCATTGCTATTGGGAATCCGTAGCTGAGCTCGTTTAGCGGCTTCATACGATCACTTCTCTCTAAAAAAAAAAAGTATTGGAAGCTCTACTTTCTCTTTGGCCTTTTTGGCCGTTTCTATCCTGCTACCCTGAAACCAAGCCGGTAATTTTGACAAGGGCTCAATAGACGGCTTGGAGCAATTTGGCTTGATTCAGCTAATAACAGTCTTTGGTATCAAAGGTCCTTGGTTTTCCTTGAGGCCTCGTTGACCAAAGACCTCTTTAAATACAAGAAGTCAGTGAGGGACTTTTCCCCAGGCCCCGTGGCCGTAGCCCTCGTGTAACCGTGGGACATCGGGCCATTTCCGTGTAATAAATTTCATGACCCCTTCGTTTGACTCATCTCACGAGGCTACGATCACGATACCTCAGAGCTGAAGGGCTAACCGCTTTGTATAAGAGTCTTCTGCCCCAGGGACCTTGGAAGGAACCCAGGAAGCACCTTGAATACCAAAAGCTCAAAGGCTGTTGGTCGATGAATTGAACCACGCTATTCCAAGCCCTCTACGGAGCCCTTGTCAAAAATTGACAAGGTATTGCATTCAAATGGCAAAGATTGATGTATTACCCAAGCACTTGATTCTGTTATAATCCTTATGTCGTTTAAAATCAATTAAAGTTATGTGAAGAAAATTCATTTTCTCGCGCAATAGTTAATCACTGAAGGACACATGAGAGCTAAAACAAAGTTACGCAGCTGCTTTCGACCATGACAAATGGGATCTCCCGGCGAGGGCTCATCCGCTGATCTCTCGAGGATAATCAAAAAAACGTATCATCAGTTTCTCTAGAGGTTATTCAAGAACTGCGGAGAATTTCTTTCCGAAACTCTTATCTGCATGTCATCTTGCGAATAGTCGCATCAAGCGTCGTACTTGATGTTGTTTTACAAAGAGTAGGCAAAATTGACAGTCTAACCAGAGACACTTGGCACTAACTTCGGACAATTTATACGCAACCTAAAAGGGTAGACCTTGTACCAATAAGATGTAACTGTTTAATACGCGATACAGACTCATTACTCTGAAAGCTGGCTATAAATGCCGATAGCAAATGAGATGTAGGTTAATATATCAAAACTAATATATAAACAGCACAACAGGCAGTGTGGAGGCTTATCAAATATCATTTTTCCCGTAAGGCGCAGGTTTAGAATAGTCTTTAAGTCTAGGGACGGCTTGTTGCTCGCGTCATCAGTACTCGGCATTTTACAATCAAGGACTGTACTTTCCATTAAAATTTAGCCTATGCTACCGCGTCTGAACCGATCTGCTCACTAGTGTGACATATGAAGGCGGATGAAATTGGGGCGGAGTGGTCTCTGACGATGCCGTTCTAGTGCCATTGGCCGGCTTGATATGGCGGGCAAGATGAATAACTTTAGATGCAAAGTGCATTCAGCAAAAACGCTACCACCGAGACGGCGGAATGTTAAATCCATGCATTCTGTACTGTGCGAGAGAAGGAATGGATAATGAATACCATGTCAGGACACAGATCTGAAACCAATATTCGCTGGCAGCTTAATACACCAACGCATGAATAGTTTGATAAAACGTCCTCTTGTTCGGCGTTGGTCGAGCAGGAGTCGTACGCGTGCTGCTGCTGAAGCAACCCCATGTCACAGGCAAATATCGCGCCACACAAAGGTTGAACGAGACAGTAAATTCATTTCCCATTTGGCAGCCCCTTTTACCACCTGTACATGTTACATGGAGAACATTGCACAAACTGAATGCCTTGATCGGCGTGGCCTTTGGCAAGTAAAAGAGGTACCATGTAACTGTCGAGTATACTTCCAAACCGGGAAATTTAAATTCCTTGGCGGCCATCACAAAGCTTCAGCAGTTTTAATCCGCGTTCCCATTCTTCCTCCTGTTCTGAAACATTAATTCTAATAATCTAGAACTTTCTTAGTGGACTGGCACTGGGACCTTGTCCGTCGCGAGCTTACTCACAAAATACAACCGGTGTTTTGTACGTCACTCGGCTGCAATACAAGACACAGAAAGGGGATTCTTTAGCCAAAGGCTATACACTTATACGCGGCATTGGCGCCACGCCAACTGCCCATGGCGTCCCATCTCCATGTATAAGAGCCGGACACTGACCGGGCTCGTATTTCATCTTTGTTTTTTTAGAAATCACACCCCTGAGCTCCCAGTAGACGACGACGACAACAACTCGACCTGGCGATGGGTTTGAAAGAGCGCTTTGTGACCGTGACCAGGTCGTGGTCCGCTACCGACGAAGACGCCGCAGAAGCCTCTCCGCCCCGAAACGAGCGGCGCTTCCGAAAACAACACCGATGGGATCCGTTCCTCGACAACGAGAGGCTCGAAACGAGCACCGACAACGCCGAGGGTGCTCCCGCCGTCAACGAAGCGGTCCAAGATGACTCGCCGTATCCCGAAGTTCGCGCCTCGGTACGTCGCAACCCCGAGCAATATTTCCGCGAGCCTCGTCAGCAACACTTACCCAGCCCGTGTTCGCGTCGTAGGTTCCTCCCACCGACGATCCCGACATGCCCGTCAACACCATCCGCGCCTGGTTCCTGGGTGTCGTCCTCTGCACCGTCATCGCGGCGTGCAACGTCCTCCTCTCCCTCCGCCGCCAGTCGACGTCCATTTCGCCCACAGTCGTCCAACTAGTTGCGTACCCGTAAGTCCAAGGCCCGCCCCCCGAGTCCCGTCGACGAGAGAGCAAGAACCTGACGGCGAGTGCGTGTCCAAAGAATGGGCGTCGGCCTGGCCAAGGTCCTGCCCACCACCGTGTACCGCGTCTCCGGCCACGAGTTCACCCTGAATCCCGGCCCGTTCAACGTCAAGGAGCACACCATCGTCACCATGATGACGGCCGCCGGCTCGTCCATCAGCTACGCCATCGAGATTCTCCTCGCCCAGGAAGTCTTTTACAACCAGCACTTCAAATGGGGATTCCAGCTGCTCCTGATGGTGTCCACGCAGGCCATGGGCTTTGGCGTCGCCGGCATCGCGCGGCGCTTCCTCGTCTGGCCGTCCGCCATGGTCTGGCCCGCGAACCTGGTGACCTGCACCGTCATGCATGCCCTGCATACGCATGTGCCCGCCGACCCGGCAGCCACCAGCGGCTGGAAGATGGGCCGTTATAGCTTCTTCCTGGTCGTCGCCCTGGCCTGCTTTGCCTGGACGTGGGTTCCCCAGGTCTTTGCCCAGTTCCTGCAGTACTTTGCGTTTGCGTGCTGGATCGCGCCCAGGAACGTCGTCGTCAACCAGGTCTTTGGTGCCTTTACCGGCCTGGGAATCGTCCCCGTCACGTTCGACTGGCTCACCGTCTCGTCGTGGCTGGGCAGCCCCCTCGAGTCCCCTGCCTTTGCCATCTTCAACGTTGCGTTTGGTCTCTTTATTTGCCTGGTCGGGGCCGCGGGCCTCGTCTGGGCTGGCCCGGATTACTACCGCTATCTTCCCATTTCGTGAGTGTCTCGTCGGAGGACGACCCCCGGGCCGCAGACGCCGTGAAGCTAACCAGGTCTTGTCGTCAGTGCCAACAGCAACTTTGACCGCTATGCCGGCGTGTACAACACGAGCCGCATCCTAAACGCCAACTTTACCATCAACGAGGCGGCATACCATGAGTATTCGCCGATTCTCCTCGGGGCAAACTTTTCTCTCTCGTACGGCATGGGCTTCGCCGGCCTCATCTCCACCATTGTCCACGTCGTGGTTTTCTACGGCGGCGACATCTGGAGCCGTGTCAAGGATCCCCAATACGACGAACCCGACGTTCATCTCCGGCTCATGCGAAGATACAAGGAAGCACCGCAGTGGTGGTTCGCCGCCATCTTTTCCATATCCTTTGCTTTTGGCATGATTGCCTCGCAGGCCTGGCAAACGCATCTGCCGTGGTGGGCCTACATTGTTTGCATCATCATCGGCGCCGCCCTCTTCATCCCCATTGGCATGGTGCAGGCCATTACCAACCAGCAGACCGGCCTCAACGTCGTCACAGAAATGATCTTTGGGTACATGTGAGTTTCCAGCAAACCCCTTCCCCCCTTTTCCCGAGAGCACACCCGCTCACCTCGCGGCAGGCTGCCCGGTCGCCCCGTGGCCATGATGCTCTTCAAGTCCTGGGGCTACATGCTGTCAGCCAACGGCCTCGACTACATCTCCAACATGAAAATCGGCCACTACATGAAGGTGCCCCCCCGGAGCATGTTCGCTGCCCAGGCCTTTGCCGTCGTCTGGCTCGCCGTCGTCCAGACGTGCACGTACAACTTCCTGCTCGGCAACATCGAGGACATCTGCACCAAGGACCAGGCCCAGGGCCTGACGTGCCCCAACGCGCGCACCTTTTACAACTCGAGCGTCATTTGGGGCGTCATTGGTCCCAAGCGCGTCTTTGGCCTCGGCGGCATCTACTCCTGGATCAACTGGTTCTGGCTCATCGGCGCCGCCCTGCCCGTCATCCAGTACCTTGTTGCTCGTAGATATCCTCGCAGCTTTGTGCGATTTATTGTCTGGCCGGCCGTCTTCAGCGCCAGCAGCATCGTCCCTCCCGCCACCCTCTATTTCCTTACTCCCTGGGTCATTGTCGGTCTCTTTTTCAACTGGTATATTCGACGCAGATACTTTGGCTGGTGGACGCAGTATACCTATGTTCTCTCCGGTGCGCTCGACATTGGCTCGCGCATCTGTGTTGTCATAATTGCCCTTGCGCTTGGCTTGGGCGACATCCCCGACTTGGAGTGGTGGGGTAACACGGTTCCTTTTGACACGTTGGACTTTGAAGGAACGGCCGTGACCAAGGCGTTTGTCAAGAATATCACCGAGCCTCTTGGTCCATCTGTTTGGTAGATGTCGCGGGGAAGTCATTGAGTAAGGCTTCGCAGCCATGCCGCATGGAAGGCCAGTTGTAATATAATAGCGTGTATAGAAACTATAGAGATTTTCAGCATGCGTGTTGACAAAGTGGTTGGGCCTGCCCTGTAAAATAATGAATTCAGTCCAAATTTTGCCTTGTTTGCTGACGCCAGTTTAAAACTTCTCAACGTCAAAGACGTCCAAATCATGTGCTCTGAGAAAACTTGGAAAGAAAAGACTAACATTTCGTCATATGCAAAGTCCAGTTTTATTTATTGTCAATCACAATCGTCAAGCCCAAACGCCAACGCAACACAACTTAATATATATCCTGCCCGCTGTGTCATCATGATCAGAAACCTACCATCGTCTCGTGCCACTTTTTCCATCTCCAAGGACTATACATCACCTTCTTCCACGGCCACTGCCGCCGGGCATCCCAGGCATCCCAGGCATCCCACCTCCCATCCCCATCTGTCTCATCATCGCCTGCATATCCATCCCGCCGGGCATGCCGCCTCCTCCACCTAGCATCTTCATCAGTGATCCCATGTCAGGCATACCGCCTGCGCCGCCAGCGCCGCCCATGCTCTGGAGTCGCTTCTGCATTGCAGCCATCTGCTGGGCTTTGTTGCCGCCGCCCATGGCTTGCTGCGCGCGCTGCATGTTCCTCATGTTGCCGCCCATCTTCTTGGCCATGCCGGCCATCATGCGCTGCTGCGTAAGAAGATCTTCCACCTCGCGTACCGACGTTCCTGAGCCGCGAGCTATTCTGGTCATTCGTGTGGGCTGCTCAATGAGAATCTTGCCATCCGAGTCGAGTTCCTTGTCTGTCATGGAGTCGCAAATGTAAATCATGCGCTTGAGCTTGGCGCTGCCCTCTTCGTCGTCCATCCCCTGCATCATATTGCTCATGCCAGGGATCATGCCAGCCATTTTGGACAAGGGTCCCATCTTCATAATATTGGACAGCTGGTCACGGAGATCGCGGACCGTGAAGATGCCTTCCTGTATGTGCTTGATTGTGTCCTTTTGGTTGAGGTTTAGCGACTGGACGTGCTCTACTAGACCGGCCATGTCGCCCATGCCCAGCAGCTTCTGCACGAACTGCTGCGGGGCGAAGCGCTCCAGATCCAGCATGTGTTCACCGGTGCCGATGAACACGATGGGGGTGTGTGTTGCCGCCACGGCTGAAATGGCACCACCGCCGTGGGCATGGCCGTCCGTCTTGGTGATGATGATGGCTCCGAAATCGGCCGCCTCCTTGAACGCCTTGGCCTGCGACTCTGCCTGCTGACCGATCGAAGCGTCGAGCACCATGATGGTTTCGTCCGGGCGAATCGCCGTCTGGATGTCAATCATCTCTTGGAACAGGGCCGACTCCTGACGATGTCTACCCGAGGTATCAACAATAATCACATCAAACTTCTCCTTCTTGAACTGGTCCACTCCCGCGCGAGCCACGGCCGCGGGATCCGTTTCCGTGAGGGAGCCATAGTACGGAATCTTGGCCTTTGTAGCATTCTGCTTCAGCTGGTCAAACGCACCAGCTCGGAAGGTATCCGCGCACACCAGGCACGCCCGGAACCCTCTCGTTTGATAGTGTCGCGCAAGCTTGGTACACGTCGTTGTTTTACCAGCACCCTGAAGACCAACAAACATAATGACATTTGGCTTGCCCTTTTTCGGCTTGAACGGCTCGGCATGCGGGTCGACTAATTGGACGAGTTCGTCGAAGACGGCTTTTTGGATCAGGCGTTTCTTGTTGACAGCGGGCGGGAGGTCTTTGAAGTTGACTGTGCTTTTGATAGATTTTCGGAGCTGCATGACAAGCTTCACATTGACGTCGGCTTCGAGCAGGGCAGCGCAAATCTCTTTCAGCATGTTGTCGAAGGCCTAAGCTCGGTCGACAGTCAGATCAAGACGATTCACTATTGCGCCCCCATCAGAAGAGGCTTGTGGGCGGCTCACCTTCTCATCAAGATTCTGGTCCCTAGTTAGGTTGGTGACCGCCGCATTGATGCGGCGGCCGAGATCTTGAAGAACCATGGCGGCAAGAGTGTCGAGATCACTTGTCCTGGCTTAAAGTTGTGGTTGTGGCAATGTTGAACCAAGTGGCAGCTGGCATTGCTGCTTAGGTCTCTGGTGTGGAGGCGGGGCATTTTGGTGGGCTGTCGGCAAAAGCATCAATTTTTTCCCGGCGGACAGGGGGGCTACCCTGGAGCCCGCACTTTCTGGACATGATTGCAAGTATATAGACAAATCAGATTGGGATACCAAGTAAATTTCATCTAGGTAAATATGTTTTAGAAAATGAGGATCTTGCATTCCTGCTCATTTTACAAAACTGCGAAGCTGATTCTGTGTGGATTCTTTGTCGCGGCTTTCACACCAAAGGTCATTGGAATGGGTAGGTCGTATTTGGCAACATGTACTACGCATGGAGGTCAATGTCATTCATCCCTCCGGGCCATCGATGTTATGACCTTTCCGGACAACTATCATTACGGAATTTGCGCTGCCCTGTGTTCAATGTTGTTGCGACTTACGTGACTACGGAGATAAAACTGCTACGTGGGCCGTTGCCTCACTTCCAATTGTCAGCTGCAAGTTCCAAGTTTCAAACCACTGCTTTCAAAACTCCAACCCAACCGAGACAGGATCTAGCAAAGGCACTCACCCGGTTTTTATGCAGATACACACAGCCGCATCCTCACAACACCTTCCCATCAACATTATACAACTTCAGAGGTTTCCCGGACCCAACCAGCTTCGCCTTATTCACCTTGCCATTCGCATCCCACGCAAAATCCACGGAATACCCTCCTCTTAACCTCAGCCCCTTCACGTTACCATCGCCCCAAGCCGCAGGAATCGCTGGCCCCAAAACCACTGTCCTATCTCCCGTCTCTCCATGCTTCTGCGGCATATCAACAACCAACATACTCAACATGGCACCGGCCAATCCGAAATTCGCATCAATCTGGAACGGCGCACTCAAGGCGTTATACATGCTGAGCCCGTTACTCGCAAAATTCATATCAATTGCGTAACGCAGCTCATAGTACGCTTCGGCTGTGTTATTCAGCCTCGCCCAGCACGCCGCGCGCCATACCTTTTCCCAGCCCGAATTGGCGTCGGCTGCATTTCCGGGACCGCGGGACTTGAGAGTCTCCGCAACAGCCTTTTGTATGGTGCTATTGGTGTAGCCTCCTTGAAAAGAGGAGATAGAGTATCCGGGATACCAGCCTACGAGATGAGATAAGTGGCGATGGGTGTTCTTGGTGTCGAAACCATACGAGTCGGGAACTTTCCATTCCTTGATGCCGCCCCAGGTGGTGAAGTGCAGACCCTTGTCCAGCGACGCGAGTTTGGAGGCTACGTCGCGCTTGAAGACTGTGTCTGTCTCCGATACGAATTCGCCAGAGGCCAGAACCGCTTCAAAGACTTGGTGGATAGCCTGTTGAAAATGTGCGCAGCCAAAGGTTGTCGGGCCATGCTCGGGGCTATTGCACGGGTTGACGACCAAGGTGCCGTCTTTGAAGAAGGCATCATGTTGAAGTTGAGAGAGCCAGAATTTGGCTACGCCTTTAAGAAGCGGATATCCTTGTGTTTTAAGCCATGATACGTCACGGCTGTACTCAAAGTTGTCCCAGACATGTTGCATCATCCATGCCGCCGATGCCGGGTCTAATTCGTTGTTAGTAACGAACGCAGGGACGACGTGACTTGTTTGAATTGCCTACAGTTTGCCCAAATTGCTTCATCCTTCATGGCGGTATGCCCAAAAATATTCATCTCGTGGTGCGTTACCCATCCCGACGCATTATACAGCAGCTTTGCCGTCTCTATTCCCCGCGGCACCCACGTGTCTTGCATATAATTCCACAATGCAGGTTGCGTCTTTGTCAGCCCCGTTTGGTCCGCGGCCCAGTAGTTCATTTGAAGGTTAATATTGGCATGGTAGTCCGCACTCCAAGCGGGGGAAAGCTGCTCAGCCCAACGACCTTGCAAGTTGGCGGGGAGTGAGTTGTCTCGCGAAGATGCGATGAGCAGGTAGCGAGCGTAGTCGAACAGAAGCCCTTCGACAAAAGGGTCTCCCTTTCCGTCTACCGAGTACTGAGAAATGATTGATGCCGTGTCCTTCTTAACGGATCCGTTTGGATCCGGAAGATTGAGAGTAAACGTGCCAAAAAGTTCAGCATAATCGGATACATGTTGCGATAGCATGTCCTCGTAGGTTGTCTTGGCTGCCTTTAACACCGCAGCTTCTACACCGGGACCGGGGTCCTCTCCTTTAAAGCTGTAGTTGTTTTGCGCGTTGCCTTTCTTCTGGTCATAATTTGTGTTGGCGCTGAAGACGATTGTCAACGAGTTGCTGCCTCCAGAGGGTGTAATAGTCAGGGTCCCATCATCGGAGCAAGACGTATTTGCCCCGTTACCTCCTTTGGCTCTTGCTTCGTATCTCATTCCGGCAGGGGGACCAGCCCTTGTCGTACCGCTGAGGCGCGCGAATTCATTACTACATGACGACTTTGCCAGAATTGTGTCCACAAGCAGGTCTTCAAACTTGACTGTTGTTTTAGGCACAGTACCAGTTGACGCTATATTGAAAAAACAGGCCTGTGCTGGATACGAGCAAAACAAGTTGGTGGTATATTTCACCGAGTCAACCACGTAGGTCGTTGTGTAGAGGCCACGGTCGAGGTCCAAAGTGCGATTATAGTCGCTATACAACGTGCCATGTCCGATCGCAATACTTATGTTTCCCAAGGCGCGATACGAGCCGTAATGGTCTCCGCTCCCGTAAAGGGCAGTTACGTCTGGTATAAGTTAGTATTACTGAAGATGCTAGTCTCTGTGGTGACCCTCACTGCCGGATCCTCTCTTGAATATAAAGTCGCGTATTCCTGGAAGAGCACCTGCCTTGGATGAAGGAGGATTGCCTCCTGTGTATGTCTATTTCACGTCAGCCCGTTAATCTCGATATTGGTGCAGAAACAGGCCACCAACTGAGCTTTCAAAAGGGCCCCCGCTCCATAACGAGTCCACATTCAATGCAAGCTTCTCTGAACCAGGTGGTCCGAAAGGCATTGCTGCAAAGAAGGACAAGTTAGCTTGACGACACAAGTAATGGCAGGCTATGGTGTCATACCTCCTAGTTTTCCATTGCCTACTGGATAGGTAGTCTTGAGAATAGTCTCATCACTAGACTGAGGCGCATATGTCGCTGGTTGTGTTGACCACAAAGATCGAGCAGATCCAAGAGCTGTAGCCTGCAAGAAGGCCACAGCAATGGTGTTCAAGTTGATCCAATGCATCATGACAGGCGGCTGACTAGTAAAAGGGGCATTTCCCGTTCTGCTTGTTTTGATCTATTGAGAGGTAGGCGAAATGGATCCATTATATACCGCCCTAGTTTCCAGTGGCATAAGATCTAGCAAAAATGAGCCTCCGTTCCATGCCATGAATCCCATAACAGTCAGCCAGCCCTCCTCGGTACTGTGCTGATGTGGGAAGCGGGGAAAGCACTAATGTAGTCAATGTGACTAAGGAATTGATGCCCACCGATCTGCAAAAGTAGTTAGAACCCGACGGATAATGGAGCAACATGGAGGTTTACTCCATATAAATAGGAGGAGTATGAGGCCCCGTGCAACAGCTACCATCTTATGAATCTGTCAGTGCGGCAGCCAAAACCACTGGCTAGATATGGATCCGGCGGCAGTGCTCAAAAAGGAACGAGATCATTCATTCCAATCAGTTGCTAGGTTTCTCCATATTTCGAGTAGATCACTTGATCTGGTCCAACTCGAAGTTTGCTTCTGTAGTTGGCCATTCAGGACCGACATATCCGCATTGGACTTTGCCACTAGACATTCAATAGTCGCCGTGGCGAGGCTAAAATAATATGCCATTGCATCATGTCAAAACCACAGGTAGCCCATCCACTACAGAGCCAACCCTTTGGCACCCTTTGTCCATCTGTAGAGAGATAAAGCTCTACGCCTTGCCCGATGTTCCTCCCAGTCGGTAGTACCTGTTCCTCGCACGCTGTATAGCGTGGAGCGCACCACTTTTCGAAAGTTTTTCTGCTCAAAAAAATTTAGTTCGTGATGGTGAAATAGAATAGGCAACCAAGGAAAGTACCTGAAACTCAGTGTTCAATGTAACAACACACACTTCGTGGGCTCGGATGATGTTCTCGCATGCTTGCTCCACGGACTCGTTGGGACCAAGTTGCGGCATCCGATCTGCAAAGAGGAGCAGAATGAAACTACCCTGAAGAAGGTAAATCCCAAATAGATACGACATAAAGGTGAGCTCAGGATCAATGGTGAGAATCGTCGAAACAGACTGGGATGCCGAAATGGCATGCGATGCGCATTCGGTGAAGTGTTCTGAGGTGATCCAGTCATCACCCCCGTCTAACATGGAAATCGCATCCCATTTGCCATGTAAAAGGACGTGAAGGACATGTAAAATGTGGGTGCTATAAGCCATAACAAGTCGAACTTTGGATTGGTCCGCTTGATATGAGGATGACGATGACATCTTAAAACCGGGGGCTGGCATGCCGCTCAATAGGTCTCGTCCGCCTTGTCCAGGTATTTGGAATGCTGTAGATGCTGGCACAATAGCGGCATCACGGCCTAATGCACCAAGACTGAACTCGTAGTCAGTCAAGAGATGTTGCACAACAGATATGGAGTATGCATCGTCTTGTTGGCCAAGTCGAGGGTGTCGACGTCGATGATGAATTTCGATAATGTCTCCAAGGATTGCCATGAGAGGAAGAAAATATTCAAGGTATCCAGTTCCGGTTGCAAGAACCGGAGGACCCATGACTCTCGTAGGGAGTTCCCGGGGCGGGATGGCGTCCAGATTTTCCCAGATACGTTCCGGAAGCGGAGCTGTCGATTGTTAGCGATTTAGAACGCCATCTTTTTTTGAAACCAACCAAAGTGGAAGGGCTGGGCAGGTTTATACGAACCATATACCTCACAATATGAGTCTGGCATAGAAAGGACTGTGTTGAAGGACAGGCTCAAATGTCTGTCGAGACTGTAGAGAAGCCAAAACACCCGCCGTCGTTCCTCCCGCCGCTCAAATTCAGCAAAGGTCGCATCAGAGCGATCCCTATGGCAGGAACATAGAGGGTTTGCACACGGCGAAACTGAAGCCGGACACCTCTCGTCCTCTCGGTTTAATTGTAGGGAGAGAGTCAGTCTCAAAGCTTTCGACCACCATTTGTAACAATCAGACTTGAAATCGCCGCCTGATACAGCGATAGACAACAGGATAAAGGTAAGAACATCGTCCACTCCCCCAGCCGGTTCGTTTGCTGCCGTGGTCGTTGGAACAGACGCGGAGTTGGCCCATCCGGGAATTGGGACCTCTTTCTCGGCCCTCAAACCACCTAGGTAAACGTCAGCATTTCCCCCAAAGGGCGCTTACAATGAGGGTCGGCTCCGTACCGTGGATTCGATGCCAGCGGTCAGGGTCTCTCTCGGAAACCAACGATATGGCTAGGTCGTACAAGTCATTCACTACCTTGGCCCGAGTTCCAGGCACATGGAGAAGCATAACATCCGCCGTTTGTGCAACGCACCACAAAATTGTGGCCAGAAGAGCAGGAGTGGTATGTCTTGGGCTAGTTGGATGAAGAATAGACTTTCTGCGGAATATGCGAGTGAGAATGTATGGCGAGGCACCGCGGAACAACGAGCTTCCGGGATCAGTAAGGAAAATATCAAGCAGCTCGCAAGCTACTGAAGCTGGAAGTATGTTTCGTATATACGGTAAGACTGGATCGAGAAATCTGTAACAACAATCCTCCGTTGGAGCTTTTTGAAGGAGGTCGGGCGACAAGCTATTGGGTACCGTAGCAGTGCTGAAAGACTCTCGAGTACTGTCGCCGTTACTAGCGGCAGATCTAAATGAATCACGATGGTCTTGAGTTCTTCGGTATTCGTGCGGTCTACCGAGATTTGCTGGGGATGGATACCCGACACTATCATCTGATATGAGTGCTTCCGAGTCTGCAACGTGATTGTCTGAGAATGCCGCCGACAATGAACCTGCCCGGGGTCGGAACGCTCGAGAATCGGACGTAGCATTTTTGTGTGAACCTGGTTGAATAAGTGAAGTAACGGACATAGACGTAGATACACGTCGTCTTCTTTCAGGGGACTCATTGCCGTGTGAGATTACGCTCTCTGCATGGCTGACTAGCCGGCCATCGACGATAGGCGGGATATTGCTCGCGGGAGAGCCACCACGTTGATCCGCTTGAGAGGATAAAGATAGAGGCTGCCTGTCCGCAACCGCCGATTCACCGGCAGGTGATGCTGATGGCGGTGAGGATTGAGACGCCCGTCCATCGTCGGGAGTGCCTGTTGGAGGTACTGGGCGTTGTGACTCGGATTGGAACCTGACCGAAGTAGAGGCTGGCAGGCGGCCTCTCTTCTTGATCTCCCTATTATACCGACAAACGTACCCATAGTCTTCGACGAGATAGATATAAACGTCAGTCACTGAATCATCCATAGTGGTAGCGATTGGCGGTGACTAGGCGGTGACTGCAGTTACAAGGCCGTAGAGACTGGGTATGAAAGCAAATATTGTTTGCCAGGACGTTCTGACGTTTTGTAACAAACAGGCGACAAGCCGAATAGTCACAACATTGAAGAAAGACAATCTCACCTTGACATCTACGGCACGGACTAGACAATGGGCATTGGTTAGTACAGACGTCGAAATTCAACACCAAAGAATTCCAGTTGGACTTGCCTTTCCCCATCACAGCGAGTCCGTGATGTGCTGCACTTGTCGCAGGCTCTCCTCGTGCGCTTTCTTGGCCTGGCGTGCTCCTGTTGGGGGCTGGAGATAACCTCTGGAGATTGGCCTATCTCATCCCCAGATCCCAGCATGGAGTCTTGCTTCCGAAGGTCGACTTGGGCCATGGCGGAGGGCAGCCGGCGGCTCGTGTTGGACACAAATATGGAGAAAGGGGTTAGAAATAGCCGTGGTGGATGAATGCAGGTCCTGGCCGAGCAAATGGCGCCAAGGCCTGGTGTTGTACACAGCTTGGCACGAAATGAATGATGCCGATTGAGGCTGTGGGAAATGGGTTCCGGAGCCAAGTTATGCGAGCCGACGGTTCAAGGGGTCTGGTCTTGACTTGTGAATGCGAACCGGGCAGGCAGCATGTGAGGGGCGACGTCGGCTTCCATGTGTAGTCTGGCTCTTTCATTTACCAGCGGCCACTGTGGGCTGTCAGCTGGCTGGCAGTGGCGGATGCACGGGCAACGGCAGCTAAGCAGCTGCTGAAAACGGGAAGGCGCGACCGGGAACTGGCAGGAGCACTTGCTGGGCGCTTCTCTCACATGCGGGCACCTCGCTCAGTGACGAAGCTATTGACACAATTCGAAAGATTGACCCTTCAAAATCTGAGGCTACAATCCCCCTGCCTGAGATCATGGCGTTTTGGCAGAAGCGCGGCCTGGCGTTCACTGACGAGAATAAATACGACCCTTCTTATCCCGCTCGCGCGATTTGTTCCGACATGTGCTCCATACATTTGTATGGACCTTCTGACCGCACTCGACGAGAAGACGCAAGTTGGCATGCAGCCTCGCCCCAGGTGCCCTCTTTGAGTCTTGTTCATCACGTCCAACCATCTCCAATAATTGAGCCTGGCATCGCCGCCACATCACAAGTGTTCATGACCCTGTTTTCTGGCATTTGACAACTATAATCTGGGGCAACCAGATCTCGGCGCCACCTTCCGCCAACACCAACTTTCCCCCGCGTAGCACGTCCAGCCACAGGTGCTTAGTGAGCGTTGGCGCAGGACAATCTCTCCGATTGAAATGCGGAGTCACGCCAGACTTTTGAGTTGACTGAGTGTCCTTGCCATCCCTATTTATCCGACGGCCATTTCGCGCGGTGTCCAGGGACGGGAAAAGCTCCCCGTGGCTTGAGACAAGGTCGACGACATTCAGCTATGAACGGTTTGAACGGCCGATGCCAACTTTGGGATCCAACGGGAGCTGTCGAAACAGAAATCGTGTGCGTGGAGGCTGCGGTGGTGTCTGGGGAAACGCTTTTATTGTGAACTACCACTTTGGCCTGGAAGAGGCCATCAAATGGATACTGTCCGAACATAAATACTTAGGGCAAAGGAACCACTCATTGCATCGAGAAATCCTCAGTTGTTTCCAGAACAGAATCAAGGGACTTCCTCCCTGGACGAAAGTGCTTGTTTTCTTATTCTGCCCTCCAACGGCAGACTTCGACACTAGTTCTTGCAATCATGACGACCAAGCCGTCACACTTGAGAAGGCAGCCTTTGCGAGTTCACGATGATGACAGAACTAATGCTGCCGAGATGACCTTGCGTCAATCTCTGTTCCCGATTTGCCTTGTTACGGTTCTCTTCTTTCTTTGGGGATTTTCTTACGGGTTGCTCGATACTTTGAACAAGCATTTCCAAAACACTCTGCACATTGACAAGTCGAGATCTGCCGGCCTTCAGGCAGCCTACTTTGGGTGCGTATATACTGAAAGGACCTTTGATACGTTGCTAAGCAGATTTTAGTGCATACCCCCTGGCTTCTCTTGGTCATGCGGCCTGGATTTTACGTCATTTTGGCTACCGTGCCGTCTTTATCTGGGGCCTCTGTCTCTACGGTAAGCTAAAACACTCATACCGATGTGCTCCTCGAGGATCAAATGTTGAACCAGATACCACAGGTGTTGGAGCATTGCTCACCATTCCTGCTATCAAATCGCACAGTTTTGGGGGATTCTGCGCTTGTATTTTCGTCATCGGCAACGGCCTAGGATCACTCGAGACAGCTGCCAATCCGTATATTACCGGTAAGCCCCCTGGTTTAACTGTGAATAAGGTTGAAGTTTTGCGAAGGAGTTGCTAATACTGTTCCTAGTGTGCGGACCCCCAAAATATGCTGAAATCAGAATCAATATCTCCCAGGCTTTCAATGGTATAGGATCCGTAGTCGCACCCGTGATGGGATCGTACGTGTTTTTCACATTCAACGATCAAGATGCGCTGCGCAATGTGCAGTGGGTTTATTTGGCGATTGCGGCGTTCGTCTTTACCTTGGCTGCAATCTTCCTGTTTGCCCGCATACCCGAAATCACCGATGCGGACATGGAATTCCAGGCCGCAGAAGCCCACGCAGTTGACAACGATTTGCCTTTCAAAAAGCAATACAGGCTGTTCCATGCTGCCTTTTCTCAGTTCTGTTATACGGGTGCTCAAGTTGCTATTGCCACGTAAGCAAACAGCACTAGTCTGCGTGCAGGGCAAGTTGCTAACTGCTGTGACTAGCTATTTCATTAACTATGTTACGGATACGAGACAGGGTACTAGCAATGCGAAGGCTTCTCAGTTCCTGGCTGGTGCCCAAGGCGCATTTGCTGTCGGCCGATTTGCCGGCGTTGGTCTAATGAACTGCTTCAAACCTAGGGCGGTATTTGGCGTCTACCTGACGCTTTGTATGGTCTTCATTGCGCCAACCATTACACAAAGGGGCAACACTGGACTCGCATTGCTATATGTCACACTCTTCTTCGAGTCCATCTGTTTCCCAACCATCGTGGCTCTGGGTATGAGAGGTCTTGGCCGTCATACAAAGCGCGGGTCAGGGTATATTATTGCAGGTGTTCTGGGCGGTGCTGTTGTTCCACCTCTGACTGGTCATGTTGCAGATATGCACTCGACCGCGACGTCCATGGTTGTGCCCTTGTGCTTCTTTTTCGGCGCATGGTCATATGCGCTGGCAGTCAACTTTGTACCATGGTACAAAGACACCATTGATGCGTATGCCGTCACTGAAGTTGGCGTGGGGCCGACCATTGCTGTTGCTCAAGATGTAGAGATGCAGAAGGGTGTGGGTGAGGACAGAGGCGGTGACGACTGATGAGGAGGCACTCGTCTGAGGATGTGGAGCTCATGCCGCAATGAAACATGATTCCCTTCATGCTATAGCCCAAGAGCTCACCTTTCTTATTATAACAATACGAAATAGTCCAATATTAGGCTTTGAAACCATCGTGGGATTGTGCCCAGTGATCATGGCCGATGACTGTGTGGTTGGAGTTTACTTGTTACAGGGACAAAGGCTCCAATGGTCACAATAACCTGCTTTCGACTCCGTCTCGGATTTTTAAACATGGGCATAGTCCGCTGGTCAAGGTCCATTCAAGGTCCTACAGTCTCTGTAAAAGAATCCATGCGCTCCATATGGGATGTCACCAAGCCCCCATTCATGTAGTTTATACCTGCCGGCCCATGATTCACTCATATCCACGCCCCGTCAACCTGGTACACACTCCCACTCACAAACGTGCTCTCAGGACCCAACAAGAAGACAATGACATTCGCCGTCTCCTCCGCCGTGCCTTGTCTCCTGAAAGCAGAGGGGTCATCAAACGGTGCGTCCTTGGCCCTGCCAACAAAATCCCAATTCTTCTGCATCAGGGGCGTGTACACGGCGCCGGGGGCGACCGCGTTGACGCGAATTTCGCGGTCGCCGTTTTCTAGGGCCGCGGCCTTGGTGAGGCCAACGATGCCGTGTTTACTGGCATCATAGGCGGCGTGCTTTGCGAAGCCTAGCGGGGCGTTAGCAAGATGGACGTATCTTGAGGAAATGAAGTCGCGGGAGGGGAGGAGAGAACCAGCCTTTTAGGCCATGGATGGACGAGACGTTGACGATTGACCCGCCGTCGACGACGTTGCGCAGCTCGGCTCGCAGGCAATACATTGTGCCCGTCAAGTTGACGCCGATAATCTTGTCCCACTCGTCGTCGTCCAGCTCTGCAACGGACGCAATGCCGTGGCCCTTGCCGATGACGCCGGCGACGTTGGCGGCGCCGTCTAGGCGGCCGTATTTGTCGACAATGGACGTGACCCAGCTGTCCACCTGGGTTCGCTTGGAGACGTCTACTTTGGCCGTCATATGCGGTGCCCCCAGACCAGAGAAGAACTTTTCGGCGTCTTTGATGGCCTCTGGGTCAATGTCTGCAATGCACACGGTTGCGCCTTTGCGGGAGAGCAGCTGCGCCGTGGCGAGCCCGATGCCGCTTGCGCCGCCGGTGATGGCGTATACTTTGCCGCGTAGAGGGGTGTAGGGTGCCCCGTTTGCTTGGGTCATGGCCGAAGAGGAGGCCGTAGGGATAGGAGTGGGAGGAGTGCCGTCTTGGATGCGTTGGCGTTTAGGAGGGTTCAAGGGCTCGCCGTCGGCGTGTTCTGTTTTGACGCCGGCCATGGGATGATGTCGCAGGAGGTGGAAGAAAATCAGGGCATGAGAGCTTTTTGGGGGAACAGTAAAATGTGATAGTTCACTCTTAGATGACACCAAGCCCATATATAGCGTTCCAGGAAGCGGTTTCTCCTGGAAGGGTGGGTATATTGCCGATGATGGGAGTACGAAGACTACACAGCGCAAGACACGTTTCGATTCCAAGTTGGTTTGGAATGAGAATCGACTTTGCCGAGTGGATGGGAGCGAGTTGCTGGCGCCGACATTTCTACCGAGCCGCGAGGTGGCTGGCTGGATGTGGTGTCGTGATGTCAATTTGAGGGGCCGCAGGTGATGCTCAAATTCCATTGTCCTGTCTGGTTAAAGCCGGCGGGATGCAGATGCTTTGGTTGTTTTGCGTCGGGTGCAATTTATTAGAATAGGATTGGCTGCATCAGATTTCCTATGTTGGAGATTGAGTGGGGTTTCCCCCACGTAGAGCGGCCGATAGCGCCTCACCGGGTGCCGTCGGGATGATGAAAAGTCTCAGGCGCTTGTTTAAATACCCGACGGCAGATAGGTGAGTGACAGGCGAGGTGAAGTTGATGCTTATCAGCTCTACCGTGCCAGGGCGGCGGATAGATGTGCTCCAGGCTCTGAACATGATGACATGTTGCTTGACTGGAAAATGGACCTAGTTATGTCTGACTCAGGAACGGCCGTTGTGGTCTCTTCCGCCGGCCTTGGAGGGGGCATGGAGCAAACCCAGACATTGGCTTGGCCCAGCCAGCATCGTTTCCATCGAGTATGACGCCTTATTCCACCAGACACCAATAGTATGGGCCCGTGCCGCTATGGTGTAATTTAGCCGTGAAGATTGCGCATCTCAGCACATTGGAAGTTTGCCGTCGCCGAGTCAAACGGACGGGCTGTTCCGCCTGGCCAAGTCAGAGGAACTAATTGAGGGGTTTGGGCTGCCCAAAAGACAAGCTATATAAGACTCTTATGAGCCCTGTATCATCATCACAATCTTTCTGGGCTTGATAAAATCTGCAGGGCTTGCAGGCATTGGGCCTCTTGCATCGATATGACATACCGAGTCTATTCCATCGCCCCTTAGCAACATTGCCTGGTACTACCAGCCTCGGGGGCCTTGGTACTACTACCTGGGCCTGGCATCTGAAAGGCTTCCGAGCCTCTCTCCATAGAGTTTAGGCTCCGGATTCCGCTGATATTATGCCATGGACCTTAACTCGGCCTCTCGGAAAGCCAACGATCCATGGGAGTAGCAGAGGTTTCTTGACAGGTCATGTATGTCTCATCAGACGATAGACTGGGATATCTATTAGTGACTTTGGCATTCCAATTACTCCAAGAGTCTATAGATGCTTACGGCCTCGGAATCGTAGTCATATCACCCAAGGCTTGGTTGCCTCGCCGATATTGCTCCATGTTGATGTTTGTTCCAGTAGTGCACGTGTCAACAGAGGGTTTGAAGAAATACCGTCATATATGAACTATGAGTTTGAAACGAATGCCGAATTGGCTAGATACTGTCCATATATATGTGCAGTAACTATGCTGCAGCTTCAACATGCTGGGGCCATTGCCTTTAGCCATGGAAAGGTCCATGGCCTCGTGGACAGTCCACGTTCCATGATTTAATCTACCAGTGCAAATTGATACCGTGAGGGGAGAGTGATTCACATCTAGCTATATGGCCCCAGAATTAATGGCCCCAAAGTTGGGCTTCGACGTGAGGCAAAGGTTATGGGCGTAGACAAGATGTGGCCCCAGATAAACCGGCCCCAATGCCCGGTGACTTGACGACTGGTTCACGGCTTGTAACAGCGACATGCTCCAGTACGGCCCGTCGGGTTAGTATTTACATATCTTTTAACAGGATGTCCAGTACATGATGTTGTATAATCGTAATGTAGAGTCGGCTCACTTGGCTTGTTATCCACACAATTGCACCAGAAAACTACTCCTCGAACCATACTATTTGGGTATTAAGAGCCAGACTGAATGCATTAAAGCGTACTTTGTCTCTTGTAGTATTTTTGTCCTGCGTCACTGTCTCTTGTTCTTCTGGCCAAGTTAGAGGCCTCTTTTGGGCCTGCTGGATGTGACAATTTCTGTCCAAGTACCCCTGCGTAAGTCAAAGGAACTGGCCCCAGGATCAAAATTTTGTGGCGTGTGCTGATTTGCCAGTATCTTGAGACAAATGTTGCTGCCAGCCTCACTCTCTGCAAGTCGCTTCACAAGGTGGCCCCAATCGGGATAACGGTGAGACTAGCTACATGGAAAATGGCCCCAAATTGGTAGAGAGTACTTTTAAGGTATATCTGCTCAAGACACTGGGGCGAATTGATCTCTTTGCGTCTTGACAAATACGCAGTCCACCTGGCGGAGCATGTACTCGTCTTTGAGGGTTCGACTGTACCCCTGGGGTCAGCTCCCTGACCAGCCAACTACCAATATGAATAAATATGGACACGGGTATAATAATGCTTTGGTACCCTATGAAAGGGCTGGGTTTTTCCTGGCACCTATCGACCCCTTTGCTCGGCACCCACCCGTTGCTTTCGACTATTCCACAAACTAGGCATCCCACAATGCGACTTTGGGGCGTCCCGTCGGGTTCCCTTGCATCACTACCGACTTTAATATACCATCAACATACAATTATTATAAAGATAAAACATATAATTTCATCACCACAAGATAACCATGGGCCTGGGACCGGGGTGGTGCCGTCACCATTGGCCGTGGGGGGCAGTTGGGCCGGAGGAGGTGCCTCTGATACGCAACGGGGATAGGGATTCGTACTTGGTTTATTTTAACCACATCGACTCTTTTCCTCTTTTTATTTCATCTCATCTGCGGTGGCGCGGGGCCGTCCCTCGTCACAACGGTCGGGTTGATGCCGACGCATGTGCCGGTAAGACGATCAGGGTCAGGCCCTCACCAAGTTTGCCGGGAAGACAATTGCGGCTTAGACGAGTTTCTTCCCTACTGATTAAAGACTGATATTGGCCCCGCGTGGATATCTGATGACATTACTTCACAATACGCTGGTCTTTCACCAAAAATGTGAGCGAGCGGCTTCTCATCCTCCGATGAGGAACGAGTCTTGCGCCCTGACAGTCTGCCAGGAGAACAGTGCAGCGGCAGCGGCAGCGGTCCTTCCTCTACTTTCAGTACCAGACATCTTTGTCTTCAGAATTGACTTTCAACTCCCTCACTATTCGCCCCGCGAAGCAAAATATGTTGGCCCAAGCGCGAGCCGCTGTCAATGCAGTTGCCAACGTGGATGCGACAAGGTGTTCGAGAGCTCCAAAGACTTGGATCGACACTACGCGACGAGAGCACATGCAACAGCTAGTCGTGACTTGTATATATGTCGATGCGGCTATTTTAATATTCGCAAGAATCACTACTATCGACATTCGGCCCAAATGTCATGTCTGCCTCGACGTCCGTATTTCAAATGCATTTGTTCGGAAAGACCAGGGGCAGAGGACATGATTGAGCATTGGGCACCCGTCTAGGATGGGATTCATTTGCTGGTTTGTAACAGAAATCGGTTGTCGGATTGTGCCTACTTGCAATTTGCACGAGGCAACCTTCTCTATCTGATTTGATCATCTATGGTATGGCCATGACTGGTTATGGCGTACCTTTGCTCGCTGAATATTGCACAGAATTTTTCTTCCACCCCTTCACCCTTTTTATCTTGTCCTATATTCGTTGCTATGCGGCTATCCCTCCCTGGTATTCTTTGGGTAAGCTTAAATCTCTCTCTCAAATTCAATAACGGCACGGGAAAGTGTTACAAGTGTTTTTTACAATCTTCGCAGTTGAAATAGCGGATGAGTTGGGGCTGGCCACCCACTTCTTCGCCTGGTCAGGACGATGTCGGTTGTCATTAGAATTCGAAAAGTCATCTGATTGTTTTAGGAGCCAAAATGCAACTGGTATTGGCCTCGAGAAAATACTAATAGTCATTACTATACAAAAAAGTGTAATTACCTCTGCTGCCGTGTTGTTCATTTTAATATGGCACGGGGCTTTCCATCGATCCAACATTACGTCCAGTCGGTATATACCATCTCGTCGGCATTTATCACTCGGCCGGTGTATGCGATATAATCGAGACGTATAGCTCGCGCCTCGGCATGTATCTTGTCGGTGTATACCATTTGAGCCGGCATTTATCACGATGTCGGAGATATCGGAAGTTTGTTGCTCATGTACACCATGAAGTGGGGTGCCGACGCCCTTTAAAGAGCTGGTGTCCATGACAACTTGGATTGGCATCTTTTGACTCCCGTGTATCTTCAAAACACGACAAATCTTTAAGCAATCAAGCTAGTCGACCAACATCCCCTCCTAAGCCTACACTTCTGCAATGGAATCACTCTCGGCTACAGCTTATGCGCCTCCTCCGGAGAACGCCATGGCCGGCGTACCGGCTCACATCGTCGACTTGCTCGACCAGCTCCACGCTGAGTCATGGGACCAAGAGTCCAAAATCACCCGAGATGACTTCAAGGACCGCACGCTGCACGAGGTGATGCGCGACAAGTTCATCGCTCTGGACCAAGACAAGGCGCAGTATGTGTATGCTCTGTGCCGCGCCACCGGGGCGCGAACCATCGTCGAGGCCGGCACCTCGTTTGGCGTCAGCACCATCTATCTCGCTCTCGCCGCCGCTGCCAATGCGTCGGGCGGAGGCAAGCCGGCGAGAGTGATTGCGACGGAGCATGAGCCGACCAAGGCGGCCAGGGCCAGGGAGATCTGGGACAAGTGTGGCGAGCAGGTCGTTGACGTGATTGACCTGCGCGAGGGGGACTTGAGGGAGACACTCAAGGAGGACCTCGAGGACGTGGATCTTTTGCTTCTGGACAGTGAGTTCTTCTTCTCTAGTAATGGAGCGCTGCCCGGGTGCGAGGCTAATCGTTGCGACAGTTTGGACTCCTATGGTCCTCCCGACGCTGCAGGTCGTTCTGCCCAAGATGAGGCCTGGAGCCGTTGTCATCTCCGACAACACCATCAGCTCGGCTGAGGGGTACAAGGATTTTTTGGAGTATATGCGTGGTCCGCAGAGTCCATTCATCAACCTGACCCTGCCGTATAAGAACGGTCTGGAGATGAGCATTTACGTGCCGAAGCAGTCGTAAATGGCCAAGTGCGGCCAGTTCATTTCGACTTGCAAATCATGTTGGATAGTATATGCGTCGGCTTGGCACTTGAAATGCATGATTTTGCGTATTGACGCGCACTCGTCTCATTGGCCGTATTCTATGCATCTTGGCAGGACAGCGTTGGGCAAAACCATTATTTCTGGGCCAAGGGCATTCATTCACGTATTTGCACTATTGAATACATGCAGATTTATTCCGTGCAGCATCCTCTTCAACGGCATCAGCCATGTCTCCCAGCGTATCAAACTTCCAATCATAAATCTCATCCGCTCTGTTACCCATTGTTGCACCTGGCCTCACAATCCAACTCGACTTGATTCCTGCCTTTTTCGCGGGCTGATGATCGTGGAACTGGCTCTGCGCCGTTTGTATAATCTGGTCCTTTTCGGCGCCAAACCTGTCCTTGACCTCGCGGATCATGTAGTCAAAGTTTGCAAGGTCAGGCTTGTAGCTGCCGACATCTTGGGCCGTAATGATGAGATGGAAAGGAAAGCCCTGCAATGGCCCCGCGTTTGTCCTGGCAAACGATTCGCGATCCACGTTGGACAAGATGACGAGCTTGTAGTATTTGGAAAAGCGGCTCAGGGCGGCTACGGAGTCGGGGAATGCGGGCCATTGGCCGACTGATGCGCCGAAAGTGTCGCTTTCTTCTGGGCTCGGGTCCTTTAGACCCAATCTGGCAGCAACTTGGGGGTGGACGGCGGCCAAGAGTTTGTCGTATGTCAAGTCTGGTGTCTTGGCTTGCTGGGCGGCTTCGCATTCGTGGTAGACTGCGAGAAGGTCCTTGCGTGACCGTGAGGCATTGTTGGCGTCGAGGAGGGGTTGCAGAGCGTTGACGACACCGGTTTCCCAGTCTATTATGGTGCCGTAGCAGTCAAAGGTGAGGACTTTGTAGTCGGAGAGCTTGGCCATGGTACTTGTGAGGGTTTGGTGGACTGAAGTGCATGTTCAGAACAGCGGTGTTGTCGTATAATATAGACGTCAAGTGTTGAGGTCATGGGTTCGGACCATGTCAGTGTATGGAACCTTATGGAAGGCGGTTTCAGCCCTTCAAATGACAAGCGGACAGCCCAGCACTGTGCCAATACATGCAGATGGCGGGTTTGCCTGACGCCCTGTGTCCATCCGCCAAGCCTTACCCCACCATTTCATCAAGGAACATTGAACAATTGAGGGAACTGGGTGTGACTCCGATCTTGGCCGTCGAGACCCATGCCGAGATCCGGTTCCGGTTCCGGTCTCGCCTCCTGCGGAAGGACCAAAGCTACCAAGCGCAAAACGCTGCTACGCAAGAGACTAAAAGGCGGTTGACGAGTTTGTGGCTGCTCTTGCGCCGAAAGAAGAGATTCTTAACTAAATCACATGTAGCATTACCGCACACGCAAATGGTGTAAAAGACGAACACGCTTGCCACATATCGACAAACGCACCCCTGGCCTTGGAGTATACAATGGGGCTAGAGAATCTATGCTGCGCTGGCTCATGATCGTTATACCGTAGACTGTACTTCTGCAGATCCGTTCCAGCCCATCGTCACGCTGCCAGTCTGCCGGCAGGGCTACAGAACACTCTGGAGCTTGCAGGGTGTGGTGATGCAAGCAAAGTCGCGCGGCGGCTCTGGTGGCATTACATCACAAGACGGTGATGCTACATGCCTCCATTATATGTGTGGAAGAATTACAAGTCCTACCAAGCGGGGCATCTTTAAAACCTGGCATTCGGCCCGTGCGGTAGAGGAATTGGAGACCAATACTATTGTGCCGCTGCGACATATAGGCCTCATCTCATTATAGTATCAGTCGAGCTGTGGTTTAATGTCCTGGTACGTGTCACCAATCCAGACCGATATACAATTGCCATCTACGTGTATACTATCAATTGGTGTCTAGCAGCTTGTGAAGCGCTTCCTGATTGTCTCCATCTAGTCTATGCAAGCATCTATCAGAATCGCAGCCTACGTCACTTCAGAGCGTGCCGATGGCAGGCATGAGCTTTACCAGAATGCACTGCCTGGTTTCTTGTGATTCGGCATTACCCGGGCTATCACATCATTATGAGTGATCAGAGCCCACTTCCTGATTGTAATTGTTTTTACACTGACTTTGAGCATGGTCAGACTGGCTGCGCAATGGCCGATCAGTTCCGAGTGCTCCAATCAGTTCATCCGCGGACTCTCATGCGCGTTACTTTGCAGCTTGAATGTTGCGTCCGTTATCTTTACCCCGCTATAATGTAGCATTCTGTTCCGCCATGATTGCCTGACCACGTATCATGTTTTCATTGCAATAGTTCTTTGCATACTGCAAGGCATCCATATACCCACACAGCGATATGGTATGTACTATCGAGTAGATGGACCTGCAGAGGCCCCCCCTGTATAGCGTTAAACTTGTTGAGCATATAAGTGCAGTTGGCACTCCCTCATATCACTTGTCCAGGGCAGCATCCGATATATTCTACTGTTACACGGAAATCGCCCTGTTGCACAAGGGCTACGGTCACGGGATTAGGGCAGAAGGTCCTCACCGACTTCTTGTATAAATAGACGTCTTCGGTCCCTCAAGGCCTTGAGGAAAACCAAGGACCTTCGATACCAAAGACTGTTATGAGTTGAATTGAGCTATTGCTCCAAGCCCTCTATTGAGCCCTTGTCACACCTACCATCAAATCTGTTCTGCATTCCAATAATCTCGAACTGGGCAGCACATCGCTCTCATAGCTCCACGTCTCTTAACTCTCAACCGCTGTTACATCCCTACACGATGGGGGTCGTCTTTATACTACTGGGAATTGCTTGTGTAGCGCTGTATTTCTTCTTCCATGGCCGTCTCCGGGGGGGGAATCGTCTGCCTCTCCCACCAGGTCCGACAGGCCTACCGATTGTGGGCAATATTCTCTCCTTGCCGCCCAGCGGGGTTCCAGAGTATCAACACTGGCTGAAGTTTAAGGACTTATACGGCCCCATTAGCTCTGTTACCATTCTAGGTCAAACTACAATCATTCTTCATGGAAAAAAAGAAGTTCAAGATTTGCTGGAGAATATGTCCACAAAGACCTCAGACCGGCCGCTATCCATCTTCGCCAATATGACTGGATTCGATAGATTCTTGTCTTTTAAGCCGTATAATGCGAGTTGGCGCCAGCATCGCAAGATGATGCATCAGTCTCTTGGAACGGAAAAGCTGTCGGCTCAATATGACAGTGTCCAAGACCTGGAATCAGGACGACTCCTTCTACGAATACTGGCCGAGCCAAGAAGCCTCATTCAACATTTTCAAACGTACGTTGATTAGTTCTACAAGGATCGATGTATAAAATTAATAAATGATTTAGCCAAGCAGCTGCCATCATCCTGCGCATAACATACGGCTACGCCACTGAGCCTCACAGCTCAGATCCCTTGGTTGGCATAATTGAACAGATGATGGATAACTTGTCCAAGACTTTTGTGCCGCTTTCATGGGTTGTCGATATAATTCCAGCGCTAAGATTTCTACCCAACTACGTGCCTGGCATATCATTCAAGGCTACAGCCAGACGATGGTACGCAATCAACGATTTTGTTACTCGCGTACCGTATTTATTTGTACGGCAACAAATGGTTCAAGGAAATCACCGGCTATCCCTCGTCTCCAACTTTCTCAGCGACGGCATGGAAAAAGACGGAGGGGAAAACATCGACCCCGACACAGAGAACACCATCATGGCAGTAGCTGGACAAATCTACGGCGCCGCTGCAGATACTACCATATCGGTCCTGAGCGCCTTTGTCCTGGCCATGGTAATGTTTCCCGAGGTCCAACACAAGGCACAAAAGGAAATCGATACCATGATTGGAAGTCGGCTTCCCGAGTTTCAAGACAGGGAATGCCTGCCATATGTTTCGGCAGTTGTCAAGGAGGCTACGCGATGGTTTCCGATTACACCAATTATTCCGGCTCATGCGGCTAATACCGAGATACATTACAAAGGATATCGTATCCCCAAAGGATCATGTATAATTGCCTCCAGCTGGTGGCTGCTTCGGGATCCTGCGACATACCATGATCCAGATTCGTTTAACCCTGAGCGGTTTCTCATACGAAACGAGCCTGATCCGGCGACTGTCGTATTCGGCTTTGGACGCAGAATCTGCCCCGGTCGATTCTTTGCTGACAAAAGCTTGTTTTTGACAATATCACGCATATTGGCACTGTTTACTATTAGCAAGGACGTAGGAGAGGCTAGGCTTAAACTCACCCCGGGATTGATTGCGCACCCAGAAGAGTTTCCGTTTAAAATTGCACCTAGGAGTCAATTACATGCTGAACGAGTTAGGGATATTGAGAAGAACAACCCATGGGAACAAGGAGATGCTAGCCTTCTTAGAATGAAATAACTAGTAGCAGATGAATTTCTCGCCGCTTAGCGGACGGCTATTGGAATTCTGTTTTACGTATCGCTAAAAAGCAACGCATTCTTCTCTGGAGCCTAGTGATATTTGGTAATTTAGATCAAAGGGCATTTTGACGCCGCCGTCACTTAAGTAAGTGCGGTTTACAAAGCCGGGTGTAGTAGTATGTCTTGTTGCTTTTACTGTGAAATTTTTAAATTGGGTTTTGTTCAATTAATCTCGATAATGGTGCTACATCAGGTGACACAACGTGTTGGCCGTACCTAGGCCAAGAAATCGCAATAAACCACGTAATACGCCATGACTTGTTATTTCTATTAAATCGACACAAAATCTCCAAAGAAGTTGATATCGGCTAGATAGGTAATTGTGTGATATTTATCATGCGTAACTAGACGTTACACTAAGCCTGGTCTTAGACTCTTGGATAAGCGATTAGCCTGGCTTGTGTCTAGGAACCGCTTGGTCATTATTCAGGACCATGGGGTCAACATATCATCACGTTGTTTGAACACCGGAGTAATGCTCAACTTCACGAATGGGACTGGTCAATACCGAAATAACATATATTGACTCAGGGAGATAAAGTAACAAATGCAGCCAAGATCGCGACCTTTATAGTCGTTCAAGGTCCCCCATATGTCGTGTACCTACGCACAATGTCCAGTTGGTTCATGTTCATACCCTAGTGATCCAGATACTAGTCCCGGTCACAGAATAGAATTTGACATAATTCACCTCTGACCATCAATCTCAAGGATGGTGCTTAGATTGTAGGTTGGTGAAGAAACACTGCGGTTTGGGGACAGTGCCTCGGGTAGGATTTACTCGTCCAGTTATTCCTGTATATATTAGCGTTCCGAAAATAAGGAGATTCGTGTGGAGAGTTCACCTGAATGGGGTGTAAATGAGTTGAACAATTGACATGTTCTCCAGAGATCTCGACGCGGTAGTCACCGACGGCATCGATGTGCAAGCTCACCGTATAAGGTACCTTTGTCATAAACATGTTGCGCTTCCTAAGACGGCCAGTAAATTCGACGGATAAGACTCCAATAGACTCGACACCATCTGGGTATTCTTGTAAGTATAATAGCCCGCGGATTTTCTCACTATTTTTTCAACACCAATCACGTACCTCCTGTGGTGTTAGGTAAGTATCTTGTGTCATTATCGGACCTGAAAACTTCCACATTCCACAGTTTGTTGCCTTTGAAGTTTATGGATTTGACGAAGGTTTTGCTAAACTCCTGGCCCGTGGTCCTCTTTTGACCTTTCCTAAGCAACCAATGAATCTCAGTGCCAGCAGGGAGCTTTTCGTTGTCTTCCTTCTCTGCGACTCCAATATTGACTCGTGCGATCCGGGTCTGAAGAACGTTTTGTCGTTGATTCATAAGAAGGCCATACACCACGGCTAATTGAGGCTTGGGACAAACGTAGACTGTCGCTCCATTGACCCATCGAGGCCCTTTTTTTGAGATCCAATCTTTAAGCTCGGTCAACATGTACTTGGAGCCTCCTAAACCGCCGGATAAAACGACATGATCCTAGAGACTACGGTTAGCAAAGCTTGCTGTGAAGGCCGATTAACTCACCACTTGTTTCTGCACGCCGTCCCGGAAGTTATTTAACGCATCATCAGTACATGTTGCAATTTTATTAAACTGAGAGTCAAAGAACCTCTCTAGTTCTCTCCTGTTATATAGTTAGCATGACGAGACTGTGACTCATTGCCAGGAAAAACCAGGTAGATCTCACCTCGGCAAAGCTATCGTGGTTTTCTCCCCATTCCTCCCGTGGATGTTACACAAACCATTGCGTGGGATTGGAATTTCAAGCATATTGGGCCGTTCTGGAACCCCAAGTCTGAGTTTCTGGTGTTGAAACGGATTACCTTGGGACATTTCATGAGAAATGCGTTTGAGTTGGGCATTCTTAGATGCACCGAGCTCATCGGCAGCAAATCGCTCAAAATCCTTATCAATCCACATGGAACCACTGTCAACCCCCTTGACCTGTTGTACAAGCTTTATTTTGTGTGGGTTGAGCGCTTCAACCTCAACAAAGGCAATGTCAGTGGTTCCGCCGCCCATATCGATGGACAGCATGCTATCATTCTTGTTGAAACTGCCATCTTTGCGCACACAGAGGGCATATACCGATGCCGCTTCAGCCTCAGTCAGGCCCAAGATAATTTGATGATTCCTTTCTCTACCAAAGCCGGCCTTGTTAACAATGTCCCTGAAGGTAGCTCTTTGACCCCAGTCCCATGTCGTCGGGACGCTGAAGATGAAGTCAATTTTACAGTCACCCCAGCTCTTGTACGAAAAGGGATTGATTTCCAATTGATCATTGGTAGAGGTCGAGGCGGGCAGATGGCGACGGATGTGGTCGTGAAGATGGCCTAGATAGTCTTTGGCAATCTTCAACGCCCTGTCAGCAGAGTCGGGCGCCCAGCTAACACCGCACTCATGAGCCTTCCTAAGTTGATCCTGGTCAAGATAAATTTTAAAGGCCCTCCACTTATCCTCTTCGTACATGTTCTGACAATCGGAGCCCCATTTTCCCGGCTCATGTTTGGCTAGGATAGTCGGAAACTTCTGAGCAACAGGATCGCCCGGAAGCACATGGATGCTGGAATCCGGCCCAGTTGGAACCATCCAAGCGACCCCTACGCCGTGGTCAGAAAGTCATGGAGAAGGCAAAGGGTAGGAATAACGCACCAGTGAATGTCGTTCCGAAATCGATGGCGATATACACGTCAGTTTGTCTAGTGGAGTGCATATTGGAAAGGTTGATCGCTAATGAGAAGCAAGTATAGGTAATACGAGTGATGGTGCTGTCATGTGAAAGAGGCCGTCTAAAAGATGACAAGGACGCAATGGCAACGGAATAGCAGCAGGTGGTTGTGTCTGAGGTTTGGGGGACTGTAGTGGCATCTTGGACAAATTATATAGTAGAAAAGGAGCGAGGAAAAGCGTATAACCATTGGCAACCTGATGGATTGAGGCCATGCCGGACAAAATTCTGTTTGCTTGTTTCGGGTGCCCGCCTGGCCGGCAGCAATGAGGCTGTGGATGGCGTTGTTTGTAGCATGTATGTAGTCTGGTGGCTTACAGATATTGACCTGGTTGGCAATTGTGACGACATGCAGACCAGACATCAAGTATACTCACTCCCCCTTGTTTATCGTATCAAATACTATACTGTACACACCCAGCCAGCCGGGTAGGCGTGACGAGTACACCACATGCAGGCATGGGCGCCAGGCAGCTCCGACACGGCGCCTCGAGTCTGGTGCCCAATAACTGATTGGCTCGTGGGCTTGATTAAATATTCCAGGCCGTTTTTATGGCTGAAACAGTGGAAATGGTAGCTGAGGTGATGAACGGACCCATGCTCCAGCCATCCGCACAGCACGAGGGCGCTGGGGGGTGAATGTGATCCGGGCGTGAAGTAGACAATTGCAAAAAGCCGTAAATAGATTCCAGATCCGCAGCATGTCTAAAAGGGGACACAGGTCCTTTGTTCCGAGCAACAGGGCAGGTTGCTTCACACGCTGTTGTGAGACCCTTCTTGTCTTCTATTTCTTCTGCCTTTCGTCTTATTTTTTTTTTTTGTTTTCGTTAACAGCCCGGCCGCATATAATCCGGACCTTTAAACCAGCTACGATGACTACTGCCGTATATTTTCCCATCACTCTTTCTGAATCCGCAGTGGCTGTTTGGACGCCACAAGCCTCTCCAACTGTCCCTGCTAGTTCTACACATCCCATCTCTTTGCCAACGTCTTGTCCTGTACTTACTGATGGGAGAAATTCCCATGTGATCGGAACAGCGGCATCGCCGACCGTTGTGACAGACACGACGTCGGCAGCGGGCCAACCTGTGTCCATGGCGATATCATACCGATGCGAATACAATGTTAGCGAGCCAACGTCAACAACAGCAACGAAAGCCTCGGGAGTTTCGAATGATGCTGCCTCACAAATAGTCATTGGAACCCTGGCTGGAGTTGCGGCCCTGTTGGCTATGGCAGGGCTTTTGGGATACTACTTTATGAGACGAAGTCGGGCGCGTCATGTCCAGCAGACGCGTGACAGCCTACAACGTCGCAAGGGGGCGGCATTTACAGGCTTCATGAAATTTTATCTCCTACAGGGTGCTCATGTAGGCTGGGGTCAAATTCGGAAAGATTTCGAAGAAATGCAAAGCTGCTTCCATGAGGTTGTCCGTGCCGGGTTCGATCACCAGAAAGTCATTCCGAATTCTATTTCCCTAAATAAGTCACTTGAGCCTCTTGGTCTAAGCGAGGATAGTCGCAACTTGATCTGTGAGCTGGTTACTGAGCCTCGTACCCGCCACATTGCGATACGCCATTTGCTTGCGTGGGCGATATTCTCTAATCTGGATATCCGTTCAGTCGGGCCGCTCTCTCTCCTACACCCTGCGATTAAAAATTTCATGCTGTATGTTCCCAAAAACAAAAGGGAGCCGAAGGAGTATTCGGACCCAATGGACCATGGTAAGAGACTTCTGCCATTAGCATGGGGGAGAAATTGTGCTGACTCGTATTCGTGGAATTCAGAAGACGTCATTCAAAATGCTTGGAGACAACTTTCCGCCGTGTTGTTGCAGGAAAGACCATTCGTCTCGATGAACCATCACTTCTATGACGAATTCAATCCTCATCTTGACTCCCAGGTCGAAACTCTTGTGAATGCGCTTTCCGGCTTCTTCGACCATTTACCCAGGTTAGATGGGGTCTTTGTGTATGGATGGACGCCTGCTCTACGTTCTATGATTTCGAGAAGCGCACACCTGTGCTACATAATCGCCTCTGATCCGGGTAACTGGGAGATAACGATTCCGCCGCCATCGCCAAACTATGGAATTTGTGTCTTCCCGGGTCTAACTTTACTGAGCGACAATGATCGGGATCCCTTGGACCGGCCTCAAGTTTTCATAATGCCCGAGGTGGAAAAAGTCGACCTTGTTGGAAAAGCTGACAGAGGTAATAACGCCGAGGTACATACCGATACGAGCACACTAGGCAGAGACGAATGAAGAGGCACCATTGCAGGGAGGCACAACGAGTGAGTCAAGGGGCTAGTTATGGAGTTGTATAAAACTTGCAAAGGCAATCTGGGCACGGAAGACTTTGTATATGCCACTTCATGCTGTGGACGGATATATGAAAGTATTGTCTGGATCAGATCGTCTTCCGAAGTGGTACTTTGGATACTATGACAGGTCGAAATTGTGACTTCAATTATGCAATCAAAGTTGGTCCTTGCACGCATGGCTGAGGGAGAAAATGCACAGAAATAATCGCGCAACTAATATAGCATTCATCACATATACCTATCGTCGCATCCCTTTTTCTTCCATCGTAGATCTTGGACCTATTAAATCGCAATAGATCCAAAACAGGCGGCACAGAGGTCCAGCAAGAGCTCATCAGCATACAACAAGCATCAATGGCAAAGACTGAACTGCAAGAGTCAGATGAAGCATGATGAATTCACAATCTAGCTACAGGAAATGCTGGTCTTGATCATGATAGTGCTCATGGAATTGATCCTGGAACACAATCTCTCCTCGTCTCGGCTCAGGGAAAATCCTAAAAATCCTACTCAACTCCATATCTCTTGCGCTCAGCAACCCAGTCTACTGTTCCGTCTTCGTTGATGCTGGTCCCAGCTGGAGTGAGGGCTTTGAGTATCTTGGAATCAAGTGCCGTAAAGGTGGTTGAATCAACAAAGAACGCGCAGTCTCTATAGTTGTGAATACCGAAGCTCAGTGTCCCGTACATCTCACGACCGCGGTTCTTAAGCTGAGGCGTCAGAATGCCGCGGAGAGGATGCTCAGGATTGCGCTCGTCATCCTTGGCCTCGGCGACTTTGACTGCCTTGTCCCAGAAGCCCTGCCACCTGCTAGTCGCACTCTTCTTGTCCATTCCGGCCGGCGGAATCTGCTCCATGAGACTCCGAAATATCAGAGACGTAATGACTTGCTGTTGGTTATGTATTTCGATACTCTGCTGCTGGATAATCCCTTGAGTAATTGCGAGCGTCCCTGTCCGTGAGTCGACAGCCGCGCGCAAGGCTGGTATGATCCATGGCGTGTCGGTTGTCGAAGATGCAATGTTGGCGCCGGTCAAGTAGCAAAGCTGACGCAAATTCTCTCCAATTTGGTTCCAGACACGAAAATAACCATGGTCGACAAATACGAATCCCGCAGTCATTGATTCAATAACATCTCGGTGAATTTCATTTTTTTTACCAACAAGTCTCTTAAAAAGCTGCTCAGAAATCCGAGGGGTCTTCGGCTCAATAGTTTTAAGCATATCTTGGACCTCACTGTCCTTGAAATGAATTGGACCATGGCTATGGACAATGGCAGACCTGTTAGCAACGTAGATTCTGGGGCTGTGTAATAAAAGCACATACCAAGTAATCCTAGATGCAGGCGTCCTCATCTCACTTCTCTTTACCACTACATCTTGAATCTCGTGCAGTAGATCTTGGTCCAATTGCAATCCCTGAACCTGATTCAGGATACTGCCAAAGTCGACTGCTGGATAGCGTTGATCTCCCGAATCTTCCAAGCACGTCTTGCTTTTATATTTCTTCAAGGCGGCGTCTAGCAGCCTGAGGAAATATGAACCCAGAGTTGAGTCGGTAGCCATGTATGCAGCGAGATTCTGATATCGGTGTGCTAAAAGAAATTGCTCGACAGCCTTTAAGAAAACATTTCCGTTGGTCAAGAATTCCGTCAGAGCTCCCTTTAGGTGTTTCATTTCGGAACCGCGCTCGCTTGAGCTTGCAGCTGTAAGTTCATCCAGGAACGGATGCTCGTTGACCAGGTGCTGTAACTCCTTGCCCGTGGAGACTCTTAGAAGGCAAGTAAGGGCTTCAGCCAAGTTGGAAAGATCAGATTTTGTTTGTACCGACATTACGTCTAGAATGCTTCACTAGGGGATGAAATAGTGTGGAACAGTGTGAATTGCCTTGCAGGGAGGAAATCAATACAAGGTAGGGAGCAAATTGAGAGTATTGAGGTGCGGCGAAACGTTTGCAGGCTAGAGATTTGCAGGAAAATGAGGATATCAGCCAAGGAATCATATTGAGGGTATTCAAGATATATATACACATACGGAATGTCTTGCCAAGTTAACATGTCCCCCCCACGCACAAAACACTCAATAATCCTTAGGATCCGGATCTACCCTTGCCTGACGATCTGTAGTGATGATTCACGCAGGAGCGACATAGCCTCGCAAATGATTATTGTATTGCTAACAAGCCCCTCGTCAATGTTATCTGCCAAGTGCATATACAAGGCCGCCAGTCGACATAGTACTAGTGTCTTCACCGTGACTCCCTCTTGAGTCTCGACTGCCACAGCAAACTGTCGCGGGGGCCGAAGCGCCATAATGGGTCGCCGGCGTGGTCTATAGGAGAAAATAGAATGCCCCAACCCTTCTAGAATCGACGACGTGGTGCGGTAGTGACCGGGCTGTAGGCTGAGCCTGGAGTTCAGATTTTAACAGCACGGGTTGCAGGCTGCAATATTAGCAAACATACGCCAGTACAGCAAGGTGGTACGACGCCAATACGACTCGAGACTCGCGGAAGCGCTCAATACATATGTCTCCGGTGAGACAAATGAAAATCATGCAGACTATATCTTTTCAACGATAGTACGTCCAAGCAGTGAAAGCTACTTGCCGACTAACGGTGCACAAGCTATGGAAATAAGCACCAAGTTTCAAGTTGCTTAACTAACCAGATCTGGGCGCCTGGGATGGCGTTATACCAACCTCTGTGCTTGTGCTCGTGAATGCAATATGCGGACACTTGATCGTATCAGGGCAGGGGCACACAGGAAGCAGTAGTATTTAAACTCGGCTTGGCAATCAAGCGCATGGACCTTCCATATCTGAACACTTGAGAAATCAAACGTCCCCTGCCGTAAACAGTGAATTTTTGGCCTCTCTATTGGCTGCCGGAACGACTTGCCAGATCTGGTGCTTACGCGGCCCGAGCCTTTCGGCAGACGAGGGGGCAACACATGCATTTGGAGGGGGGTGTTGCCAGCGTGCAGGCCTTGAATCACGCGGTGCGGGATAGCAAACAACAGGCCCCTCTGGTCTCTTTGGAAGACCTGGCTCATCATTCGGATGACGTGCATTTGCTGATGGAACTTGGAAGCCTAGCGCCAGGGCCAGGATCAGGGCTGTCAGGGGTCGCGGGATGAATTTGATGGCTTGCTCGGTGGGGAGCTGACATGGATAATGACAATCTGGCTTTCAATGTTAGCCACTTATCGCACCCTTGACCAGGGAACCTGAAGTGGACGGAACAACGGCCGGTTGGCTTGTGTTGACTGTCGCTGCGGCCATGTTCTCGCATTGGCCGCGTCTGGGGCAAAGCAATTTCCAGACCGAGTACTCGATACCATGACAAGTCTTGGTCTGAGACCCGCCGTGTCACTGTGGAAGTGTCGGTGGCTTGTCCATTTGAGCTGTGGCCCAACGCCGCGAGAAGTGTTGGGCAGCTCACTCTTGATCGATTACCAAAGCTTTGCCATGGTCTCGTTTGGAGCGCCAATTGAGGACAATTGATGGAAAGGTGAGCATTCAATGCTGCCAGCCGCTCCCCGCGCAGAGCATGAGAGTACACGTAGCAAGGCAAACCTGGTGAGGTCAAAGAGCGAAAATCTGCCTCATCGGCCTTTCTTCCGTAAAGTTGTCTTGTGGTGAACAACAAGGGGGTCCGACCTGGTTCCCTGGCTAACATTTAAACGTCACGTGCACTACTCTGGTTCAAAGGGCGCAATAATGTTACTCCGGAACAGCACCCCAGATTCCATCCAAGTTCAATGTTGGCAATTCCCCGCCCGCCCCGCTCGCGTAACTGACCCCGACGCCACTTTTGCACTTGCCAGGCAGCAAATCAGTTCCATGCCTGCCAAGCTTCGCTTGGGACTGAGAAGGCGAGCAACAACTCACCCGTCCGTCATGGGCATGCTGTAGCAAACGTCGCCCGACGTAGTATCATGTTGAAGCATTCCATGAAACACAGATCTCGCAGAGGATGCCTGACTTGCAAGCGAAAACACGTTGGTTGCATCACCTCGTCCCCCCCTCCAGCCCCCCCAACTGCGCTGACTCGGGCAGATCAAATGTGACGAGACGCGGCCTAGTTGCCGAAAATGCCTTCAAAAGGGCATTGCTTGTGGCGGATACTCGCGTAACCTTGTGTGGTCGTACAAACACCAGCCTAGTCTTCGCTGTCGCTCCGACGTCTCTGAACAACAAGTGTCACATCGGGAGGAAAGAAGACAATCCGACTTGGGGCAGCATCTTGTCTCGCAACTGCCAGAGCCCATGGTCGACGCTGTGCCTGACTTTACGCTAGAAGCACATGACGTTTCCTCCTTGTCTATGCTCCCTTTCGATGTCTTCCCAGATGGAGAGGACCGATTCTTGGATAGCCACATATTTGCACCGCCAGCCAACTCTATCCAGCTCGCCGGCCTCACATTAGACGTTGACTTGACCGCTTGTTTGGGCCAGACATCGGCCTGGAGTACTAGTATTACGGACCAAGGCCTGTCCACATGGAACCAGAATCATCTTTCCACTACGCCTTTGGCCCCGGGTATACCGCAATCGCCACGCTGGACCGAAGGCCCGGACGCGAACTTGGCGCTGATAGAAAGCTGGTTTGAACAAGTCTGTCCAGCTTGGTCTGCATTTGACTCTACGGTGAATCTGAATCGAACATTGGCCAATTCATTGTGGCACCGCTCGGCGTCCGTGTTCAACTCCCTCCAGAGCATGTCGGCTAGCTTTCTTTCCGCCAGACTCCCCCATCTCAGGCGACAGGCACTGGCTCTGCTCAATACCGCCAGTGTTTGTGTGCAGGCTGAGATGGATAACATCAAAGGCAATCCTAGCATAGAAACGTTCCCTACTGGACTAATGTTCTCTCTGCTCTGCTTGGGAACGTCCGTCTGCTGGCTGGACGCCCGTCTTCTCGGGTTGCCGTTCCTCAAGGAGGCAAAGGCTCTGCTTGGGCGTCTGTCAGATCAGTGTCTTGACACTCGAGACGATGCGGCACAAGACTTCCTCTTCTTCAGAAACAGCCTTGTGTACTGGGAAATGCTACTCGCCGTGGTGAATGGCGGCGATATAGCAGGTGACACGGATGAGCTTGTATCTCGGGAGCGCAACAAGAGCGAAACAATCACGGACTTGCTGCCGCATCCTTGGACAGGCATATCCAGCATGACGGCACGTTTGTTCTCCAGATCTGTCACGCTATGTAGGGCCTATCGCCGAATACTTACCAGGCCCACCGGGAGGGTGATTTCCCTTTCTGCAGCAATGGAGGCCTTTCAGGGCGCTCAAAAACTCGAAGAGCAGCTCCTAGCATTGGACTACTCATCGATGAGCAGGATGAACGATACTGGTGATCAAAAAACACCATGGCTCCATCTCGCCTGTGCTGCCGAAGCTTATCAACTCTCTGCCTTGCTTCAACTGTACATCACCTTCCCGGACCTGGTGTCAATGCGCTTGCAACTTGCATCAGCCCTTCCCGACGAGGACCACGCTTCTTGGGATAAACTCATTACCCCCTTGGCATGTGACCTTGTCAAAGTACTGAAAAAAATCCCCCCAGACTCTGGCAGCCGAGTTATCCAGCCCATTCTTTACATCTGTGCTAGTACCGGCCTGAGATATGGCCGATTGGATACACCAGCACCGTCGGCTCCCCATGGTTTAGAAACAGGGATACCTAATGGAGCAGCGTACTTGGACTGCATCAACTCCAATATTCTAGACTACGTCGATGGAATCGTTGCAACAAGTGACAAACAAACAGACTCTAGTCGAGTACCGTTGGAAGATGTAGGCATTGGCGCCTCTCGCGAGTTCATTATGAAACGTTTAGATATACTCGAGAACACTTTACAGCCGCGACCAATCAGAGTTGCCAAAGACCTGGTGAAGGCTATTTGGACCGCCTATGATGGAGAGCCTCCTGATTGTATCTCAGTTCATTGGTTTGATGTCATGGAAGCACATGATTTGCGATCATTATTTGGATGAGTTGTATGTTATGCAGCCTTTTGACATGTAAATCTCGGATATTGCGCTGCTGGTCATGTCTGTATCAGCCGAGCCAAGTAATGCTCCATGATGTCCTCATCTACTGATGGAGAGGGATGAGGCTGTATATAGGACCCAAGTGTCGAGGTTGAAAATTTGGGAGACGAACATGATTGGTATCAGGAGACTACAAGCAAAGCCACTGGCAACTTGCAACATATTTATGCCTCAACCAGCAGAGTACTGCCATCTGGATTGCCACACCATGGCAACGGCGCACCTTTTGCCACGTTGCTGAAACCCCAGGCCACGCTTCATGTTTATTTGTCGACACTGCGCGGGCTGCCCGTTGGGCGTGGGCGCGCGGGGTAAGTGATGCAGGAGGGAGCGACCTCAAACCCAATGGGGAAAACATTGCCGGCCGATAAAGCTACTCGTAATCAATACATGTGGATCATGTCAGACCGTGGCCCCAGGAGACCAATGTGAATATTATAGGTGGCCCGGGCGTCATGGGGCCATGATAGATAGACGCATCCCATTCAAATATGAGGCACTGAGAGCACCAGGGCAGACAGAGAAGCGTGTGGTATAGTGGCATCTTGTTTCTTGTGAAACCTCTCGTCTAGACGCGGCAATAATGTCGATTTCAGCCTTGCTTAGTGTGCCCAACGACTGCGGACTGCCCCCAATACTGCTAGTGGCTGCATTAATAGTCTTGACTGGCATTGCTATCCGACGCACTTCCCAACAGCGCATCGACGTTGGAAGACCGTTGCGTCTCATCACTAAGGCTCAAGGCGAGTCCCCTCAAAGCGCTACCAGCCCGATATGTTACAGGGTTCAAAGCCCTCAACCATATCACGGCTGGTCTATTCGCCATACAAAGCCGCTCCCATACAGGGCCTTTAGATACGGACCGAAATACAACATCACAATGGGACTCCGTACCATTGATCGGGACGAATGGATCGAGCTTGACAATCACTTCCCAAAATATCATGCTGACAAGGCAATACGCATTCAAGAGCGAGGCGACAAGTGCATCAAGACTCACCCGGATGCCGTTCCAGCCGCCATGGAGCTCCTCGAGGAGCTCGCAAACTATCTACCTGCGCGGTATCCCGGCCTGTTTAAACGAACAGCAGTGGGAATTGACAACGTTTGGTCGGGCGAGTCTTTTAACATTCTGCAACGGCCACTCCGGGAAGACCCAATGACAGTATGTGCCAGGTTAATTCAAGATGACCTGGCCCTGTTACTAGAACAGCCAGACGGGACGTATCGCCTCCTGGCCGGGTGTATTCTCTTGGCTGGCTTTTGGAGACTCTCTGACAAGTTCGGCATGTCACTGTCGGATATTCACACCTCTGGAAACGTCCCCTCCTTTCAAGAAAAGCTCGAAAGGGGCATGGTCAAGTTCTTTCAGAGAATCAAGACCGATACCATGTACGGACGCAGCAACTATTTCATCCAAGTCGACGATTCGTTGCCGTGGAGCCACAGCATTGGCGACGAGGACGACCCGGACGTGGGCTGGAGTACGGCCGAACAGGGCAAAATTATTCACCATCACTGGTTCAGGTCCGAGAGACAGTCTCTTCGTCGACTACCCAGGACGCGGGCCATTTGCTTCACCATCCGGACCTACTTCTTGCCCATTACCGAGATGGCAGAGGAGGACTATGTTCCAGGCAGGTTGTCCAGCGCCATCCGTAGCTGGGACCATGACGTCTCAAAGTACAAGGGCCGGGCGAAATATGAAGCTGTTTTGCTCGACTACCTCGACCGAAAACACCAGGACCAGGTGCGCAATGGGCTGGATTTGGCTCGCGAGGAACACGTGCGACAATACCCTTGGTAAAGAGGACTTTTCGTTGAGGTATCATGACTGTACCGCACGAGAGTATGGGAAAAGTGTTGAGACCGAAGGCGGCGGTAAGGTGTTACACGGAAAAGGCCCAACAGATCGTGAAACCCAACAAAGGGGCTTCGCCGATACAGGGCTTATTGGTTACACAGTTAGAACACGTGCCCAGGCAAGGACCTTAGGCCTGGGCGTTCCTTTCATGTATATAAAGCGATCAGCCTTCTCTTCCTTTCTCGTAGCAACTCAGGACCTTTGATATCCTACGAGATTATTATTGAATTGAGCCCTTTCGCTCCAAGCCTTCTGTATTGAACCCTTGTCACATTAGGCCAGAGTTACAACAATCGCGGCAGGGCTGGGCTTGGGCCGGACTGCCAAATGCATCAACACAGGCCGTCAAGGCAATAGTTGTAGAAATGAATTGATTGTCTTTTCGGGGGTTCTACGGCGTAGCATGCTTGTCTTGTCGGTGCTGTGACTCCACGTCTTTCTTGTCATGTCGCGCAGCATGGAGCACTTGAGCTTGATGACGACTGGCAGCCCGCAAGGAAAGAGCCACCCATCCATTCCTCACCTGTGACATTGGGTAATTCCACGCCAGCTGGCGACTGCTTTCACCAGATGCCAACTCGTTTTTCCTTTCCCTTGATGTTGATTTGTTTTTTTCTTTATTCCCCCTTCTTGCCAACTACCACTACTACTACCACTACCACCGTCATCGTCGTTGTCGTCGTCGTCGTCACCATCATTATTATCGCTAATAATAATAATATTATCACTGTTGTTATTATCATTATTAACAGCAGCGGCAACATCATCAGCAGCAGCAACAGCAACAGCATCATCATCAACGGCAACAACAACAGCAGCGTCAGCAGCAGCAGTCATAGTACGTAAATCACGTTTCATTGCTCTATAGCTTACTAATATTGGTAGATACCTTACGACGTGCCGGCCGCTAGGAGAATTGGCTGCCGGCGTGGCCATGCTGACACCAACCAAGCGAGCAATGTCGAGGACACAACCAAGCGGGCACTGCTGGGAACACAACCACGCGGGCACTGCTGGGAACACAACCAAGGCACTGCTGGGAACACCAACCCAGTGCGGAATATCGAGGACAACAGCCCAGTCGGGAACGTCGAGGACAAGGTCAATCCAACTACGTTCGAGCATATACTACTAGCATTAATAAACTCTTATCATCTATGATATCTATCGGCAATTCAAAGCTTGCCGCGTTGGAGAGAGCGGGGCCGTGGCAGAATATATTTGCCAACCAAAAAGTATACAATAATACACTGTAATGTCTGGTGTTATAATACCGGGCGCGATACACTAGTGCTTGAACCGGTCAAATACTTTTAGCCTCGCACTGTCCGTGCTCCCGGGTAAAATTCCCCAAACAAGCAAGGTTATGCTCAGAGGTGGAACTGGCAGGCCACCAACGGAACGGACACCAATAAGAATTCATTGCCATTTGATACGATACCGGAGCGCGTGGGAATCCCCGTTGTTGGCCCACGTTCGACATCTGGTTTAGATATTTAATCGCTGTAGTATTCGCGGGTGATGAGATAGCACTACCATCATCAACCTTTGCTTCTCATCTTTTGTTTCTCGAATCATTGCACCATGGCAACCACACATCACCCCTTGGATCCTCTCTCTGCAGAAGAGATTGAGGCTGCCGTCGCCATTGTAAGGGAAACTCACCAAAACGTCAAGTTCCAGATAGTGTCGTTGCATGAGCCTCGCAAGGCGACCCTGTCAAAGTGGTTGGCCGATCGGTCACACGCAACAAAGCCCCCACGCGTTGCGGATGTATCCGTCATTACTCCAGGGGGGAACGTTGGAGACGGTCTTGTCGACCTTGAAAAGAAACAGATTGTTCAGTGGGAATGGATAAATGGCCAACAACCAATTGTTAGTCACATTCAAATGTCATATGTGTTGGCGAGTAAACTTACACGCTCCGTCTTAGATTACTGTGGAGGAGCTGCAAAGAGTTGAGCAGGTAATTCGCTCCGATCCCAATGTCATCAAGCAATGCGAAATAAGTGGCATTCCGAGGGACGAAATGCACAAGGTCTACTGTGATCCCTGGACCATCGGCTATGACGAACGCTTTGGGAGCAATGTGCGCCTCCAGCAAGCCCTAATGTATTTTCGGCCGCACATCGACGACTGCCAGTACCAGTATCCATTGGACTTTTGCCCAATTTACGACAGTGACAAGGGTGAAATCATTCACATTGACATCCCACAAACGCGGCGCCCGCTGAGAAGGGAGACCACCATAAACTATTATCCAGCAGATATTGAAGCCAAAGGAGGCTACCGCAAAGACCTGAAACCCCTTGAAATCACCCAACCTGAAGGCCCATCATTCAAGTTGAACGGCCGAGAAATGGAATGGCAGAATTGGAAGTTTCACATCGGCTTCAACTATAGAGAGGGCATTGTGCTCAACGACATCCGCTACAATGACGGTGGCACGATTCGGCCAATTTTCTATCGCATGTCGCTGGTCGAGATGGTTGTACCCTAGTAAGCTGGCCGAATGACCATGGATGAATTCGCATCACCTGACAATATGTAGTGGCAATCCAGAACGGCCGCATCAGAGAAAGCATGCCTTTGATTTGGGCGAATATGGTGCTGGATACATGACCAACAGCCTCGAATTGGGTTGTGACTGCAAGGGTTGTATTCGCTATCTAGACGCAGAGTTTCCCACGAGAGAGGGTGCCATCCGGCGTATAAAGAACGCCGTCTGCGTACACGAAATCGATGGGGAGGTGCTATTTAAGCATACCGACTTTAGGGACGAGTCAGGCATAGTCACGAGAGCGCGCAAGCTCGTTATACAGCAAATCTTCACGGCGGCCAATTACGAATATGCCATCCAAGTACGTATCGCGAATGACGGCGCTATAGGAGATGCAAGCTAACATGCCCGTGTACAGTGGATTTTTCATGTATGTTCTGTTGGAGCATTGTTGGCTTATAGACTAATAATCCTCTAGCAAGATGGCACAATTCAGCCAGAAATCAAGTTGACGGGGATTTTGAACACGTATTCCATCAATCCTGGAGAAGATACCAATGGATGGGGCACCGAGGTGTATCCAGGTACGTTGCCAACACCATCCTAGACGAAGGAGTTGAGAACTGACTCTCCCAAAACAAAAAGGTGTCAATGCGCACAATCACCAGCATCTTTTTTGTCTCAGAATCAATTCCAGTGTCGACGGACCGCAAAACACCGTCTATATGACGGATGCTGTTCCCTCCGACGAACCTGTTGGGAGCCCGATGAACCCTTACGGCAACGCATTCTATGCCAAGAGAACCAAGCTTGCCACTACTAGACAAGCGATAACCGACTACAACGGAGCCACTGTGAGGACCTGGGATATTTGCAATACCAATAAGATCCATCCGTTCAGCAAGAAGCCAGCCAGCTACAAGCTTGTGAGTCGTGAGGTCCCTCACCTGCTACCAAAGCCGGGCTCCCTCGTATGGAAGCGAGCCGGGTTTGCGCGACACGCAGTCCACGTAACAAAATGTATGTTCCCATAGTCCCCTCCTTTTCGCTTTTCACAGCTTGCAAGACTTTTTTGCCTGACTCGTTCTACTCGTGCTGCAGATCGGGACGATCAACTCTGGCCCGCTGGTCGACATGTACCTCAAACCTCGGGCGAGACTGATGTCGGCTTGATGGAGTGGATTGGTGACGGGTCAGAAAGCATTGATAACGAGGACATTGTCTTGTGGCACACATTTGGAGTCGTGCACTTTCCATCCCCGGAGGATTTTCCCATTATGCCAGCGGAGCCCATGACGTTGCTGTTGCGGCCGCGCAACTTCTTCAGAAACAACCCAGTGATGGATGTGCCGCCGCAGCGAGCACTTACAGCGAGTCAAGCACTGAGGAAGACGAATAGTGGGATAGGTTCATCTAAGCTCTAGGATGTGTACGACTATCATGCACTATATAAATGAGGACTATTGAAGCGCGATCGATTAGAGCCATTCATGACTCCCGTCACCTGTAATTCAGGATAGGTGTTGGAATGTCTTGTAAGGAATTAAAAGAGTGATTTTACAGCTATAACATTGGGGGATTTGTTTTGGGCTATCACGCGGATGTCACCTGGGGGCTACGATGACGAGCTGTCGAACACGGGGTTCTTCGCTATTTTGTATGAATGCCTTTGGTGCAAAGAGCCTGAGGAAAACCGAGGACCTTTGATACCAACGATTATTGTTGGATGAATTGAGCTATTGAACCAAGCTCTACGCTGAGCCCTTGCCACAATAGGCAAGTGTTGGGTCTTTTTTGTCACGTAGAGTGTGCTGCCCAACCGGCTTTTCAAGACGTATTATTGTTGGCTTTCTTTTTCCCGTAATTCAACAAAGGCTGTACTAGATTCGCTAGCTCCTTAGACTAGCAGGTCTTGTAGACAATTACATATAGTCTATTTTGAATGGTTTATTCACGCGTTATGTACAAGATCACAACCAATTAAATCAATCGTAATACAGGGTACTATGAATAGTAGTATACTAGTTTACTTTACATACAGGATAATATATTTCTTTACATTTTACGTACACCATCAAGTATACATGATACAACACGGCCCCGGCGCAAGAGGCAGTGCCCTACCGCAATACATGTACAGACCCGACTGCCTTGTGTCTATTCTCGCCGTGAGAATGGAAACCCTAGAGACAAAGCTCACCTGGCCACGACACTCTTGGCCTGGCAGGACGGCATCTGATTCGTAGGTTGAAGCCTGCAAAACTGGCCGCTGCCACACTCTCCGGTAGTCTACATCGACAAATCTCGATTAGCTCAAAGTTGTCTACACGGGGACGCTGCAGACAAAACTCACCTCCCATCTGCCGCTGCTGCTGCAGAGAATCTGCGTCGGGACGTTGGTGCCGGGGGCGTTTCCGCACCCATGAATACCCGGGCTGCAGGTCTCAACCAGAAACCCGTCCGCGACTGCTTGCTTGACGCTCGTACTCAGCACGTACTGGGTGCCCTTGCCGGGCTGCCCGAACCAAGGTGCGATGGGCCCTTCCCGCACCACAAGCTCCTTGATTACTTGATAGACGTGGAAGTTGTACGGGGTTCCACTATGCCGGGTTAGAAGACAGACTGGAAGCAACAGAAGCGCCGGGCCGGAGGAGACTTACTCTGAATACTTGGGGTTGTTTGCCAAGTTCATGGGCGGGAGGGATCGCTGCTCGTACGGGGTGCCGTACGGGGCCACGAAGAACCCCCGATCCGCGCCGAAACGGTCAATCAGCGTTCCTGGGGTGAGAGTTGTGTTTGTCATGACGGGGTCTCCGTTTGCGTCGAGCTGGAACCCATCCTTCTGGGGATACCTCAGCCCCCTGTCTGCGCCGTACTCGGACAGAAAGGCGCCGGGGCAGCTCCCGGCAAAGGGGTTGTAGCTGGTGAGCAGAGGGCCCAGGACACTGTTTGTGAGGATCTCCCTGTTCTGAAGGTCGATTGGGCCGAGGCGATTGTCGCCGCAAATGTACTGGTCCGATGCTGCAGGGCTGGGGACGCCGCTGCAGAAGTCCTTTGCGTCGCATTGCACTGCCGTCGCGGCGGCTTCTACTGCATCAGGCACAAATGGCCTTGCAGAGGCCAGCCATAGGAGGGAGAAGGAGATAATTGGGGTGATGGCGTGCATGGCGAATAGTGGTGCGGGCGGCGGCGATACTTGGCAGAGGGCGAATCACCAATTGAACGGGGCAAATCTGGCAACGGTATCGTGTTGTATTGTCGGGATAATGGGCGAGACGACTCTCTCAAGCTGGCTCTACCTAGGTATTTATATAGTTTTGTCGGATTATCTGGCCTTCAAGTCCCGTAGACTAAGCGATGCCTTGGCCCTTGAGACCTGTGCATTGGCAGCCGTACAGGGGATCGCCTCAAGCACGGCTACAAATTATGAATTCCTGCCGTCTTGTTGGTCCTACCACGCCGACTTGATACGAATCCGGCGTGTATTGCCATGATGTTGTGGCTGAGCTGCAGTTTGTCGGATCCTGCATGCCAAGCAATCTTGACTCGCAGCATGTTCTCGCTATTTTATGGGTCAGAGGAACTGCTGTGCTCTCGCCTGGCAAGCACCTCATTGCACAATCTCGGGAGTTGCACCGCAAAAGACTTAGTGAGTGTTACCTGCACGCCGGCACAGCTGGTTTAGATGCCGTGGCCAAGGATGCGGCCATTTCGAGCTCAGCCCGCACATTACTCGCTTTGTTCGGGTCTGCCCACGGAGAGCTGAACAGCGAGCTCGCTCATAATTTGGTACTTGTAGTTATTGGGCTTCTCGTATAGGAGCAGACTTCGAGGTTCCCACAGGCTGCTTCAACAGTTCAGGGGTTTAAACGAACCTCCACTAGCACCTTGCCAGCACCTTGCCAGTTGAGATTGCGGATCCAGACAAATCAACGGGAGCAGCGGTGATTCCAGAGTAGGACTTGAAAATGCGCCGTACTAGTATCTACGAACAGAGCTGGTTTGCCGAGGTCGAATTGGCTCCCGTGGACTGCTCCTCTGGTGTCCTTCTCGGGGCGTCCACCTTTGTGGGTGAGTTGCGGGGGTGGGATTGCATTGCCTCGTCGGCCGGGGTTGACGCTGGTCATAAGTTCAATATAACATTTGAACATAAAAGCGGCCTTTGGCAGGCCTTGTCTCGTAGAAGCTCTGAAGCTCCCTCCTGATTCCATGAAGGCTTGGCACGAGTACCTGGCAGGGTAGCTACAAGTACCTACATGTAGGAGCACTTGGGATTAGACCATTGACTGCTTGACCATTTTGTATTGACTAGTAAAATCACTACGAGTGCTGTCGGTTTTAAAGAGGAGCCGTCGATATACTCCGTCCGGTGCTATATTGTCAATATACGGACGGACCCACCTTTTTAGATGACCGTCCCACGATGTTGTGATAAGCTTTCTAGGGATGGTGAACCGGCAGTCTGTTCTTCCGTGCTGGGGTATTATTGCGAGTAGTTTATTTGTCTCTTGGCGGGCCGAGACTTTTGATCCGCCCGCAAAGCATGAAGCGGGCCAATTCGACATGTGCATCTCCAGATGTCACCGTCAGTTCCTGCGATACGACATACGAGTCCCGCCCAAGTATAGAATCTATCAGCCCACGTTGTCACGGGCGACTCCCGCGGCTGTGGACCTCGCCTGGAATTTTGCGGTTATTGACACATGTTGCCCCGGACCTATCAGACTCAAAGAAATGAGTCGCGGGCATGTGTCGGAAACCGACTTCAAACAATCGGGTGCAATCCTCGGGTATCTTGAAATGTCTACTATGATCAACTGCTCTGGGTACTACAGTCTACTCAAGGCAATGTCGCCAGCGCAATTTCAGCTGATTGTTTTTCTTCCAAACTATCGAAACGCTTGAAACCCGTTCTACTATTTACATGTAGTGTGATGTAATACCCCCCAACGAACTACATTGTTGGCTAGTTCTCCGTCCTGTCTAATAAGCTACCCTGTATCACGTATTTACACCAGCGGCACAACGGCTTGCGAATTCCCACATTTACTATTATACGTAGTGCTTATTGTCAGGATAAATCCTTTTTCACCGCCAATTCCTTTTACCCAAATGAATATATGCGGTACCAAAATTTGGACAAGCAGGCCAGAGTACCCGTTACCCCATATAGCAGCAATGCATCCCCTATTCGGCATGGGGCAGTATGGACACTGTTCCGATGGAACTATGCCACCAAATAAAGAGACTACTTTATGCTAAAATTTGCCATATACGACGCAATTGACCAATTCCAGTGTGTGCTGAAGCTTCCCCACGTAGACGCAGAATACACAATTCACTGCCATGGGCTGATGGTATCAAGACTTGAAAAATTTACATCGTACATATGTACACGTAGGCCCAGAACCCCCTCCAAACACTGTAGCGCGTTCTTAAACATTGTGGTATTATATTAGCGCAACAAGGAGTATTAGATATTAAGGTAGTTTTTCACCCATGCCAACTCTTGTTTCCATCTCGCGGTGTCAATCTCGATTCGGCACTACTACACGTAAAGAACCCTAAACCTGCGTAGCTGGCGCGGTTCCATTCTGAACAGCCGCGGCAGGTGTCGCGCTGGCTGCTGAATTTCTGGTCGCTTCGCTGACCGGTCTTTCCTTGTGGACGACGTTGCTTTCGCGGCGGTCATTGTGAAAAGCTCGCAGTAGAAACGCCTCGATTACGATGTTGCAGAGAAGGAAGAAGCTGTTGGAACACGGTTACCTCTGATGGCGCTGCAAAACGGACAATTGCGGATTCCTTGGCTTACAAGGCAATAAAGTTGAACGCCTCGACGGCTCTCTTCCTCCCACACCGGTTCGTACCCAACGGCTCTTGTCGACAAAGATGGCCGCTCCAATCCACGGCAGAGAAAATAAACGAAGTTAACCAGAGGTAGGAGAAGATGAAGTTGACCGGGAGGAAATAGCCCTCGTAGCTCTTAAGAATGGGGGCAATCATGGCAACCAAATATATCGGGATTGTGATGACAGCCTATGGTACAAGAATCAGTCGAGAGGCGTGGGGTGAGAAAAATTCCATACATACAATCACCTCGGTGTACACTATGTGTGAGCCTCGGAAGCGGAAACCGTTGAGAAACCACGATACTAGTCCCGTGACAATAACGGCCGACGCAAAAACCATGAAGTGGCAGAAGCCTGCAGCTGCCCTCAAGGTGCCATGGGCCATGGTAACAGTCTTTTTGGTGGAATATATATATATGTATATATATAGATATATATGCGGCGGTTGGAGGATGTGGTGGGTGCAGTACACTAGTGAATGGCCGTCCCCCGACTCTTTATACCTCTCATATGAAGAGTAGCCGGGAGAATCCCTCCGTCACGTAACCCATACACGACGAAATAGTCAGCGGGAAAAACGTAGCATTACAGAGTCCAGACCAGTCTTTGCACGCTTTCAAATGGTCGACGGCCAATAGTCGCAAAGAAACAGCGCCGTCATAGGAGAGAGGGTTGGAACTGAGGTAGCAGCATGAATGGTGGCGGTCTTTTGTGATGTAATATCTGGGAGGTTGTAAGCAAAAGAGACTTTGGTGGCAGTCGCCCTTCTTGTCCTCTACTGGGCGAGCGGTTCTGCGGCGCGTTCCATTGCGGCCATCGAGCGCCCCGCCTGACAGCATGGAGCAAGATGCATCAATGCAATCAGATGGCGCGGGAGGGAAAGGACATATCATCCGGCAATCACACAGATACATACAGAGTAGACAGAACTACCTGGGTGCCTCGGTATATGGGTGAAACAGCCATGGTGTAGCAAGAAGCTTCAACTTGGGGCAGAGGGAATAAGCCGGCCTTGGTATAGAGCTCTAGACTTGGAGCAACCTGTGCATTGCCAAGGACGGAGATGAAAGCAATTTTTGTCATACGAGTGCCGGGTAGGCTTTCTTTATTCACTCGGGCTTTGTTTGGGAGAATGAGGTGACAAAAGACATTGGCCCTCGACGGAAAGACATCCACGGAACAGCCGGAAGCCTGGCAGATCAATTCGTACTCGCCCACGTCTTACAGTATACCACCTCAGAGGGCCTCGCTGTCTAGCCAAATTCTTCTGCAATCAGTCTCTGTGTTTCTTTCTTTACCACGTGTCTCCAATGGGGTGACCCCGGCCAGCATTTCCCAATGTCAACCCCGAGCCTGCAATCAACAGGCTGCAATAGTCATGACACATGAATATGCAGCACAACACCATTAGCTCTCGATATGATTGTTTTGCATGTCGAAGCAAAGCGATGTCGCTGGGAATATGTTCTCTCAACCGATCACGTGGACGCCAGATACACCATCGGTATTCGTGGCCGATCACGTGGTCGCACTCGGTGCATCTTGACCGTCGGCATGCTTATCTGTGCCTCGCGGTCCAGAACGACCGATAGGCTAGGATGCAGATGATTTGGAAAAGGGGGGGAAAGAATATGAATTATTATATCAGGACGTCAATGGTGCCCATCTCGTTGGGCTTGAACGACATGTCGATATAAGCCATCTTGGTCGCAGGCTGGTCACATTTGACTACACTTACAAGACTTTTGTTTTTCACTCCCACAACAAACTTGTTGACTTTGTCATAACCTTTTCAAAAACTTTGTCACTTGAAATGGCACCGTCCTTTCTAAAGGGTTACTTTGGCTTTGGGGCAAATCCGGCCGTGGACGAGCTCGAAGAGGGAAAGAATCCTATTCGTGCCTTGCCCGCCAGCTGGTACACCTCGCAAGACCTCTACGAACTGGAAAGGCGAGCCATCTTCTCCAAGAAGTGGCTCCTCACCACGCACAAGTCCAGGCTTGCCGAGCAGGGCGACTGGCTACGATATGACGTGGCCGGCTTCCAGTTCATCATCACCCGGGACCGACAGGACAACATCAACGCCTTCCACAATGTCTGCAGGCACCGGGCATTCCCGATTGTGACCAAGGAGACTGGCCACAACAGCGTGCTGGCATGCAAGTATCACGGGTGGTCGTATGGGCTGAACGGCAAGCTGGCCAAGGCGCCCGGGTACCAGGACATGGAGGACTTTGACAAGTCGAAAAACGGCCTGTTCCCTCTGCATGTCCACGTCGACAAGAACGGGTTTGTCTGGGTCAACATGGATGCGAATGAGGTGCCCGAGGTGGCGTGGGAGCACGACTTTGAAGGGGTCGACGAGCAGCCGCGGTTCAAAAACTACAACTTTGACGACTACGTGTTTGACCACGCGTGGGAGATGGAGGGCGACTACAACTGGAAGATCCTGGCGGACAACTACAATGAGTGCTATCACTGCAAGACGACGCACCCGGACATTCCCACCATTGCAGACCTCAACTCGTACTACGTCGAGACAAAGGGCGGCCACATCCAGCACTTTGGAAACCCGAAACCGGAGCAAATCGCGCGCGGGCTCAACGTTGCCAGCACCTACTTCTTCCCCAACGCGTCCATGAACGTCTCGTAAGTGTTTCTGTGTGACCAGGAAAGAAATGAGGCTGCCTGGGTTGTTTTTTGATCTCACGCTGACGTGCCCGCTGCAGGCCACACTTCTTCTTCATGCAGAGGTTCGTGCCGCTCAGCCCCGGAAAGGCGGTGATGAAGTACGAAGTGTACAGGAACAAGAACTCGGGCGACGAGGACTTCAAGCTCATTGACGACATGTACAAGCGCATCATGTCCGAGGACAAGGTGCTCTGCGCCAATGCCCAGAGGAACATCAACACGGGTGTCTTTATCAACGGCGAGATGCACCCCAAGATGGAAAAGGGCCCGCTGTACTTCCAGAAGCTGGTGCGGCAGTCGCTGACGGAGCACCACCAGCTCGAGGCGGACGCGGGCGAGGAGATATGGCCGGCGCGCCAGACGTTGCCCAAGAGCGCGGTGGCGACGGAGAAGGACATGAACTTCTGCTCGGCGGTGGACTGCTGCAAGAACAACCGGGTTGCTGTAGAGGTGTAGAGGGAGACTCTTTTTTTTTGGCGCGTTACATTGAGACTTGTGCTTTTGTTGTTGCTACATCCATAGTAGAGCTAATGAGGAAATGACTGTATCTTGCGGCCTTTGATCCGCTCTTGCACCCTGCAGCCAGGCCAATTTTGGTGAAACCATGTAATTGTCTCTTGAGAATTCAAAGTATACAATTTGCCATGTTGGCAGAGTCGAGTCGCACATGGGTTCAATGTTCGGGTTGGGCCAAATTGCCACCGCATCTGTATCCGGATTCCGGACCGCCGACGCCTTGTTTGCGCGCCGGCATTGAATTTGACACAACCAGCTCTCGAGTCAAGCTGACCCCTCCACGCTCTAGAGCCTAGTCCATGCGTCACCATGACCCGGACTGTTACCTAATAAAATGCCAGACATATGTCGACACATGGTGGGTGTTGCCAGCCCGGGCTCTTGGCTCCTCGGCCGCCAAAACCTCTTGGGTCAACTCGGCCTCGACAGCCATTGACACAACTAGTATGGAGGCATCAACAGGAACGAAACTGACGAGCAGAGCACACCCCCCCACCCTTCCGTGGTTCGCATCTGCACGGATTGCGGTGCCGTGTCATGTCTCTGGGCTCCCGACCAGACAACACAAGACCAGACGGGACACATCAACCATCAGGCCCCAGGCCAGCCCTCCCCGGAGCAAGCGGCACAGGCAAAGTAGTTTCGTGCAGGAGACAAGTGGCGTCTGGCCTCCTGTATCGGCCCAAACGCTCTGGGCTGCTATCATGATCCCCCGCACTCTTGACCTGACTGAGACACGCCAGCTCCGTCCACAATCACAGTGCGGTCCACCCATAAAAGACCGTGGCGATAAGCCACCCTCCGTATCTGGGGTCAAAGTTATTGGCACCAAGACTTGTGCCGGCCTGCTCTCGGCCTGCTTGCTGCTGTATCTGTCAACTCACTTTGCCGGTGTCGTGGTTGGCGAGCATCATGACACCGCCCGACGAGACGTTTGGAACCGCAGCGCGTGGGAGACGACGATCGCATCATGCCTGCCTCACCTGCCGGTCTGTCGCGCCCGTGTTGATGCCTCCACGGACCATGGCCCTCCATGTCCCGCTGAACATTGAACCCGTCCCGCTGACCTTTTCGACGACGCAGGAGAAAAAAGGTTCGCTGTCCCGCCGAGAAGCCCGCCTGCTCCAGCTGCGTCCGCCTCAAGCAGACGTGCTCCTATCCGCCCGCAGCCAAGGCGGCTCGAAGTGGCCGATCGGTATGTCCTGCCCTCCTCGCAACGGCCGCTGCGCACCTCTGACGAGACCACAAACCGGCAGGAGGAGAGATTGGCGCACCTTGAAGAGAAATTGGATCTCCTCTTAACTGGGAGGTTGTACAGACAACGTCCACATCACCCCCAGCGTTCAGACCTTCTGACCAGGTTCCCAAAGGCCCAGCCAGTCTTCGAGCCAAGAGCAACCGCCCGACGATGTCTCCAGCTTCTCTGAAAAGTCCCTCTCGGCGACGCCCCCGGCGCGAGAGAACCAACACGCCTATGCCTTTGGCGGCCTCGCCTTGTCGACGCCCTTCGAAGCGGAACTCTCCAAGCTGCGACCGAGCCCGTCCGACATTGCCCTCGGCATCCGCCTCTACTTTGAGTTTTGCCATCGGCAGCCCATTTGGTGCTTCGAGCGAGATGAGGTTAGCGACATCGGCTCCCTTACTGACGAGCTTGCTTGCAGCATCCTGGCTGTCACGTCGCGCTTCTCGCGGAGACGAGACGAGCTGCAGGTCTACGGCGACAACGCCAGAAGCATGATCATGGCCCGCGTGGCCAACGGCTCCGTCGGTCTTGCCACCATAGAGAGCCTGTGCATCCTGTGTTATTCGTCATTTATAGGTAATAATCAGCACCACCCCCCACCCCCCTTTCCAACTGCGAGCTCTCGCGTGTGGCTAATCGCAAGTCGTGCAGACGGAAACGTGCATCTCGGCCAGTTTCACCTCGGACTGGCCCTGCAACTGTGCCGGTCGGCCATGCTGGACCTGGACGCGGGATACGCCATGGACGACCTCACGTCGGAGCGCAAGAAGAGAGTCTTTTGGAGTCTGCAGGTCCTGGACCAGTACCACGGCCGCCAGACGGGAATCCTCAGCGCGCCGACAGAGATATGGCGGCAGTCGCACGGCTCGGGCGGCGTCGAGCATCGCCATCACATGGAGCTGGACGCCAAAGTGCCGCCCCTGCCGCTCGACGATCTCGGCCACACGGTCCCGAGCGAGCCTGGCATCTGGAATACAAGCGTCCATCTCGGCTGGGTCTGGAGCCGCGTGCGGAAATACGTGTCGGACTGCGCGCACGGCATCTTCCGCGAGCCCTGGCGGCGCGACTCCATGTATGCCACGGTCCTGTCCGACTTCATGGAGGCCGAGAACAGGATCCCCATGTGCCACAGGTACGACTCTGTCAAGTTTTACGAGCGCAAGATGGAGGACATCAAGATGAACCGCGACTACTGGGCGACGTGGCTCAAGGAGCAGTTTACGTACCACGCCATCCCGACCGTCCTCAACCACCCGTTCCTCTACATCGTGGGCGCGCAGCACAACGCGAACCTGGCGATTCCCAACACCTTTTGGCGGCGGTCGTCGGAGCTGGCGCTCATACACTCGACGTGGATCGTGCGCATGATTGACATGGTGCTGGACAAGCAGGTGCCCCTGACGGATCCCTTCTTCGGCCACATTGCCGCCATCGCCGCCACCGTGCATCTGTACTATTGCTGCGCGGCGGCGGCCAAGCTGAAGCACAAGTCCAACGCCGACTTTGCCAAGTGCAGGCGCTTCCTCAAGGGCTTCATCCCCTTTTCGCCGGCGTGCCGGGCCCTGGTGCGTATTCCCCCCGCGTCGCTGACAGCAACTTACACGGCATCCCACGGCTAACATGTGTTTCGACAGGACCAAAACCTGGACAAGATGACCCGGATCGCCGCCGGCTCCGAGACAAACGACGTCGAGGACTGGATGCCGTCCCGCATCTACCTCAGCGTGCCGCTCATGTGGAACATTCTGCAGTTCAACTGCACGGCCGACTCGAGGGAGTTTCCGCACACGGGCCTGCTGGACGCGTCGCTGGCCCTCACCGTCGCCCGCGAAGACGACGACGAGGCCACGACGCTCGACATCATCGTGGCCACGTCGCCCGAGATCACCGTCAACACGGCCGACGGCGGCCAGGACGCGCCCACTCTGCCGTTCAAGGGCACCGTCAACTCGTCGCCCAGCTCGTCGGCCGAGACGGCCTTTAACGAGATTTCGGCCGAGCAGGCGGATAGTCTCACTTTCAACACGACGCCGTGGCTGTATGCCGACCCGTCGCAGTTTGACTCCATGACGGACCTTGTCTATCACGACGCGCGGCCGAGCATGGGCGGCAGCAGGGGCAGGGCGTGGTGGGAGGGGGGGGATATGGACGACAGTATCTTCAGTCACATTTAGCGTTGATGTATTTCACAGCGTGCGAAGGGCTGTACTTTTTTTCATTTTCATTTTTTTTTTTAATTTTTTTTTTTCACCTGGATGGAAGGGTTCTTGGTGTACAGAGTCTCTTATACCTCATGGCGTTTGGAAGCAAAATGAACAAGGTGCTTTCATGCTACACCCGTGTATAAAACTGTGTGTGTGTGATGATGATGATGTCTGACTAGTAATATCTGCTTTTTTCTACATTCCCCGTCTTGTCGGAGTTTTGTCCGCCCACGTCGACCTGGCCCGCGGATGCTTCAGCGTGAAGCCTCGCGAGCTTCTATGATATTGACCAGACATGATCAACCCCAGCCACAGTTGCGGGGATGGCACAGTGCCAGGCTGCCCGCGCGGCGGCCCCTTCGGCCAATGAATGCCGGGCGATTGCAGCTTCGACTAGCGTCGATCTTGGTCCCTTTATCGGCACCCGCTGGCTCTGGGGAAGACGGGGGCGCGGTGGCCAGGATGCTTCAGATTGCGGAGGAGTCAGGAGCCGGGACCAGACAGACCCTGGCCGCGTCCCACGAGACGGCGAACTACAGTTTGTCAGGTCCAGCTCGCGGTGCGCCGGCGTCGGAGCCTGCATGATGCCAGGCGTCAATGGGGACATCGGTGGGCTCCCAGAAACGGCAACCATCCGACATGCTCTGCAGCCGGCGTCGACCGGGCCACCTACCTGGCCTTGTGCCACCAGCGTCGACCATTTAGTACATGTAACTATTGACCGTCCATCGCATGTCGCCTCAGTGGTTACTTGTTCCTGCGCGTGGTGCTGGACCTGCCGCGAGCCTCTCTCCGTCCCCCACCTGGGCACGGGGTATCAGGCTGGACATGGCACTGGGAGCATGTTTATACCAGACCAGACATTTCGTCCCCGTGGCCACATGCACCAGTTGACCTTCCTGCCCAACTTGCCAACCTGCCAACCTGCCTGCCTACATATGCACAGAATGTACATACATGTACACACTTGACGCGTCAAGCAACGCAGCACGGGCTTCATCCATTCGATGCCTCGTCTCGGGGTGCAGTGAGCGCATGCATGTACCTGCGCGACAAGACGAGTCAAGTCTGCTGCCATTGTCCCCGACTCCCCGTGGCTCTCCCATCACAATTCACTCTGGGTAAGGGTTGGCGCCCGTCGCACGAAGCCACATGACCACGTCCAATTCAGCCCATTTGAAGCCAGCCCAGTTCTAGAACTTGATGGGCCACCCTCAAGCATCAACGCCTCACCTGCGGTCAGACCCGAATAACTTGCTGCTGCTGCTGCTGCTGCTCGAACCGCGTGCGCGGCTGAAGAACACGAGTCCACGATAACACGGGGGAAGCCGCGCTGTCCTGTAGGGGGGCATGGTAGAGTGGCCTGTTTGATAGCGTGCCGTCCAATCACATTGACTGCTTTGCGATAAAGTGAAGATGAGACGGACTTTGAGTCACGACCGAGAGAAAGGAGGCTTGTGGTTTTTTTTTTTTTTAAAAAAAATAATAAAAAAATATACCGACGCGTACTTCTCTTTATGTTATTGGTTCGAATATAAATCAGCTGGCGTGTATAACCCTGATTTGGAATTTCCGAACCTGTTGGGCAGACCACTGACCAGGGCTGTTACACTGGCCACTTTATTATAGAAACACCAGAGTATCATGCACCTATGCAGGCCCAATGCACCACCGAGCGAATGAGGTGTGTCTACTACTCTATCCCGGCTTGGCGTCGAGATAGCTTACTCCGTACAGTTGCGAGGCAACGCGACACGGAGCTGTGCCCGGCATCCAGGTTCGGAGGCCGATCACGTGATCGCCACTTACACCACGGCGGTGCTCATACTCCGACGGCCAAAACTATCTACACATGTGTATATGTAGTACTTTATTTGTATAATTCACAATATAGACCGTGAGTAAATTATTAAATACAATCTAGTTGACTTGACTTGCGTCTGCCTGCCTTTATTGTCCCCCCCCCCCCCAGTCCGATACAGGCAGCGGAGGCCACGTCTCGCAATCTTTTGAGGATTTACTTCGTGACAAGTTCGTTGAATCATCGCTGGCAGCGCAACCATGGCAGTCACTGCAAGTCAGCCGCGCGTCGTCATCATCGGCGCCGGCATCGTCGGTGTCAATCTGGCCGACGAGCTGGTCTCGCGTGGCTGGAGCGACATCACCGTCGTTGACCAGGGCCCGCTGGACATGCCCGGCGGCTCGACCTCGCACGCCCCGGGCCTGGTGTTTCAGACCAACGCGTCCAAGACGATGACCCTGCTGGCCAAGTACACCGTGGACAAGTTTCTCTCGCTACAGGAGGACGGCCAGTCGTGCTTCAACCAAGTCGGCGGCCTGGAGTTGGCCACCACGCCCGAACGGCTCGAGGAGCTGAAGCGGAAGCACGGCTACGCCTCGTCCTGGGGCGTCGAGGCGCGCCTCATCACGCCTGAGGAATGTCTGGAGCGGTACCCTCTGCTCAACAAGGACATGGTCCTCGGCGGCCTGTACATCCCCAGCGATGGGTTGGCCCTGGCTGCGCGCGCGGTGCAGCTTCTCATTGCGAAGACGCGCGAGCAGGGCGTCAAGTACATCGGCTCCAGCCTGGTCACTGGCGTTGAGCAGGCAGACGGCCGGGTGTCTGCGGTGGTGACAAAGGACCAGACGATTCCCGCGGATGTAGTCGTCTCGTGCGCGGGATTTTGGGGCGTCGAGGTCGGCGCCATGGTCGGATTGCCGGTGCCCCTGTTGCCCATGGCGCACCAGTACGTCAAGACGACGGCGGTTCCGAGCCAGCGCGGCCGGTATTCGTCACCGAATGGCGCGGGTCTGCCCATCCTGCGGTATCAGGACCAAGATCTCTACTATAGAGAGCATGGCGATCAGTACGGAATTGGGTATTACGGGCACCGTCCCATGCCCGTGGTGGCCTCGACACTAGGCCCGACTCCGGAGCATGTTGATGAGCACAAAATGCCCTCGCGGCTCGACTTTACCCAGGAAGACTTTGACCCCGCGTGGAAGCTGTCGCGGGAGCTGCTCCCGGTGCTTCAACAAACCGAGATAGAAGACGGGTTCAACGGCATCTTCTCCTTCACCCCCGACGGAGGTCCCCTCGTGGGACAGTCGCCTACGGTAGACGGGTTTTACGTGGCCGAGGCGGTCTGGGTCACACACTCCGCCGGTGTAGCTCGTGCCTTGGCCGAGGTTCTCACGACGGGAAAGTCGCAGGTCGATTTGGCCGAGTGCGACATTACGCGGTTCGAGGAGGTCCAGCTCACTCCGCAGTTTGTTAGCGAGACGTCGCAGCAGAACTTTGTCGAGGTCTATGACATCCTGCATCCTCTCCAGCCGCGGGACTCGCCTCGCAATATGCGGGTGAGTCCGTTCTACCATCGCCACAAGGAGCTCGGTGCCTTCTTCCTCGAGGCGGGAGCATGGGAGCGGCCGTATTGGTTCGAGGCCAACGAGGCGCTGCTCAAGGAGCTGCCCGCGGAGTGGCAGCCGGTGGAACGGGATGCCTGGTCCGGCAGGTACTACTCCCCCATTGCGGCGGCAGAAGCGTGGAAAACGCGCACCTCTGTCGCCATGTACGACATGACGCCCCTTCGGCGCCTGGAAGTGTCCGGCCCGGGAGCAGTCGGGTTGCTGGACTGGGCGACGACGGGAAACGTCTCCAGGAAACCGGGGGCGGTGACGTACACGCTGCTGCTGGATGAGCAAGGCGGTATCCGCAGCGACATCACGGTCGCTAGAATTCGTGACGACTTATTCCAGGTTGGTGTCAATGGGCCCGTCGACCTGGCCTATTTGTCCAGGGAGGCTCGCATCCAGACCAAGAATGCGCCGGAAAAGGCCGTCCATGTTCGTGACATTACTGGTGCCACGTGCTGCATTGGACTCTGGGGCCCCAAGGCCAGAGAGGTAATTTCTCAAGTCACGCCAGATGACTTCTCGGACAAGGGGCTCCGTTACTTCCGCGTGAAAAAGGCCAGCATTGCCGGAGTACCAGTCACTGCCATGCGGCTTTCGTACGTCGGCGAACTAGGATGGGAGTTGTATGCGAGTGCCGAGAACGGCCTCCGGCTGTGGGATGCGCTCTGGAAAGCCGGCCAGTCCTGTGGAATCATTGCAGCCGGCCGGAGCGCCTTTAATTCCCTGCGCCTGGAGAAGGGCTTCCGGTCGTGGGGTGCCGACATGACCACCGAGCACAACCCGTACGAGGCTGGCGTCGATTTTGCCGTCAAAATGGACAAGAAGGGGGCATTCATCGGCCAGTCCTCTCTCCGGGGGGTTTCAAAGGACACAATCACCAGAAAACTGCGTTGTATTACCGTCGACGATGGAAAGTCGATGGTATTGGGCAAGGAGCCGGTTTTCTTTGGTGGTAAATCGGAAGGCTATGTTACGAGTGCTGCTTTTGCCTTTACTATTGGCAAGCCCATTGCGTACGCGTATTTGCCTACCAACATACAGGAGGGGGATGCGGTTGAACTTGAGTATTTTGGAACAAGGATTCCAGCGACGGTGACGGCAGAACCACTCTACGACCCGGAAATGAAGCGACTGCGTGGATAGATTACTGCACGTTGATGGAGAAATAGATTACGGCAAGTCATGGAATATGGGCATATTTGGTAAATGATGGAGAAGGCACTTGATTTAATATAATACAGCCGGGGGCCATGATACGTGTGTCACATGTTAGGGAATGTAGCGAGTCGCGACGGTCCTCATCATTTCGTTGCTAGTTGCCTGAGCCTGCAATATTGTTTGGAATGAGATTGACGAATTCCCGCTTACGTTTTATGCTACCCGTATCAGTATAGAATTCAAGCGGGCATGTTTAAGACGAGACTTGCAGAAATCCACGCGAACGGGCTGCTAGCTCAATCCTGTTACCAGTCAAGTGTATCGTTTCTGATGTAGCGATTCTGGCAAAGTACATGACAATCCGCCTGTACTGCAACGTAGACATTAGCAAACGACTCGTTCTAGACATTCTCCGAATTGCTCTCACCGGCAGAAATCCGTCATGATAAATTGCTAATAATAAACCCGAATCGAACGACCCCTCATGCGGCATGCCCCGATGTCGCCAGCCGGTGCCCGATGTTCATGTAATTCACACCTGGCGCGCCCTTCAACTGGGTCGGGTCGATGCCGGCTGTGGAGTCTTATTCCCACTATTTACACCCACCATTTACAAGACTCCCTCTTCTCTTGTCCCCGAATTACGTTTTGGTTTGTCACTGCACCAGGAAGCCAAGCCGGAGGATGCAGGTCACGTGAGCGGCGGACCCGGCATCCAACCCCGAACCCCCGACGGTTGACAAACGAATTCCAACCTTGCCAGGCGACATCGGCCTCGGGGGGGAAAGCCAATTCACTGATAAGGCACCTTCACAGTGTGCCGGACACGGCAACAAGATGGCATTCAGAGCTCCTCGCACCCTTGTACCCCAACAGTAGCCGTGGTGGGGGAGACGGGAACGGGAATACATATAAGGAACTCCATGACCAGCCGCCAACCTCGCCCGTCCTCCTCGCTCGACTCAGCACCGAGCCGACTCGACAGCATGGCCCCTGCCGGATCATCCTACATCATTGTCGGCGCGGGGGTTTTCGGAGTGTCGACCGCCTACCACCTGATTCGAAAGTACCCCTCGGCGTCGGTGACGCTCGTGGACCGCGATGCCTTTGACGCCGACAGCCGGGTCGCGGCGTCGTGGGACTGGAACAAGGTGATGCGCGCCGACTACGACGACCCCGTGTACTGCGAGCTGGCGCTCGAGGCGCAGGACGTCTTCACGTCGGATCCCCTGTGGCGGCCGTTCTTCCACCAGACGGGGCTCTACTGGATGTGCGGGCGCGACTACGCCCGCGACTGCATCCGCAACTTTGAGCGGCTCGGCCGCCACCACGACATCTCCGTCTGGCCCGTCGACGAGGCGCGCACCATGTTTGGCGGCCTGTTCAGCGAGTCCGACTACACCAACGTCGAGCAGGTGCTCGTCAACCGGGCCAGCGGCTGGGTCGCCGCCGGGGACTGCCTGCAGGCCGTCACCCGCAGGGCCCTGGAGCTGGGCGTCGCCTACGTGGCCGACGAGGTGGCGGCGCTGCAGGTCGACCGCGCCGGGCGGTGCACCGGCGTCCGGACCGCCGGCGGCCGGAGCCTCGAGGCGGCCCACGTCGTCCTCTGCACCGGCGCCTTCACGCCCAAGCTGCTGGAGGTGAGCGCCGCGGCGAGCGGCCTCGACGCCCTGCAGGCCGGCTCGAGGATCTTGGCCGGCGGCATCACCACGGGCATGACGCGGCTGGACGATGACTCGTACGCAAAGTTTGCGGATATGCCGGTCGGCATTCAGGGATACACGACGCTCAAAGGTAATAATATACTGCACCGTGTCCCCCTTTACCGCTGTTGTTATGTCTTGAGCAAAAAGGCTGACTAGTTGATGGTTCCAGCGCCCTTTATGGGAAGCCTGCCGCCCACCAAGGACAGGGAGCTCAAGTGGTGGGGGCAAAAGATCTTCAAGAACACCAAGGAGGTCCTTCCCGGGCGCTTCATCTCGATGCCGCCCGCGGAAGCCGACTATGCGCAGTGGAAGATATCCGAACGGCTCAAGGAGGACATTCTCAACGTGAGCAGCGCCTTTTACGGAAGCCAAGCTGCAAAGTGGAAGTTTGAGAAGCACCGCATCTGCTGGTAAGTCCGTTGCTGCCGTGTTTACTGCTGGCGCTTGGCGAACTGACCATCTACATCTAGGGACGCCTTCACCACCAGCTCCGACTTCATCATCTCGCCGCACACGGCGGCCAAGGGACTCTACGTGGCGACGTGCGGCTCGTTCCACGGGTACAAGTTCTTCCCCGTGATTGGGAAATACGTGGTGGACATGCTGGAGGACTCGCTCCCGGCCCAGCTGGCGAACAAATGGGCGTGGGACCGCGAAAGGCCCGACCCGTCCGTCAACCCCGACTGGCCGACCTTCGAGATGAAGGACTTGCTGGATCCTGTGAGGGAGTCGAGGCTTTAAACTGCCGCGCAGACACGTCGAGTGTTTCCATCACATGAGCTGTTGCCGCAGCGGAAGCAGGGCCTTGGGGGAACTTTTGGTCTCGGCAATACTATATGGCGCAATACATACATTAATACACGTGCATTTCATGTTTCTGACTGGAGGCTTGCTTCTAGTTTCCCATCTCGGACGTATACCGGAGTGAGTAGGTGGCTGGCAGTCTTGAGATGGACCGTTGGGCGTACGTAAAAATCGCGCGGCGTTGATACGAGTCTTTACACCTGCCTCGAAAAGTCGTCAATGGCGCCTTGCCAAGCCGAGCACTTGAGGGTATATGGAGACTTGGACACAAGTCTAGACTGATTATCTTGGGGCAGAACCTATAAGCTGTGGGTTGGCGCTCTTGCAATTTATGGTTATCGCCGTGAAAGGAAGGTTATTCAGGCGCAGGGGCTCCGCCGGGATCCGCCGCCGCAGGTTCCATTGTGAATGCGACCTTGGTTGATGGTGTAATCCAGCGAGTTTCCAAGAATAGACGACTGCCACAGTTGGAACTTGGAAGTTGGGAGCAACTATGCGGCGTGACCATGGTTGATAACTGGCTACATATGTACTGCTCAAGTCACGGGTGCATGGGTCAACGGTGCTTGTAGCCGGCAACCGTCAACCCAGAGTCCTAGTTGAGACAACATTGAACATTTGAACGTTTGCAAGTGAGAATGATTGACACATGTAGCATTTTACGCGCTACCCATTCTCCACACCTCTCCGCCGTCCGTCTGAATGGCTACTAATCGCCAAGTAGTACTTAGTACATAAAGTATGTAGGCGGCGCCGATCCGAGGCCCAGCAACACGAGGTGCTGCAAAGTCAATCCTGTCTGCATCGGCGCTTGACAAAGTCCAGAAGGAGACACGGGCCACGTCGTCCGATTCGGACAATGATCGACCGTTTCAAGCGGCCGCGTGCGCAACCAGCGTTCTTGGTCCAAGACGGCGCGCGATCCCTCGACGCCATTGGCCCCCGTGCCCAAGGGATGCCGGCCTGCCCAGGACCGAATCAGAGCTCGCGTCCGCCCTCGAACCTGCCTCTTCGGATCTGCCAAGAACGGTCATCGTGGCCCGCTGGCATTCGATGTTTATCGTCGCCAGCCCTCGGCGCTCGATGCGACCTCGACGCCGTGGAGCGTCCATGTCGTACCAGACTTGACTTGACTTGACCCCTTCGGCCATGTCCCGTCCACTGCGGCTCTGGCTCGTGACTGTGCGCTCGCGAGCTTTAAGCTTCTTTTACGCAAGATCGGCAATCTCTAGCACGGGCTTTGACCCTGATGGATCGTCTGTGATTGCCCGTGTCATCGCCTCGAGCCCATCAACTCGATAGAATCGGCAGGTGACGGCGTGTAAACTGAACCAAGTCTGCGTATAAATACGGCCGAGGCCTCTCACGATATTGGCCTTTCTTTTTTTTCCGTCTTCATCCCATCAGAGCAGTTCGACTCTTACTTCTTGCACTTGACAGTACAGCATCTCCGGTCCCGCCTACAACATGGTCTCCAAGGCAGCTCTCGCGATTGCCAGCGCAATCTTTGCCGTTCAGTCGGCGACGGCCGCGCCGGCCAAGAATGGCAAGTTCATCGTCGGCGGAGAGGCTGCCGCCCCGGGCGATTTCCCCTACATCGTGGCCCTGTTGTCGAGCAATTTCCAGTTCTGCGGCGGCACCCTGGTCAACAACGACACTGTCATCACCGCGGGTCACTGCACCAGCTCAGACGTTTCGGGATACGAAATCCGCGCCGGATCACTGGTGAGTTGTACTTGTCCGGGACTCACATCTCACGACTAACACGACGGCTTTTTGCGTCCTGTAGGCCTCGGGATCTGGCGGCACCAAGGTCAAGGTGCGCTCGGCCACCCGTCACCCCAATTACAACGCCAACAACCTGGACAATGACGTTGCCGTCTGGAAGCTGGCCACGGGGATTCCTGAAAGCGACACCATCAAATACGCCAAGCTGCCTGAGCCGGGCTCCGACCCAACGCCCGGCACCAACGTCACCGTAGCCGGCTGGTACGTACATGCACACGCGCGACGTGGATGAAGCTCCCGAGCCGAGCCCAGATATTGATGCCAACTGTCTGACTTTTGAGTTTAGGGGCCGTTTGACGGAAGGCGGAGCGACGCCCGACAAGCTGCAAAAGGTGACGGTTCCCGTCGTCGACCGCGCCATCTGCAAAAAGGCCTACAGCACGCCCACGCCGCTGGAGATCACGGACAACATGTTTTGCGCGGGCCTGGAGAAGGGCGGCCAGGATGCGTGCCAGGGAGACAGCGGCGGCCCCATTGTCCAGGGCGATGTGTTGATCGGCGTCGTTTCGTGGGGCACCGGCTGCGCCCGGCCCAACAAGTACGGTGTTTACACCAGGCTGGCCAACTATGACAGCTTTCTCAAGAAGTACCTGTAGACGCCCGTCGTGGCAGGACATGAGCATGGTGCATGGTTGAGAAATGAGCTTCAGCCGGAATCATTTGCCTTCTCTCACACTATGAAATGGGCTCTCCCGTTGGCACAAATCATAGCATATTGACTTTAACACATTGAATATATTGGCATGAACAAGCAGTCGTCTACATCCCGTTGGCGCAAATCATAGCATATTGACTTTTGTCACATTGAATATATTGGGCATGAACAAGCAGTCATCTACAGCTTCGTCTTGGCATCGAGAAAGAACAGGTTCCGCCCGTCCTCGCCCGTCCGCACGCTTCCCGTCTTTCCCACGTGTTCTGCAGCCGTCGTCGCCAGCTGAGACAAGGTTAGCTCGTCGCCGTGGTTGGCGAGGAACCGCCTGCCCGTCCCTCGTAGTCTGCCGACAATGAGGCCTAGTCCCGGCGTGCCATCCCGGTTGTACTCGATGGTATAAGTCTAGAACGACGTTAGCCCGTGTCCATGCGGCCGATGCTCCCAACGCTCACCTCGATCGTGGCCGTGCCCTCTGCTGCTTCAGTAAACGGCGGGCTGTATCCGTCGACAACTTCCGGCAACGGGTTGCTCGTCGGATACGCCTGCCCGTCTCCCCTGGGCCGGGCCGACAAGCACAAGGCATGCTGGTGCGTCAGCATGCCGCCGTTGGCGAGAATGAGACCAGTGCTGTGCCTCTTGGCCCGTAGTTCCCGGGCCATGGCGGTGATGGCCTTTTGCCACGTTAATACAGTGCGGTGGCCTGCGCGGACGCGTGCGACGGAGACTTACGTGCATGGAGTAGTTGTTTCCGGCGCCGCCGAACGAGGTCAAGCCCCCTAGGAGCGTGATGGGCTTCTGCCACGACGTGGTCGACAGGCCGACGTGGTCGCAGGCAAGCTTGGGCACAATGGGAAAACACCTGGCATGGCTGTGTCAGTGGCGGCGACTCCCACCATGCAATTGCGGCGGCCGTGTACGTACGAGTAAAAGTCGTAGCAGTCCACATCGCTCGCCGAGAGGCCCGAAACATGCAGCGCGGCATCGATGGACTTTGTGATGGCTTCGCTGTGGTGCAGATGCCGCCGTTCCCAAACTGGCGAGGGGTGCAGTTAGCATCCAGCGATCAACGACTCAACGGGCTACGTGTGCGCTCACAATTGTCCTTTTCGTGCGTGCCCGCGCCGCCCAAGACATAAATCCACCTGTCTTGGGGAATACCAAGCTTCTTTGCGTGTTCCGTCGAGGTGAGGATGCAGGCCGCGGACAAATTGACGCCGTTGAAGGCATTCATCAGCAGGGGATCTGGTCAAGGCATTAGCTCGGCCGTTTGATTCCTTTGTCGGGGGGGGAATGCGGGTGGCGTTACACGGATCGCAAATCATCCTGTTCTTCTTGGACACGAGGCCGATTTGCTCGGCCGTCTTGGGAGGCTGCTGGTAGTTCCACGAGTACACATTCTCGGAGCCGATCCGGTCAAACTCGGCATACATTTTGGCAGACTCGGCGGCGCTCTCTGCTGCCGACAGTCCCCGGTGCGCACGGCGGCCATTTTCGTACAGAGGGTACACATGGATCGGCAGGCCCATGGAGTGCAAGGTGCCGGAGCCTGTGCGAGGCGCATTAGACCACATAAGACATGTGCCGTGCGATGTGCCGACTACCTACTCTCTTTGAGGATGGAAAGGTCCAGGGATGCCAGCTGCTTCCCGTTGGGATCAGGCTCGAGCCAGCCCTTGGGGGGGTTTTCTCCGGCTTTTTGGCAGGCAGCAACTGCGACGGCGAGTTAGCAAACACGGTTCCTCGTTTTTTTTGAGGGGGGCAGACGCGGAAAAGACTTGCGAGATGCCAGCGCCTCTCCTCCCGTCAAGACGGAGACGAGGCTCCTCCGGGCGGCAATGTCTCGGGCGGCCTCGTCGCATTGCAGGGCGGGCTGATTGCCGCCGTGCTCGCCGAGGACGCGGCGCGTGGGCTTGATGCCGAGTCGATGGGAAATGACGGCGGGCAGGTCATTGTACGCCCATGTCCAGGTTGGCACGACTCTCAAGCTGTCGACGTGCGCCAGCAGAGACTCCTGCGCGGCGTGGTCGAGTCCGCTGTCGTCGACGGCGCGACGAACAGCGTTGACCATGAGCTGTGCCGGCTCGACGGCGTCTTCCACCTTGAACGACTTGTTGCGCACGTCGCCCACGCCCACGATGATGGGGACCGCCGGTTGCTGCGTGGCCATGGTGCCGATGCCGTCTCAGGGGGAGTGAAATGGATGCAAAAGACCACGTACAGTGACTACGTTGTTTTGCTGGTGGAGAGGAATCTTGTCGAGGGTCAACGTAGTGTTTTGATGCTCTGCTGGCTGGTAAACTGTCTGGTACGTATGTAGCCGGCAATCCCATGTGCTGCCGAGTACATATTCATTGTCCCAAGTCCAGCCTCTCGGCCGACCAAAAGTGGTTGCCGGCGGGGTTGACAGTTGACAGACTACCGAGTCTGGCCTGGTCTGGCCAATTCATTTATCAACATGGATCAATGATTGAGCATTGACGGAATTGACCCGCCGGGCAGCCTCTGAATATTTGGCCCGATAGTCCGATCAACCCCAGCTGGCGCGTAGCTCTAGCCTCTGAGCCGGAGTTGGGGCGGCTCCCGGCAACCGGCCCAACATTGCATGTACATGGACAGTCAATGCGTGTGTGAAGATTGAAGCGGGTGGACGCATCGAGGTACATGTACAGTCGATGCTGTTCCATGTCAAGTAGTTGCAGCCACTCGGCAACCAGAGCAAGACTCTCGCATCATTGATCCCTTTTCTGCACAACGCATCACGTCGTCGTTTTTATATATATTGACTCGACTTGACATTTCCCCTTCTGGCCACGACAGTCGACTCATTCTTCTCTCCGCGCACCCAGCTTGGTCTTCCTCACCATGGCGCCATCACTCGCCTCACAGCCCCCCGAACTGTCCTTTTACGAGCTCAGCTTCCCCGCGGAATATGTGCTGCTGGTGACCATCAACCGCGAGTCGCACATGAATGCCATCCCCATGGCCGGCCACTGGCAGGGCGAGCGGCTGTGGCAGTGGTTCGACGACGAGCCCCAGCTCCGCGTCGCCATCGTCACCGGCAAGGGCACCAGGGCCTTTTGCTGCGGCGCCGACCTCAAGGAGCAGGCGCAGAAGCAGCACGCCCTCGAGAAGCCCGACGCCCCGGCCTTTCCCACCGGCGGCTTCATGGGCCTCACCACGCGCGTGGGCAAGAAGCCCGTCATCGCCGCCGTCAACGGCTTCGCCCTGGGCGGCGGCTTCGAAATCGCCCTCAACTGGTACGTCTTCTCTCGCCATTGACGGCGCGCGGCCACCCCCTTCAAGAAAGGTACTTTTTTTACTCACTATCCGCAGCGACATGGTGGTTGCCTCGCCGTCGGCCACGTTTGGGCTGCCCGAGGCAAAGAGAGGTCTCTGGGCGGCGGCCGGGGGCATCCCCCGCGCCGTGAGGACGTTTGGCATGCAGATGGCGTCAGAGATTGTGCTTGCCGGCCGCGTCTTGTCCGCCGCCGAGGCGAGGGACGCGGGTTTCTGCCGGGTGGCCGCGTCGCCGGGCGCCGTGGTGGGCGAGGCCGTCGCGCTGGCCGAGGACGTCGCGGCCATGTCGCCGGATGCCGTGATTGTGAGCCGTGCCGGTCTCAGACAAACGTGGGAGACGGCGAGCGTCGAGAGGGCAGCCCAACTGGTCCAGGACAGATACGCCAGGGGTCTCTTGGAGGGGGAAAATCTACGTCTGGGCCTCATGGCGTTTGTTACCAAGACAAAGCCAGAGTTTGTACCGTCAAAGTTGTAATAATACATGTAGCTGCCATTTCTGTCCAGAGTGTTTATCACGGCCTCGACTACGCGTGACAATGGGATGCAGTCGGCGCCGCCAAGCAAAAAAGAAGCTTCAATGTTGTGTCGCGTAACACAGCCCGCTACACTGAGACTGGTTGTACGTACAAGGCACTGGGATGTCAACATTGGTCTGCAACAACCCGGACGCCACTGGAGACGTCAGCCAGTGCTGGTGCCGTATCTGGTACTCAAAGTACCGGACATAATTGACATTGTACTCAAGTGCTACTGCGGAGTACGGCCGTCGCTAGACCCCGGGGGCCGAGGCTCTCGGCTGTTTGGACCGCGTCGAGGGTCAATTGATGCGGGGTTACCGACCGAGTTGGCATTCAATGTTCCATCATTGATGTCTGCTTAACTGCCCAGGCACCTGGGTAACTACAACATCTGGTAAGAGTCAATTCAATTGATGTTTCAAATGTTGATGGCCGCGGCTTCTTGGCTTGTCCGTGCCCTGTCGCCCAGTGCTCCATTTCAACACGACGCGCAACCTTCGCTTCTGTCGGATGCAGGACTCCATGCGGACAAGGGCAAACCGTTCAATGTTTCGTTGGCCCCTTGCTTCAGCAAATATCTGGCGAATACATAGGGACCTCTTTACATACAATCTCGCTACTATGCGTTGTCGCACACGCCTGGGTCTGCCTGTGTAATACCCTATTGGTCACTAGGAGAACAAGGATAACGAGAACAAAATAGCGTCTAGGGTAGCTCATGAGTTACACAACATTTGAACATTTGTAGAAGTTCCTGATTGACTCGCTTTCAGGCGAGAGTAGCACCGACGACATACAAAAGCTCGCAGTTGAATATAGACACAGCCTCGATGGGTCATCTTGTCAATGTAATGATTCTATTCATCTCAGTAGCCGGCTACGTAACTAGCAGTGAGGCTATTCCTATGCCCAGTCTCTCCTTTGCGTAAGAGGGAAAACCGTACTTGGCCATGTACTAGTGACGTGTCTAGCCAGTGGCCGAGTCGGATGAAAACCCCTACCGCACAACTCAATCCTTGACGATGCATCCGTCTGCGTACACTTTGCCTACTTCTGCTGCTGCTTGGGAACGCCCAGAATGTCATCCATCTGACTATGAATCGAGTTGAGGTCGTTCTCTAGTTGCTGTTGTTCCGGAGTATACGTCTTGGTGAGCTCCTCGAACTTGGCATCGCCCTGCTTCTCCAAGTCCAAAAACTTGGTCTTCTTATCGCCCTTCAAGGGCTTGTCGTTGAAGTCAAAGATCTGGTCTCCGCCGTTGTTGGCACCTTGGGGGGCCGCCAGGGCAGATGCGGCAACTACATGTGTCACAATGTTAGTTGTCGGTTATGGGGAGAACAGGAGGCGGTGGTGACGCACAAGCCAGAAGAGCAATAGCAGTGAAGCGAACCATGGTGAAGTTTGCGGGGGGGTTGGGTATATAGAAAATAATGTGGTATAATAGTTTTGGAGAATAATCAAGACGGTAACCAGACCGAATGAATTAACAAGCAGAATCGAAGATGAACCGAGTGTGATGTGGTGTGATGGAGTGTTGTGAATGATGTGCTTCTGTGTGCTTGCGAGCTGCTCTATATATACTCGGATGCACAACTGATGATGCATTGCATGACGTCGCAAATTGTCAGCAGACTCAGTGTTTGTTGTTTACTTTGTATGAGACGTTGGGGCAACGCATGTTTCAGTCGCAGCTGCAACATGGAAAGATGATATCGCAAGGTTCTGCTGGGTACAAGGCGTACATGGAGACACCTTGAATCATTCGGTTCGTAAGGGGCTCCGAGCGCAGTGGCCGTATAGAAACAGCTGTTCGTGTTCCAACAAGGTAGGCTGATTATTGAGTTTTACAATTTCCCCTTCTTCGCGAGGCTAGCTATGTAGTTTTCTTCTTCTTCCTCCTGTTTTCCCCGGGTGCGGTGTAAACACCATCTAGTCTCTGCAGAGGAAGAATTATATCATTGATAATACATTGCCAACATTTTGTTCTTCTCATGCCACCGTGTTTCTATAGCCGTTGGGCATGCACGAAAATCCCCCAGACGACGAAAAGCTAAAACACCAGGCGAGTCAGAAGCATATGCCAAGTGAGAAACCCACGTTTGTCCTTACTGGGCCTTCCGACGTCGCAGAAACACAGCGCCCGGCTTATTACGCCGATGATTTATGGCGTGCTGAGTCGTGCAAAGGCCTGTTTCTAGACTTTCGAATCGAGCTTGTTTCATCTTCTGCGGCGCAGATCACCCGCATTTTATCGTTTGACACTGGTAGGGGTACGATCTGACGTGTCAACCTGAATAGAAGCAGAGGAAGGACAAGTTCTCACAAAACTATCAACTAAAGACCGAGAGTTTACCCGTCAATGACAGGTGCCATCAGAATTGATGGCTTGCACGATCCTCACCCGCCAAATGCCTACCGAACACGATCTGGTTGGTAGAGAACCTCGATGCAGATTGCAAGTCAATAGTTGTGCTCCAACACAGTGTTTTGATATGCTTCCTTGCTTCTTGTCTTTGTTTTTCTTTCCTTTACCCGTTTTCCGGAGGCTGTCATTTGCAAGCCATCTGTTCCAGCACCACCGCCATCGCATTGTCACAACGCACAAGACCCTGTACTTAATGCTTGCCTCGACCAAGCCATCGATCCCGTCACGGGGATTGATTGCGGCTTCGGATTTTCTGGTGCTATACCCGCTGAGTGTCTCGTTCTTTACGGAATCCCTTGCCTTGGACGTTGCTTCACGACATCGGGGTGGAATGGGCCATGGCAGCCAAGTACCTCATTCCAAGAAGGTATTTCCACAAAAGCATGTGTAGAGAGTTGTATAATGTACAAGTTCTATAACTGAAAAGAAGAAAAATGTACGACTCTCGCGCTGTTGGATACATGTCACATTCCCGTCCGGTATAGGGTACATGCACCAGAGAGAAAGGGACGCAACAAAAAACAACAACGTGGATAAGTTATATGCTATGCAAGCTCATCTACCTAGGTATCTTTGGTCTTACACAAAAACGACAACAAAGCTACATGCTGGTTATGCGCGCGCAGCCTCTAGGCGCGCAGTGCCTCCAAGACCCTTTCCCCCATGGCCAGAACCTTCTCCTCCTCCAACCGCCGCGCCACAAGCTGCAGACTAATCGGCAGGCCATGCATGGTCTCAGCGTCGTCTATCCAATGTCACATAAGTATACATTTTTTTTCGTTTCTTGCATCGCAAACTGATTTGTTCTTGGGTGGTAGGAGATACTCACAGTCACCATTGATGGCCTCGCAGTCCGAGCCGAGAGGCTGGTATAGTTCCTCAATGCGGTCAATAGCCTTGTCGACAGTTAGGCCGGTCGGGAAAGAAAGGCACGAGTAGTCGAGAATGTTGTAAACACCCGTGTACCCGACTGAAAAAAAAACATAAACACGTTAGCCCAACACGTTTTTTGCTCCTCACCACCTTTGGCCCCCTCGTCGGCGCCACCTACCATGCTTGAATGAGCCGTTCTTGACGGTATTGAACGGAATGGTCGGGCACAAGATGGCATCGATGCCGGCCCTGTTCCAGCGGTCCAGGTAACGGTTCTGGAAGTCGACTCGTTCCAGCTGCAGGTTCCACATCTCGTACGTCGACAGCTCCTTCGCGTCCCTGTACTGCTCCATCTCCGGTCTCCACGGCTCGCCCGTCCTCTCCAGCTGCTTCCGGATGGCCGTGCCTCCGTCAGCGACAAACATGCGGCCCAGAAGCTCGAGGCCTTCCTTTTGGTCAGCAGGGTCCCATTCCACCACGTCGTGCCCGGCCGCCTGGAGTTTGGACACGACCTCGCCAAGGGCACGCGTCACCGGCGGGGTCGGGCGGACCATGTTGTCGTGCCACATGACGGCAATCCTCAGCCGGTTGGGAAGCTGCACGTCCCGCCAAGGCATGGGCAGGCAGCGCGGATCCAGAAGCCAGGGCTGGCCGTCGACCACGTTCTTGGTGTACATGGTGATGTCGTCGAGGGTCCGCGCCATGGGCCCGTTGACCGACTGCACGGCTTCCTGTCCCGGCATCCCGGATCGCGTGTTTCTCACGGGGAACCGCCCCGAGGATGGGCGAAGCGTGAAGATGCCCGTGCAGGCGGCGGGAATGCGAAGCGAGCCGCCAATGTCTGACCCGACGCCCATCGGGCTCCCCTTCATGGCGAGAAGCGCAGACTCGCCCCCGGAGCTGCCGCCGCTCGTCGTCTTCCTGTTGAGCGGGTTGACCGTGCGGCCGAATACATTGTTGACGCTTTCAGCAATCATCATGGCCGTGGGGGTGTTGGTCTTGACGTAGAAGACGGCCCCGGCATTCTCCAGGAGCTGCGCCAACGTGGAATCCGCCTTGGCTGCGTCGCCGACGAGAGACACGAAGCCGACGGTGGCATCCAAGCCCTCGAGGTTGAAGTTGTCCTTGAGAGAGATGGGCAGGCCGTGGAGAGGACCGACAGGCTTGCCGGTCTGCTCGAGATGCCGATCCCTCTCCTTGGCAGTCTTGATGGCGCGATCAAAACACGTCTCGGACAAGCAGTTTGTCTACAAGGGCAATGCTTGTTAGCAATGCGGGTGCATCACGGCATCTATATGCGTGTAACATACCAGCTGATGGGCAGCCGCAGCTCTCTTGCAGAAGGCCCTCGTCACCTGCTCGCAAGAGAGCTCCCCAGACGCAAGCCTGGGAATCAGCTCTGTCGCCGATGCGTTTGTAATGGCGAGCTCCTCGGCCGTGAACCACCCACACGTCTCGGGCCACGAAGTCACGTCATCTTCAGTCTCGGCGGGCAGCACGTCGGCCGGAATGAGCCATTCCTTGGGGATGGACGCCAGCAGCTCTTGTCGCTTCCTGGCGCCAATCTGCTCCCAAGAGGCACGACCATTTGTGCCGTTTGTTGCATTGACGGCGGTTAGCGTGGCTGACGTCATTTTGGTTGGCAGCACAAAAGTGAAGCCTCTCGCCTCGTGCTGCTGTCGCTGACGGTGAGGGAAGCAAAAATGCCCACTTTGGCAGAGGCAAGGACAAGAATAGCCCGATTGTGTTCAACGAAGCGGACCTGTACTAATTCCATGCCGCGGCCTCGTATAAAATGGCGGAATCAATTTATAAGAAAGACGGACTGCTGCCCGATGGCGGCGCGTTGCACAGTCTTGGTTCAAGTCGGCGTGCCAGATGCCCCATGCATCAAATGCATCAATGGCAGCTGGAGCAGCGAGACGCAGAAGCTTCAATGTTGCCACCCCCAGATGCCCTGGTGCTATTTCGGCGGGTGCGTGCGGGGTGCGAAGGGGCATCTGGCGCCGAAGCAATGCCGTTTGCCCTTTTTCGTAATCAACTTCTACCAATGAGGCCATGAAGCCACTGGGTTGGGGCTGGCTGGAGTCGTCGGAGGGTGGAGGACACCGACCGAGTGAAATAGAATGGTTTCCTGTTACGGCAGTGTGTTGGAAGTTCCACACAATGGACGACGATTATAGTCAAGTCAGGTGGGAGCGACGGGTATGGCGTCCGAGGTAAATGGCGTTCCACGGACCTGGAGTCCAGTCCAGCAGCCGATGTCACCGGCCGGCGGGGAACCGGGCGCAACCCCCGGGACTTTGGGTCGTGGCTTGCAGTCCGGTGGTTAACCGCCTGGTCATGCATCGTTGTTGGCCGTTGGGCCACGCCATGAGGCTTACTTGGTGGCGCTGCCTGGTCAATATCAACCATCATCAACTCTGGCGTGGTCAGCGTTGAGCGAGCGACAACCCGTGTACTATAGTCTTCATCATGTCCCGAGGCTCACAACCAAGTCACGTCGAGTAATAAATATGAGTCTGTGCACCAGGGCCAGGGGCCGCTTGTCGAACATATGGCGGAGGGGGGCTAAATCATTTGATGCTTTTTTTTTGTTTGAGCTTCTTATCTGTCCTTGTATTCAGAGTTAAGTGGTAATGGGAATTCAACGTTACTCAACACGTCCCGTCAGTCCTCTAGCTCTCCACCGCTCTTCGCATTTTGCCAAGCCATCGGGGTAACGCTGGACACCTGCATGATTGCAGTGATGCCAGTATGCACGTAGAGTTTGGCATTGACGTGTCGAGGTGGCGTGCATGCCGGCTAAATATGCCGATACGGCTACGTGAATATAGTAGATGGAGGATGGCGTCATGCGAGAAATCAGTTGGCAGGCACGCTCAACGGCCGAGTTCATGGCTCTCTGTGCATCATCATGTGCTGTGTCCTCAAGCTGGGCCAGCACCGCAATCGCGGATGCACATCTGTTGACGTTGGCCGAGAGGACCCAGGCAGACTCGTCCATATCGATCTTGGCAAGCTGGTCCATGGCTAATATACAGCAGCTCAGGGCATCAGTTGCTACTTCGCCCTTGGCCACCCGGCTAAACAGATCAAACGTGTCTGCCGAGCAGCCTACAACCTGAAAGATGCTTTGGTCGAGAGTCTGCCGATGCCAGTCATCAAATATAAGACCCTTACTGCCTCTGGCAATGGCGCCGAGTGTGTCCCACCAGACCAGTCTGGCAACAATCTCTGTTAAACCTGTTACGGTATGGGACAGCTGTTCCAAGGCCGGCGGATCGGCACAATGGTAATCTAGAAGGGATTTGGCGCCGTGGAGGTGTCGCTGCCATTCGCCAAAAGGACTGTCGCACACTTCTAGCACTGCAAAGGCAGCAATTCCCAGAAAAGCAAAGGGGTTTGCGGCCTCAAGAGCCTCGTTGAGGCCAATCAAGGCGGCAAGGCGGTGGCGAGCCGTATCTATCGAGTCCCACATGTCGCCCCCAGCAAACGGCCCGGCCAAGCGGCCCTCGATACGCGCCTTCATCAGATCGTGCAGCTTGGAGATGAGTCCCACAGCCTCGGACGAGAGATAATGGCCATGGTCTGCCGCTGATCCGTCTGATGATATAATGTGTTGGTAAAAGGCGATGAGACTGGTGATGAAGCTGTTTCGGTCTGTGGCGGGCATGTGACGCAGCTCCAAGACGGGACTTTCGCTCTTTGGCGCAGCGGCATCGCTGGTTGGCGTCTTTATCAAGTCTTGCTCTGGCGACAAGGCATTGCCGTCGGACAGCTTCGACTTGGGCTCTCTGCGCTGCCTCTTGGACACCTTGGTGGCATTTGACGACGACGACGAGGCCGAGGGCGAAGCCAGAGATGAGGCTGAGCCGGAAGCTGAAGCTGGGGCTGCCAAGGGAACAGCGTGAGAGTCCTTGGCCGAGCGATCCGCGGCCCAAATGACGCGCTGCGGATATCCGCCGCAGGTGATGTTGGCTTCAAGACATTGCGAGCATGATGGGCGATTCAAGTCGCACTTGATGTTCCTCGACTTGCAGCTGTGACAATCCCGGTCTCGGCGCATTCCACGCGGCTTCCCGCGTGGCTTCACCTCCACCGGTGGCACCATGCCTAGGAAACACGTACGGGCATCAGGCGCCGCCGGTGGGTTTCGTAAAATATTGACAGCTGGTGCGCGGAGGGGGAGGTTCAGGCTGACGAGGGGACCAGAATATCCATGTTCTAGTTTGGTCTCATCCCAGGCGGCAATGCGGGCGCTGGCGGTCAGGCAAAGGGCGCTGCGGCGAGAGGTGAAAAATGTCGCGAGGCGACAGAGAGATGGAGGAGAATAGGTTCGTTACTGGAAAAGGAAAGAGGCCATTTGCGCAATATTTAGGGGAGGAAAGAGCGACCGCGGGACCGGTTAAATATTGCCGGGGCAGACAGAATCAGAGGCGGACGGAGAAGAGGAGGGAGGACGTGGGAGGCAGGGAGGACGGGTGGACCAGGGAGGAAGGAGATATGGAGGATAATAGATAGAACCGCAGGATGAATACGGGGGTGCTCCATAGAGGGCTTGGGCTCTCGTGCGCTTGTTGGGCCTGCTGGACAGCCATGATTTGCCAGGCATCCGTCCTCATCTCGTCAAGTCTGGGGTGACGAGCAAAGCTTGACCGGTGCGCCACAGGGTTGGCCTGGCGGCTGGCAGGCCGACTGGCAGGCCGGCTGGATGGCTGGATGGCTGGATTATCCGCGCGAGGGAATGGGAGCAAAGCGACAGTCTGGGTCAATGGATAGGCATGAGCCTTGTGTGTTGATTGCTCATGTTACAGCACCGTCCCCTGGGGTCATATGAATTGATGCCTGCAGCAACGTCGGACGGTCTAGACATTCCCATGCGTGTGATTGCTCACACCAATGGCAGCAGCAAAGTCGTCAGCCCGAGCAATGGATACCACATGTCTCTGCTGTCAATCGTTTGCTGTTTCAAGTTGCTTCTGCCAACGGCGAGAGCTGCGATTCCGGACGTTGAGCTAAGCACCTTCCCCTGGTTCATCGCCACGTTTTCCCTAATGTTACCCCAGACTCTTCGGACCAGGGCCGCGTCGGAGGTGCCACCATCCCAGACAAAGACCAAACCCTTTTTTTTTTTTCGAGCCGTTTGTGGCGATCCGACATTCGGCACACTAGACCTTATCGCCCCCTCCGGAGCTAGTTACGATATGACTGACCGTGATAACTCTCGGTTCATTGTCGAAGCGACGGTATGGCGGCGACGTCCAACGATGAGGCGTCGAGTAGTAGATGGACCTGACGATAAAGGAGCAAGCACTCAAGGGCGTTGGCCTTGCGTGGCGGCTCTGGGGAACGCTATTATATCCCAACTAGGCATGCGATCAAATTTGTACCCCAGCCTCGGAGGCTTTCCCCTCATGCCAAGATGGCTTCATCGGCAGACGACCGGGTCCTGGGTTGACGATGCGAAAAGCTGGAGTCTGGAGTCGAGTGTCTGTCCTTTTGCGTCAGGTTCTGCCGCACGAACTGGTGTCGAGATTAAAAATTTAGTCTTCTTGGGTCCAGCCAGCCAACAAAAGCGGGACCCAGCGCCATGCTCAGCAGCAGCTCCACTGAGTCAATGGGCACCTGGAACCAGCTGGCACCTATCTGGCCATGTGCAGCGCTCCAGCGCCTCAAATGCCGCCTGAAGTTGGCACCTGGGATCAAATTGATGCTGCGCGGGGTGCCATGCCAACTGGGCCCTGATCCTCCGTGTCAACTCTGCCAGCCTCCGGTCTACGCAGCACCATGGCATTCCAAACCGCCATTCTCGGCCGCAAAGTCTTTGCATCCATCCTCCCCCATTGCACGCGCCGGTGAGGATAAAAACTCCTTCATCGCCGCCTCCACCACGACAATCCGGGGTTCTCCACCTAGGCAGCATCTAGACATGTCTTGAATCGCGACATTTCTGCTGCGGCATTGATCCATATCGACTCTTGGTTCTCTGTTGCCACGTGCGTCTCCTGTACCAGGGCCCGTCCAAGGACCAGCCGGTCCAGTCAGGTACCACACACCACACGATTGGCCGTCATGGCCTCATCACGATTTCGCGAGTACTTCCATGTACAATATCAGCCCGGAGAACGGAAGCTCATCCAGAAGATTGACTTCTTCATCCTCACCTTTTGCTGTCTCAGCTACTTGGTCAACTACGTGAGTGGCGACGGCCCGTGCGGTTGGTGATTGCTTCGGCACCAAATGGTTGACAAATTCCTTTACCATCTCCTAGCTTGACCGCAGCAATCTTGCCAACGCCTACGTATCGGGCATGAAGGATGATCTTGGCTTTGTGGGCAACCAGCTTAACGAAATCAACACCTGCTTCACCGTTGGGTACGAAGACGCCATCTGCCCCGGCGATATTCTCCATGTCCCGTCTCCCGCCTTCAAATTGACTGACACATTTCGCAGCTATGTTATTGGTCAAGTGCCGTCCAACCTGTCCCTTCACTATGTCAAACCTCGCTTCTGGTTCCCTGCCATGATGATTCTCTGGGGGGGCCTGACCATGGTCACTGCGTCGGTTCACAACCCGCAGTCCATCATGGCCATCCGATTTTTCCAGGGCATCTGCGAGGCCTCAACCTTTGTGGGCACGCACTATATCCTCGGCGCATGGTATACCGAGCGCGAGCTCGGCAAGCGCAGTGGCATATTTACCTCGTCCGGATTGGCCGGCACGCTCATTGGCGGTTTCATCCAGTCCGGCATCTACAAGAGCCTCAACGGCCGTCTTGGACTTGCCGGATGGCGATGGCTCTTCATCATAGACGGCTTGCTCACTGTGCCCGTGGCCATCTACGGCCTCATCTTCTTCCCCGACACGCCCCAGACAACCACGGCCTTTTACCTGACCGAGGAGGAGAAGAAGCTCGCCATCTCCAGGGTCCCAGAAATTCCCGAACAATCCCCCATCACCCTCAAGTTCCTCAAAAAGGTCGTGACATCGTGGTACTGGTGGGGCTTCGTCGGCCTGTGGTGTCTTGCCGGTGAGCTGGAAAGCTTCAGCACCAACTCCCTCCTGGCCCTCTTCCTGCAAAACCACCCCGTCAACAAGTATGATGTTCCTCAAAAGAACAACTATCCTACCGGCGTCCCCGCCGTCGGCATCGTGTCAACCCTGTTTTGGGCTGCGCTGACCGATTTCCTCGGCGGAAAACGCTATCTTGTTGGATACTTTATCGGCGCGACCAGCATCGCCACCTCCATCATGATCTTGGTGTCGTCGCGGGACCCCAAGAACCCGCACTCTACGACCGTTACAATGGCAGCCTACTACTGGGCAGGTTCAGGTAAGCTGGTGCCGTCTGTCCCATGCCGTCTACGCAGAACAAGACACTAAACAATCGTGCAGTCTACGCCTGCCAAGCCACCTTCTTCGCCTGGTGCAACGACGCCATGAGATATGAGCAGGCCACCTTTCGTAGTGTTGTTCTCGCCGGCATGAACCTTGGCAACAATGCCATCAACGCATGGTGGAGCATCTTATTCTACGGAGCATCAATGGCCCCATGGTTTACTGTAAGTCAGAGACGTGCGCCTAAACACACATGACTGACCGTGGTTGCTAACCTTTGTCATCCAGCGAGGCATGTGGGCAATGATTGCCTGCTCTATTGCGCTCATCTTTTGGACTGTCGGGCTATCGTGGCTGGATCGTAGAAACAAGAAGACATCGGCTGTGGAGGTTCATGAAGCAGAGGAAAAACTTCAAGAGGCTTAGGTGAAGCCCTTGTGGAGTCGATGCTGAATGTTGGTAATGAAATAATTGTATTGATGCGAGTAGGATAATTCGGACCATGAGATGGCTATATAGGCAATAATACCTGTAATCGATATCTAGGCTCAAGCGTTGTAGTCATCTGTACATTGACGCTGAGGCGGTGGCCGTGGTGCCTGTGAGAGGCAGGCAGCACATGGTCCACTCAAGCAGTTGGCCGTGTCCACATCTCATGTCTTTTGTTGAGTCAATACATGTAGATCCAAATCTCTTCTCTCACTCAAATCACTGCTCCAGACATGACTTTTCAAATCGGGGGCAATGCAACAACACTAAGCACTAACGCTCCTAATGGCAAGACAAGCTCCAGACTGGTTCCGCCCAATCCATCTCATCGACCTGGCTGTGCGCTAGAATCGATGGGTTAGGTGTGCCAAGGCTTGGTTGGTGGAATAAATGTGTCAGGCACCATTGGATGGTCATGGACGCCTGGATCTACCCGTCAGCGACGAAGTGGTCTAGTCCACTTAGTTGCCAACGGGTAGAGTCAAATTAAAAAATGACAGACCAAGAACTGCCGACATCAGTGAACTACTCATATTTGAGCACGTTTGGGACTTGCCGTGTTTATATCTAGTCGAGTCCCGTCACATATGACTGCTTGTTATGCCATGCACATTCGCCCCCTTACATGACCTGTCAACCGCGGTAATACTACACAAGACGCCTATCACTTTTTTACCAGCATGTTGGCCGTCTACCTCGGTTTCATCGGCACCGCATCTGCAGCCATCAACTGCCGGGGCAATTCCGCATGCGCCTCTGACCCCGGTGCGTCTGTGGAAACGATCCAGGCCCAAGTTCACGCATTGGTCGCCCAGGGAGGCGGAGACGGGATATTCGATGCACAAAGTACGCCCGGGAAAAATCTCATCTGATCCCATGCACCTGCGCGCGGGCGCTCGCCAAGAGACTCGGCACGCCTGCTAACCGAGCAACAGGGCCAATTGCCTGTTCGCAAGGCAAAGACGGCAGCTTCTGTGCCTTTTTCCAGAACACGTCCGGAACCGGCAAGCAAGCCGAGGCTCTTGTCCAGAAGCTCCTCGACCGCGGATGCAAACGTTGTGGCTCCGTGGCCACTCACCCTGGCAACGATGTGTCCGCGGGAGCCTTGACTGTGAATCTCGTCAAGGAGCCGTGCTGCAAGGGGGACTGCTTCTGCTCAGGGCGGGGGGCGAGGATTCGAAAAGTGGAATGAGTTTTGCCAAAACAGGCGCCTTGCTTGCGCAGGATCTCGCACTTTATGGGCCTGACGGAGCGAAGCGGTATTACTGACTCGGGTGATGACGGCACGAGTTGCCCATGGCCAGATCTGGGCACTGGGTGGTTGCAAACAGGTCTTGCCCTCATGTAACTAACCGCGTCTGTGAAGATGATTACTCTTGTGCACACCACTACCGGCTTTTCAGCTTGCAAGGGTCTAGATTACCTCCTATCAAGGAGCCAGTCGAGATGCCTGCACCCCGGTTCTTCCACTTGCCAATTTCGTGACATGTCGAGTCCCTTCCACATCCATCGTCCGCCAGACTTCATCCCGTCGCCCGACTAATATGATGTGCGTCCGCCAAAACCGGAAATGCGAACAATCATGGAAGCCAGATTGCCAATCTATGCCCTGGACATGTCGTCGAGATGCGTTGCCCTCCATCGATTGCAGTAAACCGGCGTTATAACGATAACCTTTGTGAGGCCAAAACTAGTAATATTTGGTGACTATCGTAAAGGTGTAACCATTATAATGACTAAGCCTAATACCTATAATATTGTGTGAACCGCGACTATTAGTAATTTATCAGGGAAAAAGCTTAGATGACCGTGAATTATCGTAATAACGCGACTATTATTAAGATATAGGATCGTTATAACGGTGGTATACTGCTGGTACCATGACAGGAAATGTCTCGCATGACGCGTATGAGCCGTATCTGCATGATCCCCCCACATGTACGTCCTTGACAACGGCTCGGTAGGCAACATGCACAGGTCTTGTTCCATGTAATTTGCATCAGGGTCCAATCTGCCTGCCAAGACCTTGCCGGCAAATCGTCACCTTGTGCCGACTTGTTATATCTTCAACCATCTCCGACGACCAGGTCCATGAACGCGTCTGCCTATTAATGTCTGCAGCCGGGACACAACCTGCCGGAATCCCGACATGTCCATGGCAAACATGGATTCAAAGGACTGCGTCATCATAGGAGCCGGTACGTCATTGTCACTTGGAAAGAAATGGCGGGTTGTCATCGTTCTGAAGCGAACCTCGCAAACATAGGATTCCACGGCTTGGCTGCGGCCAAACAGTATCGCTGCAGCCAGCCGGAGCACTCAGTTGCCGTGTTCGATTCGCAGGCATCCATCGGCGGAACATGGGCGGAGGAGAGGCTGTATCCAGGTTTAAAGACCAACAACATGTTCGGAACGTACGAATATCCCGATTTCCCCATGGAGAGTGGAAAGCTTGGCGCCGAACCAGGTCAACATATTCCTGCCCGAGCAGTGCACGAATACCTCAAGTCGTATGCCGAGAATTTTGGCCTCGTGCCCCTGATTTGTCTCGAAACAAAGGTCATTTCGGCAGAGCATCAAGAAGCCAAAGGGGGGTGGATATTAACCCTCCAACGTCACGGTGAGACGTTCACCATGTTTTCGCAGAGGTTAATCGTCGCGTCCGGCTTTACTTCTGAGCCCAACCGAATACGGTTTGTCGGCGACGAGAGTTTCGGGGGCCGAATTTTCCACGCCCGCGATTTTCATCACAACGCAGATACCGTCGAGTTGGCCCAGAGTCCTACGGTGTATGGGTCGACAAAGTACGCGTGGGATGCTGTCTATGCTTACGCGACAGCTGGAGCCGAAGTGCACTGGGTCATTCGAGGTATGCCGGTCGCAGTCAATATCTATTTGCTTTTTGCGCAAAGTCTGTTGCTAATCTTGGAGGACCAAACCACAAACAGCAAATGGCCACGGCCCATGTTGGATGACACCGCCATATGTTACCCCGTTCAAGCAGAGGGTTGAATTCTTGGCTAGTTTGTTCACCTCAAAGGCATGGCAACTCGCTTGAGCTTGATGCTAACATCTGAAAAGATACACGATTGCTCACATGGTTCAGCCCTTGTATCTGGGGCTCGCAATGTGGGCATTCATGGGTCAGGAGGCTCTTGCACGGCACCATGGTTGGAAGATTCATCACCAACTTGTTCTGGAAAATTCTGGCATCAGACGTGCTGGCCCGGTGCCAGCTTGACTCGCACCCGGAGACGAGAAAGCTGAAGCCCAAGCTCGATGCCATGTTTGCGGGAGCAAGTTTTAGCATCTTGAATTATGATACCGACTTTTTCGAACTTGTTAGGAACGGGCGGGTCAAGATTCATATAGCCGACATCGAGTGTCTGAGTCCAGGCAAGGTCCATCTCTCTGATAATACTTGCTTTGAGTCGGATTCGATCCTAGTACATACTGGGTGGAAGAAGGTGCCTCCAATCAAGTTCCTCCCCGAGGGAGTTGATGCCGAGCTGGGGCTTCCCCATCGTCAAAAAGACGGGCTACACGGAGAAGCCTTTGGGAGAAACGGAGCCTTTTTTGACAGGGCTGACCGGGAGATTTTATCACAGTTTCCAAGCTTGCAAGACCAGCCCAAGTGTCTGAAGGATTACGTGCCGCTTTCGAATGTGCCCGGGATTGTAAAGGCCGGGAGACCGACGGAAAATGACAACTTGACACCATTTATGCTTCATCGATTCATAGTACCCCCGTCCCCGCGGTTTCTCCGCCATCGAGATGTCGCCTTTTGCGGCATGGTGATGAACTTTAGCACGCCCATATTGGCGCATATCCAGAGTCTATGGATAGCCGCTTACATGTCAGGCAGGTTGAGCCGCGATGCAACACGGAATCTCTTGGAGCCAGGGGCACTGGAAGAACTGCAGTACCAAACAGCTCTGGCCAATCGGTTCGGGAAATGGCGATATCCTGTGGATTGGGGTAGCAAGGCTCCTTCATTCATATTCGACGCCGTTCCCTACTACGATGTGCTACTTCAAGATTTAGGACTGAACTGTACGAGAAAACAGGGACTCTTGTCATACTTGTTTGAACCATATGGGCCACAAGACTACCGCGACACGACCATGGAATGGTTAGCAAAATTTAAAACCCTAGGTGGATAGCGAATAAGGCTTGGGGTAGCGAACCAGGTTTTGGAGTTTACAGCTTTTCCTGTCAGGGGCTAGAGAGAGAGAGCCAAGTTGTGCATACTTGTAAGCTAGATACCATATATGGCAGATCGACTTCCGGCCTCCAAACTCCAACCACAGTTTCCAGATCGACCCTTCTAAAGTCTCAGATGCCGCACCTTGGTTAGCCCGGGATCCCAACTGGCTTCAGGTTCATGACGCCTTGCAATTGTGCCAATGGACGGTTGCAGCTGCGACGAACAACCCCTTGCTGTTAGGAATGGTCACATCCGTCGTGACAAGGTTGGAGAAACACGCAAAAGACCATAACTCGACGGTGGGACAAGTCGAGTCTTCAGATGCCGACGTCATTAACCTGACGAGGCCTGGGGGATGGACCGGCGTCGTTTTTGACCAACTTTGCATGTACCAACCCCGTCTCATATCAGTGAGTGAGAGACCTGACTGGATTGAAGGAACCAACCCTGATCGGTGACATGTTGATCTTGCCCATTGACGGATTTGGGATGGGCCAAGCGCATTCGAATAGAACCAATGATGGTTCGATACCCGACAATGCGCTGGTTCGGCACGAGTTTCACGGCTCGTGGAGAGCAAGCAACGACGAGGCATAGGGGTTGCCTCGCGTGCAGGCAAGTGGAAATGGAACAGCCTGGCATGTACATGCTCACACAATCGAGTATATAGGGCTTTCGCTCGGGTCGAAACATGTAGTACAGTCATGAGGAATGATGGGCCCGGATGTCTTTGGTTACAAAAGGAACTGCGGTTTAGTGGCGCAATAATTTCCCCGTATAAAAGTCTTGTACAGTTGCGACAGCTAAATAATTTAATTTCCACAAACCCAGCAGGGACAGAAACAGGGCTAGCCCCTGCTCTCGGCGTGCTTTGGAGAAGAAAGAGAAGCCTTGACCGGGTTCCTGGCCTCGAAAATCTCCGACATTTCCTCCAGAGATCTGGCCTTGGTCTCCACGGAAAAGAGGTAACTGATGGCCGCTTGGATGAGGTCCCAGCCAATAAAGATCATGTACGTGTACCAGCCAATCCGCTGCAACGCAATCGGAAAGCAAAACTGGTTGACGAACGCCAGGCAGTGGGCAAAGGCAAAGACAAAGGCCAGGCCCTTGCCGCGCTGCTCGTACGACAGACACTCGACGGGATACAGCGCCTGCAGGGGCGTAATGCCAAAGTTGTAGCACCAGCCAAAGATGAAGATAAAGGCCACGCCCGCCGCGGCCGCGCCGCCCGACTTGGTCATCGTGTATGCCCCGGCGCCCCCCGTGATGCCGGCAAAACAAAGGGAGCACGCGACCGAGGTCCAGATGCTGGTTGGCCGCCGGCCCATTCTCTCAATGAGGCCGGCGCCAATGTACGAGGCCACGGCGGACACGATGGTATACCCGAGGTTGATGTTGAGGATCTGGTCCGGCCGCGTCATGCCCGCGGTGGCCAGCATCGCAGGCAGGTAGTAGCTGACGAAGGCGTTTCCCGAACACTGCCCCCAGACCGAGGGGATCAGGGCGTTGAAGACGCGCCAGCGCGCCGAGCGCGTCCTGTAGAGGTCGCCATAGTCCCACCACTTCTTGTCCGAGCCGTCGAGGGAAATGACGCGGCGGTACTCGTCGACCTGCAGCCGCACAAGGGGGTGGTTCGGGTCCCCCTCTCCGTGGTACTCGGTCAGAAAATCGACGGCCAGCGCTTCTCGCCGGTTCGCGTACAGCCACCGCGGCGACTCGGGGAGCAGCATGACGAGGGCGCACACAATGGCCGGGCAGACGAGCTGGCACCAGACGGGGATCCTCCAGGCCGCGTCGCCGGGGTACCGGACGGACGCGCGGGCGACGCCGGCGGCCATGACGGCCCCGATGGCGTACGTGCAGTTGTAAAACGCCGTCAGGACGCCGCGGCTCGACGGGGGCGCAGTCTCGGCCACCCAGATGGAGCTGGCGCAGCGGGCGATGCTGACCCCGAAGCCGAGGAAGAAGCGGCCCGCGACGAACTGCGCCGTGCCGGCGGCCAGCCCGGACAGCACGGCGCTCGCAATCACAATGGCGCTGCCGATGAACATGCCCGTGCGGCGGCCCCTGACGTCGCACGCGGGGCCGGTGACGGGCAGCGAGGCAATCGTGCCGACTGTGTATATGGCCGAGATGTAGCCCAGCTTGGGGCCCGTCTTGCCGACCTCGAACCGATTTCTAAACGATTCCAGCGCGGGGAGGGAGCCAAAGACGGAGCCGTCGTAGCCTTGCACGAGAGTGTCAGCAAGAGTCGCAACCAATACTCGGTATTCACATACCGTTCATGGTGGAGCAGAGGAAGGCGACTGCACAGAAGCAGTACAGCTTGAGAAGAGACTTGCTCCACGGTGACGGCGTCCCGTGGGCCATGGCTTCGGCGAGGGCCTCTGCGGAAGGGAGGACGTCTTCATGCACGGCCTCTCCGGCCTCGTTGGCCTTGTCCGCGGCGAAATCGCCCGAAGTCATGGAGACGGGCTCCCTATCAGGAGCCATTGCGAGCAGGGGGGAGGCAGACCAGCTTCAAGAATGATTAATGGGGGAGGTGGTATATAGGGCGAGTCTAGACGCTTGAATAGCTAGCATCATCGTGGATCCATTGCAGTGGCTGGTCAAGCGTATATAACTGCACATGTAACTGTCCAAGTTGTGTAGCAGCGCGGTGGAAGCTACCAAACATCTCGAGACATTTGCGAGGTCAGCCGGCGAGCTGTTGGACGGCTGGTGGTCCGGTGGCGCTCAGGTGCCTGTCAATACTCCGTACATGTACATATGTGTCCTCCTCTCGGGCAAGTCCAGCCCGATGTCTCAATGTTTGGTTCCGGAGCGGTGCCCGGCCTGGTTCCGGAGCCCTGCTCGACTCTTTATATCCCAGGCGACTGGTGTGAATCACGGACACAACTCTGGCTCTAGAGACCCGCTTGCCAGCAGGGCCGTCATGCCTTTGTCTATTGACGCTTTGTCCCAAGTGGCTTCCACCAGATTGTCATCTGGACCCGAGCCCGAGGTTTGTGCGGAGAAGTCGGGGTGAGGGGAATCTTGCCGCGATGCCGGCCTGTTGGCTCAACGCCCATGCAAGAAAGTCCCAAAACGGTCAATATAACCGGGTTGGAGGAGCAATTGCATTCCATCACCATTGGGCCTGCTACAGCCGAGCGAGCTTTCACTCCAACCCCGTGTTCTGTGTTTATGCTGGCAGCTTCTCAAAGATGCATTGGACGAATTTGTATGCTCAAGCAACATGGTCTGGTGATTGGCATCCAAAATACAGCAATGCAGGCAATCGCTCCGTGCTGTTGTGCGTTTGGAAGCAGTGCTATATTCATTTCCATACAAAGTCTACGTGTCCCATTTTCTACATGTACCCGAGCTGAAGCAGTCTATTGCCATACTCGAGCAGGTAGTAGTCTCCGTACACAAGCCCATGGTTATAATACTTGTCCGTCCAGTCTCTATTGTAGTTGGCCGTTGCGCATCGAAGCAGGGCGTCAAACGGCTCGGCCTCTTGCTCCAGACTCCGGGCCACAACCCTCGCAGAGCCGTCTTCTCTCTGCTCAACGACCAGCTCCAGCCCGTCGGTCGCATAGCACAACGCCAGGATGTCCTCCACAATCGCCAGGGACGATTCAAGGAATCTCTGCGCGTCCACAAAGTGTCCCAGAGACGCAAGCGCACCGGAAATCACGAGCATCCCGTTGGCCGCAATCACGCCGGCTGCGCTGTCCCGGACTACATGATTCTCGTCCACAGGGGCGTCAAAGTCCCAGAGCGGCACGTATCTGCCCACCTTGCCGCTTACCTCGACACACGGCGGCGACGACTCCATTCGCGACATGAAGTGCTCGGCCAAGCCGCAGGCCGTGTGGAGGAAGACGACGTCCTTGGTCCACATGTATGTTTGTGCAAATCCTAACACCGCCCACGACTGCCCGCGCGCCCAGGTCGAAGTATCAGAGTAGCCCTGTGCCGTGAACCGCCGCACAACCTGGCCCGTGGCAGGGCACATATTCGCCACATGCCAAGTTGATAGCTCGCCGTACTTGGACCCCGACGACGAGTTTTCCCGCCTCAGGTGGGTTTTGCAAACAGTGTGCGCGTGCGTGGTGGCAATGTCAATGAGGCGCTGGTCACGACTGTGATGGCCCGCGTAGTAGAGGATCTCCAAGTCTGCCAAAAGCCGTCAGTCCCAGAACGACAAATCACGGAGCGCATCAGTATTCCTCGGAGGACGACCTACTGCACATGCTGTCGATAATGACCAAAAAGTCCTTGTCCTTGTCCGTGAACTGGTGCCGGTTGTTGACAAACGTGTCCCAGCTGCGGATCGCCCTCGTCGTCTCGCTGTACCGGCTCGCCAGGCTCTTGGCAGCGCGCACAATCGACACCAGGCTGCGCTCGTCGCCCGTCAGCTCAAAGTCTCGTCGTAGAGCGGGCTCGATGATGAAGCCCATGTCGTGGGTATCTGTGCGGTTGGCCATTTCGTGCAACGGCTCCGACCACGCTCGGCAGACGCCCGGGAGCTCTTGGCGTAGCAACTCGCCGTGTTGGGAGCCCTTGCCGTCGAGGGCGCCGTCTGTGAGAAACTGCTGCGGATACTTGACCGAGCGCTCTAGCAGGCAATACAGACTTCCTGGGAAGAAGCCGCAGGTCCAAAAGTCGGCGTCTCGGTACTGATACTTGCCCGTGGCGGGACCAGTCTGCGGAACAGTCTCTGGGAACGATTGAGGAGGGTTCTAGAGACAATTTGGTGAGTTTTTTGCCCGAGTCGATACGGCTTGAGGAGGAGTTGTTAATCACCTCTCGTTGGAGATGCTCGGTCGCTGTTTTCCAAATTTTGAGGACACCATTGCTGGTGTATAGCTGCGACAAGCGCCCATTCCGAGTCCCTGTATCCCCGTGGAGAGGGGACTCATGGACGGTGTTTTCGACCGTGGTTGTTGTTTGGGATATCATGGTTTTGGTCTCCTTCTTGTTTTGAAGAGGCCGTGTGTATGTTATGGTGGTCATTACAAAAGTGGGAGATGTCGATACAAAGGGCGGATAAACAACTACTCTTGCAATAAAGGGAGGTTCTGCCGCTCCTTGGTCAGCGGGACGGGACACTGCTGTTATTTACCGAATCAAACTCTTCGTGCATGCCGATTATGGTTGTCTCGAAAACAGTCTCGATTCATTTCCAGACATACCCCACACTCTGCGGAGAGTCGTATTCCCCAAAAGCCAGCACTGATGGCGACTCCGGGGCCGGCTCCGTAACCCCTCCGGAGTCCGGTGCGGAGAGGAGCAAACATGCGGGGATGAGCGCAGGGGTAGGAGAATCCGTCATGATCAAGTTCCGTCGGATAATAACTTGTAGGAATGACGATGAATTGATTGTGTCGTCCACGACATTAATGCGGCAGAAGCCGACTGCGCGTCAGCATCATGCCATCGTGAATGAGACAAGACAAGCTGTTTTCTAGTCACCGAAATGCCGTCACTAGCAGGCTTCTCCGACAACCCGCTCGATACAAAGGAAAACGTATCAGCGGCCGCAAGAGCACTTCTCCAACCTCTGCTGCCACACTTTTCCTCCGGCCGGGCTCGAATACGGCTGCCCATCACGTCGGGCGCTCACTTTGACGAGCACGCCGCCGATCTGGAGGGATACGCCCGCCCACTGTGGGTGGTTGCCGCGCTCCTGTCCGACGCTGCCGGGCCAGAGCCCCTTTTGGAGCCATGGATCGCCGGTCTTCGAAACGGCCTCGATCCGTCTCACAAAGAGCACTGGGGCGCAATCGGGGACTGGGATCAACGAATGGTCGAGGCGGAAATCATTTCGTTTGCGCTCCTTGCGGCTCCGGCGTCCTTCTACGAGACCCTGGAGTCAAGCGACAAGAGCAACTTGGTTTGCTGGCTCAAGGGCTTGAACGGCAAGGTGATGCCCGAGAATAACTGGCGCTGGTTCCGCGTTCTGTCCAACCTGGCGCTGATCAAGGTCTGTGGCGTAGAGCACGCGCTGCTGTGGCCGCTCGTTGAGCAGGATCTCGAGACGCTTGAGAGCTTTTACATGGCGGACGGATGGGCTTCCGACGGCGTTTGGCGGGCCGCGGCGGAGGATCCGAGACAAGAGGGCACGGGGGTTGACGCCGCGCGTGGTCGGCACGCAGACTACTACTCGGGGAGCTTTGCCATGCAGTTCAGCCAGCTGATGTACACCAAGTTTGCGGGCGACTTGGATCCCGAGAGGTGCTCCGTGTTTAGACAGCGGGCGAGGCAGTACGCGCGTACGTTCTGGGCCTATTTTGACCAAGACGGTAAGACGAGGCGGTGCGCGATGGAAGATGCAAGGGATTGACTGTAGACTAGGCGCACCGATTCCGTTTGGCCGATCGCTGTGTTACAAGTTCGCCATGGGAGGATTCTACGCGGCGTTTGCCTACTGCGGGCTTTGCGACGACGACGACGACGAGCATACCTCGCACGGGGCCGTCAAGGGAATGCTCCTCCGGCACCTGCGTTGGTGGGCTTCCCACTCGGAGAGCATATTCTGGTCCGACGGCACCCTCAACATTGGCTACTTGTATCCCAACATGTATCTGAGCGAGGATTACAACTCCCCCCAGTCGCCGTACTGGGCGCTCAAGTCCTTGATTGTGGTGGCTCTGCCAGGCGGCGACGCATTCTGGTCGGCCGAGGAGCTGCCGCACCCCCTGAGCCGTGGCCGAGGACGCGAGCACGCCGGGGACAAGGACGTCGTGCCAGTCAGGCCGGCGAGGCAGATTGTATGCAATCACGGCAGGGGGCGGCATCACTTTCTCCTGTCGTCGGGGCAGTTTTGCGTCTGGCCGATGAAGGCAACGCAGGCAAAGTATGCCAAGTTTGCGTATTCCTCCGCCTTTGGCTTCAGTGTGCCTACCGGGCCGCTGGTTGCGCAAATCGCGCCAGACAACACGTTGGCGCTGAGCAAAGACAATGGCGACACGTGGACGGTGCGCTGGGTATCTACGGGTGAGACCAGGTTTGTCTCGGTTCCCATCTCTATAAGCGGCAGCCCGCCGCAACACACCACGGCGCTGGTCAGTCGTTGGAAGCCGTGGCCGACCGGGTCGGTGCAAGTCGAGACGACGCTGGTTCCGCCGTGCTCAGCGTGGCCGGACTGGCACGTTAGAGTACATCGTATCTGCGCCGGCAACGATGCGTCCCTCCTCTCGCTGGACGCCGTCGAGGGCGGCTTTGCCATTGATGGCAGACAAAAGGCGAACCGGCGCATCATCCCAAAACGCCAAGGGGACGCTGGCCAAACATTGATGTCGTTGGGCCTGCGGGACGGCGAGGTCGCATTAGAGACGCCAGACTCGTCTCTGGTACTATCATCGGCCGGAGCAAGCGGCATCGCCAACCTGGCTCCTTTGTCTCTGCCATCTCTGCGATCCGTGGGGGAGGTATTGAAGCCGGACCCCAACACCAATTTAATGACAACCAGGACTTTGCTGCCAACGATCAAGCACTCTGGACCGAGTTGGCCCAAGGAAGATGTCGTTATCGTAACAGGCGTCTTTGCTATCCACGATGAGAAAAACGCAATGACCCTGGCAGAGATTGAGGAGCGGTGGTCGCGCCGCCCATGCGTCAAATACAAGGCCGAGTCTGGGCTGAGCCTGAGCTGACGAGACTTGTGCCGGCCACATACAGTAGATTAGCCACTAGTGTCAAATAATGGAACTTGGCTTTGCTCAATGAGCTCGGTAGTTTTTTTTAGTTTTTTTTTTCTCGTAGGATCAAGTAGCGCAGGTTTTTACCCGACACCAAAACCTATGTACATGTGGCAATGTCGTGACACGTCGCGGGTAACACCAGACATCAGGTCATGGGCCGGGGCACATGCGAAGCAACGTTTGACAGACTATTGACTCCGGAGTCCAGACCATCAACCGTACCGTAATTGGCGACTGCATGGGTCGGACGGCGGGCCGCCAATTCAAATGGCCTCGTATTACGACCATGCGGCAACGGAGGGTTGTCGGTGTTCTGCCCGAAGGCCCGCTTCCCCAGTGTCTTTCCCCAACCTACATATGCCACGATATGGAGTCAAGCAAGTACCGGCATCGTAGTTTTGTAACTTGTGCGACGGTGACAAACAGCTATAATTGTGGAATCACCTCATCGTTTGAATCATCGGGGCCGGCTCGCTAGTCGTCATCCGATGATATTTTGCCAGCGTCTGTCTTTGCCAGCCAGCCAGCCATGCAACCGACTTCACTCAGGACCGCATCTGCCGCGGCACTCTTGACCTTGCTCACGTTGGGGTCGGCGCAGGGCAAGCAATACTATGTAGACTGCTCCCGACCCGACGCGGGCGAAGGAAGCCAGCACAAGCCATGGAACAGCCTCCAGAAGGTCAATTCGCCAACCTTTGCTCCCGGGGACGTCATTGCCTTCAAGGCCGGCACCACCTGCACCGGGACACTATCACCCAAGGGGGTCGGCACGGCAGACGCGGCTATTCGCATCACCAAGTACACCACCGCCGGCGCCGCGGACAACAACCCTAACCCCATCATCAACGGAACGGGGGCCGCCGGCGCCGCCGTCACCCTGACGAACCAGGACCACTGGCAAATCTCCAACCTCACCGTGACAAATCCCGCGTCAGGCCTCGCCGCCCGTCAGGGGATCCACGTCACGGCAAGCGACGGCAAGGCGCACACGGGCATCACAATCGAGCACAACACCGTCCACCACGTCGCGGGACAGACGAACAAGCGCACGCACTCGAAAGACTTTATCCTATCGTGCGGCATCCTCGTCGACACCTCCGGCGCCGGCAGCCGCTACGACGGCGTGCTCGTCCAGCACAATGCCGTGTCGGACTGCGGCGGCGGCGGCATCAAAGTACGCGTCGGGGCCGCAGACAACCTCGGGCACAAGGCGCGCGTGACGCGCAACACAATCCGGGCCTGCGGCGGCGACGGCATCATCATCTCGTACAGCGACTCGCCGCTGATGGACTACAACGTCGCGTCGGACCTGGGCACCGGGGCGTACCCCTTCACGGGCGGCAACTTCGCCGGCATGTGGGTGCTCGGCGACCACAATCCCACCATATCCCACAACGTCGTCTACGGGAGCACCATGTCCGACATCGACAGCGAGGCCTTTGACTGCGACTGGGGCAACACGGGCAACTGCACCGTCGAGTACAACTACAGCCGCGCCAACGCCGGCGGCGCCTTCTTGAACTGCGACGGCTGCGGGCCCCCCGACGCGCCCCCCGGCGGCGCCGACCAGATCGTCCGCTACAACATTTTCGAAAACGACTGCCGCATGTACAGCAACGGCAGGCGGCCCACGCTGTACTTTTACCAAAACGTCATGTACTGCCCCGACGAGGAGAGGGGGTTTGACATTGCCGTCGCGCACAACGCCTACTTCACCAACAACATCTTTGTGGGCAACGGCAAGGCGTCGCTGCCGGCGCGGAGCGACATCCGCTGGCGCTGGAACGTCTTTTACCGCGTCCCGCACCCCACGGACAACGGCATCGAGGCCGACCCCGGGTTTGTAGATCCGGGCAGCGGCGGCAATGACTTGGCCTCGGTCGGGGGGTACAAGCTTCGCAGGGGGTCGCCGGCCCTGGGCAACGGCGCCGTCATCCCGGATAGTGGCGGCGTCGACTTTTTCGGCAACCCCGTGTCTTTTACGCAGAAGCCCAACAGGGGAGCGTACAACGGGCCGGGGCTTTGACGTGAAACTGAATGTGACTGAGAAATACTGCCTTGATAGTCTTGTCATTATAATATACTGCGTAGTGCGTGCCATAGGTAGCCAACTAAGAATCATGTGCCTTCTTCTGTTGCGGTGCGCCCTCCTCGATGAGCCTCCGATCGTGCTCTCTTGCCCGGTGCTCAAGTTTCCGCAGCTCCGCCATCAAGTCGAACCCGTCTGGGCTCTCCGCCGCGCCCCCGGGGGACCTGGCCAGGGTGCTCGCCATCCTTGCGCTGGGCAGCAGCGAGTGCGTACGCGCCAGCGTGTTGTCGCCCAAGAACTCGGGCGAGCCACCGCCGTCCAGCCCTGCCATCCCCAGCCAACTCATGCCGCTGGAGGGAGAGATGGCGCATTGCGGTAGCATGGTGGGCATTTCTCCAAACGGCGACATGAACTGAAGATCTGAAAAGCTGCCGCCCGCCGGCATCAGGGTTTTGGCCGACCACATCTCAGTGGATGACTGCTTCGAGCCGTCGTTGCGGAGGTCTCCCAGTCGGCGTGCGAATTTAGCAGCCGGGTTCTCATCTTGCGTATCTTGCTGCGCATCTTGTCGGCCCTGGTGTAGTCGGCGGGAGATTTCGTCGAGCGCAGCCATGATTGTGCCAACTTCGTCCGCCGGCGGGATGGACTGGTGAGCTGCTTGGCCTTGTGCCCAGGTGTCATGTTAGCGCTGGAAACTCAATATCAATTCCGTCACGGGGCTGTCTCATACTGAGGAATAGTTCACCGGCAATGTACAGACAAAAGACAAATTGGTGCGGCGGGATTCCATCGCTGGCATCCAGGTAGCGATTCGCAATCCTGTTCATCTTGATGGCGGCCATGACACAGGCCTCTCGCGATGCGGCGGACACGAGCACCGACAGCCAAGCCCGCGACGACGCCGGCGGATAGGCGAGTCGCCGGTGCAGGACGATGATGGCCGCATTGTGCGTCATGTGTGCGAGCGCCAGGTTTGGGTCAATGTAGCCGTCGACGACGCGCACGTCACGCCAGCGATGCGTCAGGCACAACTCCCATCTGCGCGTCGGGCCCGTCAGCAATACAACTCGTCTGATGCTAGAAGCTGCTCGTTCGCGGTCCCGACCTACTGCAAAAGCCTCGAGTCAAGGTGCCGGAACTTGTTCAGCCAGCTGGAAAGCTGCGAAGCCTTGTTCAGCTCCACGGGGTGGCGCGCGTGAAACTTTGTCACGAGGAAGAGCGACTCGCTTGCTTCGATCGTGTAGGCAAGGCCGCCGATTCCACTGGGCTGCTCCGTGTCGGCATAGGCCGGCGGAAACGGGGGCTCGGGTTCCTGGGCGTCGGTCTCGTCGGCGCCTTGTTCGTGCGTCTTGAAGAAGGACGTCTCAACGCGCAGGTCCTGCTCCCACCGGTAGCCGTCGCACGGCAGCCGCCTCCGGATATTCTTGCTCGGTATGCCCGGGGCGGCTCTGTGTCCGTGTTAGCCTGGGGAACAACGCCGGCCAAAGGCAAAGCATTCGCTATCTGTACCCCGAGGTGATGCTGCAGAAACGGTCCATCAAGAAGGCGGCCCAAAACACCCGACGGCGCTCCTCTACCTCCAGCCAGGCATGGGCCGCCTCCAGAGTGGGCGCAGGTCTCGAAAAGTAGTCGGAGAATCCTTCCCTGCGCATGGGCTCCTCTGAATAGAGCTGCAGCGCGTCAATCTTACGGCTTATAATGGCGACAAGTGACCATGGCGATGCGCTGAGGCCTCGTTTCATCTGCCATGGTGGTTAGTTAGAACTCCGGTGTGTTTGTGGCACGCGCCTGGTATGCGTACAGAATCAAATGTCACCAGCATCAGCGCCTGGATAGATTCTTTTGCGTTGCTCTCGATGGCTGAGGTGATGACATTCTGCCGACAGAGCGAAGCATATTGCCTCATTTCTTGCTGCTGCTCCTGCTGCTCCTCTGAGTCTGCGTCACCGTGACTAAGCAGAAAGTGAGAGGCGACGGCAACAATGGCCTGGACAAGTAGAGACACCCCAGCCGGTCGATTGGGATCCCGCACTCGTCTAAGAAAAGTTGCGGCATGTAGCACGGGCACCCACGGATGGACATACTTGAAGTACATGTCCAGAATAGTCTCCAGCTCCCTTGATGGAGGGATCTGCTGGCACATGTCAACAGCACCGGCCGTGATACGTTCCTGGGGTCCTTCCACGGGGACAAAAACATCGTGTGACGTCCGCTTTCGCTTGGATCCTATTGCGCTCCGCGGTTCGTCTACTCTTCCTTCTTCCTCGGAGCCGTCCCCCGACACGACGGGGTTGTTCGCCACGGCGCAGAAACTTCTTTTTAGCTTGTTCGTGTATGTCACAAATGAGTCGGCTACCCGGCCCGTGGAACTGGGCATGATCGGTGCAGTAGCATCTCTGGCTTGCCATAGTTGCTGAAGTAGGATCCCTTGACCAAGAAACATGTTTTCAATCGTGTCTGTCACGGCACAATTAGCACGGCCAGGCCAGGAGTTGTCGAGTACCTGCATATGTAGACTTGCAAACGCGCACCTATTCTCTGGTTTAAGCGTTCAATGACTCCAGTTTTGATGCCGCCTTTGAGCCTCTTGTCCTCGTACACACAGTCCACGCCTAAGACTTGGATGAGAATTCCGTCCCCTCAAGCAACACCTGGTGGTCACTTGCCTGACTTGACACATTGTGAGCACGGCTGGTTTCTGGAACATTTGGACTTTTTTTTCCGGCACGATTGACATCTAGCGGCCGGCGTCAGCACCTTGGCCATTGAATGTGTTGGGGCGCTCGTACGCTGAGGTCTCTTCTTGGTTGGGCACATCATTGCGGGCGTGGAGCGCAAACGAATCCTCGGCTTCCATATCGAGAGGCGCAGCTTCTGTTGTAGTTGCCATGCTTATGCTGGGGTTCTACAGCGCGGGGGTGATGTGATGGCGATTTGACAGTTGGGATGAGAGGTACTCACAGGACCGATAGGCGTCGATGGACCCACGATGCAAGTGACTAATAATTGGTAATTAAGTTTTTTTTTACTTAATTAGCTATAAAATTCTAAGAGAATTAAAAAATATTAAATAAGTAATATTTATTTTTAATAATTTTTAATAAAATAAATAAAGCTAGTTAATTACCTGGACTTATTAATAATATAATCAGGTAATTATACTTAATTTAATTTAATAATAATATAAAATATAAAAAAAATACTAAGTATATATATAATAATATATTAAATTTATTAACTTAAAAGATAATTTATAATTTTATATATTTAAAAAGGCTATTTAGAAAAGGTAAAACTAATAATATAAATTTAATTATTTTTTAGTATTATATTTTAGTTTAATATTTATAAACGTTTGCCAGCCACCTTATTTTATCAGGGTAGCTGGCCAGCCTCTTAACTAGTAATATTAATAATTTTATAACATCTCGTAATTACGTCAAGTCTACTTGTTCAACTAATAGAGGCAGCCTTATCCGACAGCTACAGACTCTTTCCATAAATGCTTCTGGAGTTTTCATTGAGGAATTCAGGTCTCCTCTTATTTTCAGTCGTTCTTCTTCATCACATAACTTGACCTCATTCATCTTTGGAGTTGGTCGATTCTCGCGGATACGCTTTATTTATCTCAGCTGCAGAAGAATCCGTAGATTGCCTATATACTCTATCCCGGCTTCAATTAGCACAGTACAGCAGCTGAGCGTTAAAACAAGAATGTGCCGCTGAACAAGCAGTAAATGTTATACGCTTACCTATTTTCTTTGCCATCTTAGACACTCTCCGCACTTGTCCCTCATCCCTGGCCCATGGAAAAGCGAGGGATCGAAGAAACCGCAACATTCTTGTCGTCAAGCACGCCGCCATAGTTGCTTGATTCTTGGGCTTCTGTGACACGCTAAATTGCTTATCGCCAATTTTGACATCCAGCCTTTCAGACGATGAACAAATAGTCATGACTTATATTAAGAGGAGGTCACACAGGGGGTCTCTTAGGAGTTGTGCAAGGCATTCCTTGGCCGTTTCGTAATCCGCCAACACTTTCCAGTCTCCTTGGGCAAATGTATGTCGGTGAGCCTTAGATCCGTCCTCAACGATCTGTGGGATCTTACAAAATGGAATTGTAGACCCAAAGTTAATAATTCGCTGTGGCTTATTGTCAACCCGAAGCGTTTCCGGTTGTCCGTCGTTGATGTCCAACCATCTAAAGTGATCCTCTTGCTCGCACGTGAGGTAGTTAGGCAATCCGGTCAGGTAGGTGTCGCCTCCAAGTACCCATCTTTTCTCATGATGAAATTGGTAGTCGTTCTGACTGGAATCCCACTGAACAACACCAGACAGAAATGCACGGCTGACGCCAGGCTGATCCGCCTTTTCCTGCTTACGAAATAGGTTATTCCCGTTATAATGTGGGGTGATCCAGAAGATTGGTAATGCATGTCTACCAAGCGATTGCTTCCATTTATCAGCCGCGACGCGGCTGACCGAAGTGCATATAGGCTGATAGAAATTTCGAGCTAGCTGCCTGTAGAAACAGTAGTCCCAGAATGTGCGCCCGAAGCGGCTTTATCCAGGCTTGTCAGCAATCAATATTAATTGGGAAGACTAGTATGGATATTGATATCGAAGATTTAGCCAATATTGAGGTTAATATTGATAATTTATTGATCAGAAGCCAGTGATTTTCACCACCACAATAGCTTGCAGCTGTCCGGATATTCATTACTGTGACGAGTTGTCACAGTCGAAGATATCAATGTCATTGCCGCAGGTCGCTGAATGACTAATAACTTCATTATGTTTGCCTGTGAGTACATGCAGAACTTGAATACGATTATTCTTATTCTAATTCCCTAAAAGCTCTGCCATCTCCACAATCCAAGCACCTAGCCTTGCCCTATCCTAAGGCATGGTATATCTAACACCCTAAAAAGACATGTTCTGCCTCGTCTGATAGTAGTAGGATAGAGAGGATGTTAATGGCTATTTTGTGGAGATAAGGATACTCTAGTCTCTGTTCTTCTTTATACCACTATTGTAAAGGGGAGCAAGCAATCTTCTGTTACGAACTTCTCAAATTTATCCTCATTGTCGTCCTTAGTAACATTAAGCTCTTGCGCAAGCTTCTTAAACTCTGAGAGCTCACGGCTATCGTCCACCTTGATACCTACATTTTCTTCAGGTGGCAGATCTTTGTACTTTACCCAGATTTTACTGGCAGCTTTAAGGGCTGGCCCACACTAAGATGAATCCCAATTAAGGTTGATATACTTTTTACGCCGCATAGGGTGGAGGAGGAAAGCAGTAGTATAGGCGGGAGCTTCGTCGGAAGATGTGTAGTACTTTTGAGGACGTACCAGCCCATATTAATGGAGTTACCTATATAGGAGTTATGGGCGTATTTAGCCTGTATCTATTAGTGACATAAATTGATACTAATAAGTTGCTGAGTACTTGTTAACGGCGTACGTTCGCTTGTCCGTAATGCTTAAAAAGTACATCCATTGTCCAGAGTGCCTGATTAAGAGATAACTATTTTGACTCTTGAATAAGCGTTGCTTGAGAGAAGGGCTGCAGGAACTCTAGTGTTATTTTAAGAGTCTCCTAATCTTGAGGCGAGAGAACTGCAGTGCTAAGCTTTTTATAGTGGTTATAATAGAATATTATTAGCTTTCCTTGCTTCTTGACCGCCGTTTTAATGAGGTTAAACGATGAATTCCATCATATAATATTATTAATTCCTAATGTTTTGCCCGCTAGCCTCTCCTATTTATCTAAAAGGATTAATAAGGAGCGAATAAAGACGACTATAGTAGAAAGATTACTAGGTGCACTAATTGGCTGCTATCCAGCCTTATTTGCTTGTCGTTTCTTCTTGCTTTTCTTACCTTGCTTCTCTTAAAGATGTTCTTGCAATGCCTCTACGACAGCGAGGTCTGCCTCTTCCTTTGTAGCATCAATGGCAGCTTTAAGTGCTTCGATAGTGCTTGCGAAAAGAAAGGCTTTAAGAGAGAGATTGATGATATGGCCACAGCAACGAATACGGCGCTTCTTGCCATCAAATTCAATCCCTAGTTTGATAAGCTCTCTTCTAATGGCCGCAACATAGGTGTTATTACTCAAAGCATGACACCCAATAATATATCCAGTCTTCTCGGCAACCTTATTAATATTGATAAGCCAATATTGCTGACAAGTCTGGATTCGTGATCACGTATTGCCTTTTTAAAGGCCACTTGTCACAAAATAAGTACATAATCTGTCAGAGAATATTTGGCTCTGCTATAATAATAGGCAAGCTTCGAAATCGATCGATTTCGAAGCTTGACAATAGGTATATTATACAAGGTGTCTAGTATAAATACGCATAAAGAATAAAATAACCACTCTAATATTGAAATGAAGCCAATCACACTTCCATGCAAGCATTTCTCTTGTAATCGACTCCAAATCACCACTCCACAAGTCGCAGGTTGAGCTCCGACTATAAACACCAAAGACGATCCTGCATAGCTGCCTTTAGTGCTTGAAGCTAGCACTCAGACAAATTTGTCTTATTCTGCTTTGGTGAAGAACCTAAGATTAAGGCCAATGTTCGTGGGGCTCGATGGTAAAGCTTTATTGACATCAATCCTGTTCCACCAGTAATTTGGTTTATCAAGAACTTCGTAGACATAGATAGGCTGAGAGTAAGTTGGTGTCTTCTTTGTTAAAAGCCACACATGGCTTTGCTCCTTATAATTTGTAGGCAAAGTTCCATCAGCGATTATATTCCACCAGGGCTCACCATCTTGGTGTCCAAATGTTAACTTGCTGGTACCAGTAACGCCAGGGAATGGGACGCCTTGAATGTTGAATACAGGCGTTGTCTTGCCAATATCTGTGCGTAATTTATCATCGATAACTATAATAGTTAGCAGCCGTAAAGCAAACAATCAAGATGAAGAGATTCTTCGTACGAGTGCTGTTCTTGGGATGGTCTTTGTACTCTGGTTTTGTCCAGTCATACTCTATATTTTGCACAATATATGTAGTAGAGAAGGCGTCCTAGTAAGCGATGAGTTTGCGTGCCGCGTTATAGTCAACGTCCAGTATTGCTTACCATTACAGTTCCAAGAAACGCATCCGGAGATTGGTAAGAAGGCTTGGATGCAGCCTTACTTGGGTCTTTTGAAACATTGGTAATCTAATATATATTCAGTCAGCAAAAATAAAAACGAAATGTACCAAGCCACGTACCCATGTCTTGACTCCATCTTTAGCCTTGATAATGGCGTTCCGTAGCTCTACCTGCTTTTGCTGGAGAGATTCGGGCAATTTGACTAAAGAATCTTAGTTTCAACGGCTTTAGATGTATATCTCGGGTGTACTTACTAGTCTTGAGCATTCGCTGCATGCTATCGTAGTCCGCATAGTCGTTAAACACCGCCCAAGTCTGCCAGAATAAGTTAGATTTTTATATTTCTTGGGCGAGTATATATTAGAAACTTGCCTGCTCAATTGCGTCAGAGTAGTCCAGAGGCTTGAACTCATCTTTAAAGTTGAAAACTTGATCATAGCGCTCGACAAGTGCGCTTTACTCCAAATTAGCACTTGGAATCCCCCCCGGATGTATTCTGTGGACTTACTATCGCTTCCACTGATGTTCCCCAGCTTCTGCAATAAACTTATCAGATATGCTCTTGATATCAAGGAGACTAGCGTCGCCTGACTGCAAGGCTTTGATCTCTCCAAGAACGCCAGACTTGGTATCTTTAGGAGGCGCGCCGACCCAAAACATTTCCGAAATGACTTTTGAGTTCTTCGAAAGAAACTCAGAGGCCTGCTTCATTTCTGTACTAACGGTAACACCGACTCCAAACATGCCAAAAGCTACCTTGGCCCTAGAGGTTTACAAGTCAGCAATTATCCCGAAACTGGAGTAGATGTACCAACTTTGCCTCAAGTTCGTGTTTCTTGGATGACTCGGTAGATTGAATGGATACCTGAGCAAAAAGCGCACCTCCTTCCACGAAATCTAAAACGCTATTAGATATGTTTTAATTCTGGCGCTGGTACGTCAAGACTTGCCGCTAATAAATCGGTCACAGTATCGCTCAGTCGGATTTTTAGCCTCGTTCCACATGAATTTGTACTTGAGATCGGAAGACGGCTGTCGTTTGACGTCCGCTCTTACAATATATGTAAGAGCGCTATTCTCGAACTAAGTGAATGTAAGCATTGTTATACAACTCGTACTTCCGTCCAAAAACTTACAGTAGACTTATCCAGCATTTTGCCGGAGACTTCTACACTATCATCAAGGTACTGGATACCGAGACTAGCGCTAATCCCAAGCTCCTTGATAATTTGCCTATATCATAATATGAGTACTGTATTACAAGTTTATGTATTCGGGCTCATAGGAGCTTACGAATATTCAGTAATTTGAGTCGCTTGATACTCAATCTGGACTTGACCGGGTGCGTTAGTAGGGCCCGTTACGTCTACTGCACCATTCATGCAGCCCTCCTGCAGGTAGGTGTTGTACCTATACTAAGAATTAGCACGCATGTATACAAGGTATTTGCCTGATATCATGTTTCTCACCCTTGACCCAGGGTCAACCCGTCAGAATACGGAACTGTACTGGCTCCAGCCCCAAGATTATTATGCGGATTCTTAAGAGGCTGGCCATTTGAGCCACCGCTAGGCGGGCCCGTGGAGTCGGGAATATTATTATCGATATCGTTAATACCGTCCTCACCAGGCAGTTTTGCAACTGGTTTTGCAGCTGTAATATGAGCAGCAGTCAATGCTGCCACCAAATGAGTGTAACGCATTGTGTAACTAGTACGCAGAATATTCTGCTGTAATGTAAAGGAACTTGTTAATGAGGGAGTGGCAAAGGATGGTGATAAAGTGAGGTTCGGGAAAACTTTGAGAGGAATGAAGCCATTTTTAAATGATTTAATTCTCAATAACTGGTAACCCAAGGAGAAGCTATCTGGAGGTTACTGTATTGCCAGCTCCCTTGGCGTGAACTCATTGCCAGCTACTTTGACGTGACCGTATAGCCAGTTACGCTGACGTGGCCGCATAGCCAGCTGCTCGTGTAGTAACTTGGGTATTGTTTGCCCTCGAGGCAAGCTTGGTGCAGAAACAAAGATTTGGGTTTATGCGAGGTCTGACGATATTGACAAGGCTTTGGTTAATGCCGCATATACCTTATTGTTTCAAGATAATGTGTGTATAATGGCTGAGCGTAGTGGTTATACGTCATCACGCTTGGCAAGAGCATATTTTTGGCACTGTTTACCATAATATCCTCTGAATAGAGACTATTCACTTATCGGCGTTACAGTCGGATTACTTTGCTGCCTTCATATTTGCTCAATAATCGTACGAGGTGTAAAGGCCGTGTAAGCATGGTAACCAGTATCTGTCCATGCTTGGTCTGAATAAGGTTTCGGCACTTGTTACAACAGCCCTACAACTAGTCATTTACAATTGGTGTCTTGACTGCGAAACTAGACGTGACCTGGCACTCTTGGTAAGATTACTGGAGATATAGCATGGTGTATGTCAATGCTGGTGGAGTTATTGGGAACCGGAAAGTGGGCAAACACGAATTGCCGGTAACTCTATGTCCTATGATGTAAGAGGTAGTTGAAGAGTCAAGATAAAAGTCTGGATAAAAGTGGTGCTGCCTGGGTCATTAGGGTAATGCAATTCGTCTTAACCTTCTCACGCTATTTAAACGTTATTCGCTTTATTTTCCGGGGGTTGCCCACAACAATATACCCAACATTATGCGAACAGGGTCCGAAGAGACGGTCTGTCGTGCCAAACCATGGTAGGTTCTGCTGAAAACGATAGCCCGGACCGATCCTGGCCCAAACGCGGCACTGCGAAGTAAACCAGACTCGTGTTAATGCCTCTCGGCATAGAAGGGCACAGTATCGGGAAAGCCTCAGAATGTATATGCCGTAGCTAGAGATGTAAAGCGAAAAAAAAGGTATAAAAAGCACAGTTTCCACCTGCTATGAACTTTTCCATTCAGCAAGCTTCTCTCGACAAACACTTCAAGACAAATAATTCTCTCACTCTTCTCACAACTACTCTACTCTCTTCACTTTTCACCACCAAACTATTCAAAATGAAGTTCACTCTCCCTCTTCTCGCTCTCCTGGCCGGCTTTGCCGCTGCTAAGATTGACGGCTCGTCGGTAAACGACATCGACAATAACGAACTCGGCGAGGGTGCACCCAACCACTGCCCGGTCGGCAGGCCCTGCAGCAGCGATAGAGTAAGGGATTCGCTAATCGCATGAATATACACTACTAATACTATAATAGCAATGCGGCTCATGCTCATGCAATGACTGGACCGGCAAGTGCACGGAATAAGCATATATTAATGCCACGTCTTGCGCAGACTTCGAGGAGGATTATGTAACTTTTAGCCGTTGTATGGAGTTCTTCGCTGAAGTTTAAGCTCGGCCGGCTATTAGTGGGCTTTATTTGGAGCAAAAGTTTGTAGTCTTATTGAAGCTGTATGAGTCTTGTATACTTGGTATATTAGCTTCTCTCAACATATAGAGTTTCCTTGAGATTCAATATATATTTGTCTAAAAGTCTGATATGTTTAGCTTGCGCAGTTTTGGATACTTGGTCGCCAAGACGAAGGGGCCAACGTTCATACTTTATTGGAGTGGCAATGATCAGGTTGTGTCGCTGGGCACGGAGTTTATGATTAGCATAGACCGGTTCTGAACTCTCTCTGACCACTTCATATCAGAACCGGAGCCCGTGGCCCAAGACCTGCTTTATGGTCTTAATCCAGTTTTGGACATTGCCAAAATCAAGGATAACATGACAAATCGAGACGTTGGCTATTTATTCGTGAAGCACGAGGAAAACGGATTCTAAATGTCTACAAAGCGACTCCTCGATCGACTAAGTCAGCCTCACTGACGCCTGCCACCGGTCACAACATATAGAGTCTGGCAATGATTAGCTATGAGACACTACCTAGGTATGGTGACTCGTTTACAAGAGCTGATATTTGGTGGCAAGTACACAAGTGGAGGCCAAACCCCGCGGCTTCGCGAACTGCAGTGGCTTCTATGCGAGAATACATCATGGGCTTCGAGGGGAGTTTATGCGTGGAATGGCTCAGTGGTGTATATTACAAAGCAATATAAAGCAAAGTATATGACGAAAAAGGAGTTCTATGTGGCCCGATTCCTGCCACTTCGGCTTGGGCTGGTGGTTATCAAGTATCTCGCATATATTTACCCTGTAGCAGAAATGCTGCGTCGCGACTGCACGATGTGTAGCGGCTCAGCTCTTTTTGCACAAATTGGGATTTTTTATTGAAGGCTGCAAGGCCGCGACCAAGCTTGACAGCATCCAGGTGAGGGGATATATCCGGGATCAATTTTAGTGAAATTCGACTTGCGGTCGCCATCGGATCTCGGGAGGCATATTTAGAGGCACAATCGGGAATAAAAATGAACGACATGAGTACGAACTAACCAGTAGATAGCCAAATACAGTATAACCCCTGTTGGATTAACCACCCGTGACCTCGCAGAGGGGTATACAGCCAATAAAAAAAATAAAGATAAGCAGATGTAATACCTAATCTCGTAAGAAAAAAGGAAGATAACTGGTATACCCCTACTAATCCCTGCTACATTACTTAACAAGCAGTTCAAATGTTACTATCCAGCGGCTGGATCGCCGACACAGCTAGGGGACCCTTGTACAGTATAACCTCTGTTTAATTAACCACCCATGACCGAACAAGGTATAGAGCACGTTTCATACTAGGATCAACATTGCATTTTCTGTGGGCCCACACGTTTACCAACGGGCCAAGTAGATAGACGACGGCGCTTAAGGACACGCATCGTCACATGACATGCATTACGTTCCCCGTTACTGGGTAAATAAGCCCACTCTAGCGCCAGTAGTTCGCTTAACTATGCGTAATTGTAACCTTCAAATCTCAACACACTACAACTATGACGAGCGCGGCGGGTCAATGCGAGCTGTCGCTTGGAATGTACACTTCACTACCGGCGAAGAAGAGGATCCGGGCGCCTTTGCCGCAATCTTCCAAGTTAGTGGCAGTGACCTCATTACCTTTCGTGATGTTTGCAATGAACTGCGTCTCTGCTTTGAGTTCCACAACGACAAACTGCGCGGCGACAGCCACGATGACGATGACGAACATGACTCCTGGTCTCATATCGCATTCTACCACCTTGTGTACCACGAGGACTGCCATGTGCCTTCCAACTCGTCACTAGACTCCCATTTACAAGGTTAGTCGGCAACATCATCTGGTTTGTTGTTGTAGAGCAGTCTTATCAACCTGGTTCCCAGCAAAACACGCTCGACACCTTCCAAACCCTGTCCGCCGTCGCGATGCTCGATATTTGCCACCGAATAGAACGCCATCTGATCCAAGACTTGCTGTTATGCCGCTCCGACGGAAGTTACAAGCCCGCCCTCAGTCTCCTGCTAAGCGGCCGGCATCGGACCCAAATTCACCAACCAAGGAAGCTCCGGACGAGTTCGATGACATGCTTGCACCTGCAACTATGAATATTGATCCTGATGAGGCTAAGAGGTTTACGAATGAATTCAGATCCTCCTGTCTCAATAGAGCCACCTCTTGTGCCGTTTCCGGCCAAGGAGAATCATGGTGTCCGGGGCCGCCAATAGGGCCTGGTATTCAGGCTTGCCTCATTGTGCCTCAGCAGCATTACCATCTGTATCCTGTCAGTAGCGGGCTTGCTGACGGTCATGTATAGCACTTATACACCCAGCGGCGAATTGATAGACTCGTTAAGCAGGGACCGGGACCAACTGTTCCTGGCAACTATATCTAGGCCAGGGAACCGTGATTGACCAAGCAACACACCGTCAACGCATCACGAAAAATTGGCCCGTGAGAGTCTCGGCCCCGGATACACTATTTACGGTAGCTCAAATCCACGGCCTAGGTCCTTATGAGAATAGCGGGTTTGAACCTAATGAGCCCCGGTCCTATACAAAACTACTAGCGCTCTCAATGCTTACCTCCCGAGTTAAATCCTCGCTCTCTAAATCCCCCTTGTACATGAAATCGTCAGACTTTCCATCCTCTCCTGGGAACACAACGGATACCTCCCAGCCTCCGTAGGCCACTTTCATAGTTACGGCTGGGTACAACTTGCCACGAATTTGGGTGAAGGCCCGCCCTGTTTGGGAAATAGTGCTATAAGCATGCATCTCATGAACAGTTTAAGGGGGGTATTCCGATATGCACTCACCGACAGCTGTTCCGTCGATGGTATAAAATGCTTCGCCTGTTGCAAAGTTGATTCCGCACCCGAGGACCTTGCCCGCCTCACTGCAAGCATCAGCATACTTAGTTCCAGTCCATGGATTATTTCCGTCCTCAAAAAGACAGCCGTCGTCCGAATAGAACGCCCATGAGCCCTGGAACCAGCCGAGCGCTCTATCCAGCGAAGTCTTGTCTTCGCAGAATCCAATGCCGACGAACCTAATCATTGTGGTTGGTAAGATGTACGAGAGGGTGAAGCTTTGGGAAGATTCTTACCCTTTTTCGGCAACTTTGGTGAGTCTAAGCTCAAAATAGTAGACTCTGCCTTTGTAAAGGGGCAGCATGGGGTAGTCTGCCCTGACGATTGCACTGTCTAGCCCGGTCCGATACATAAATTTGGTCCCTCCTAAGACAAATGGTTTAGTCAAGGTATCTTCGGTTTGCCTCGTGAACCTTGTGTGTGATTGATATACAACTTACCCAGAACACTCAGGGTGTTGCCATCGGGTCCCATCTCGAAACTACGGTATGAATCCTGAGGATGCCACTTGGTTGGCCTCTGCAGCCCTTCTGCTGGCTTTGAAGAGATTTGAGCATGTTGGTGCAGAATTGACTCTATACGGCCCGAGTCATACCGTTGGGCAGTATACAACGGAGTCCAACCATCGGGCCCCGTGAACTCGACATCCACATCCTCCTTCTCGAGGAGTTTTTCGAGAGCATACGGCCTATCGGATGCAATAGCTCCGTGAACAGCAACGTTCCAGAGGTCCGCGGGCTGATCATCTCGCTCTTCCAGGGCCCTGATGACAACCCCAAGCGTCTCCATCCGTGCTCCGCGCGCAGCCCAATAGAGCGCGCTGCGGCCACGGCAGTCGACAAGACACGGGTCTGCGCCCCTTTCCAACAGCTCCTCGATAATTTCGAGATGGTCTAGAGCCGCTGCACGCACCAGGGCCGTCTTGCCTTCATAATCCTGAGCATTGAGTACCTCGGGCTTGCTGAAGCCCTTTTCTTCGAGGAGGAGCTTGACGGTGGTCTTGCAGCCAAATATCGTAGCAAGGATAAGAGGCGTCTGGGAGTTGGTGTCCACCTCATCGGCATCGAAATAGCCTTCCCTGAGGAGGTACTCGACCGCCTCGTCGCTGAGATTTGCAACTTCGTGTATTAGGGCGGACCGCCCGTCTGCGTCTCTGGCCAGAGGATTTGCTCCCGCGTTTACCAGGACTTGCAAAACGTTGGCCCTGTCTGATATAGCTGCGATGTGAATAGGTAACCTGCCATCTCTCCCAGCTCTGGAGACGCCTGCTTTCTTGATTATGAGTTGGATAGTGGCCAAGTCTGACCCAGTTCGGATAGCTGCATTCAGAACGCTATCAAGGTCACCTCCCGTGAGATTAACGTCTGCTCCGTTGTCGATGAGCAGCTTGACAAGTTGTGTCCTTCCTTTGGATGATGCTCTCTGAAGAGCGGTGGCTTGGTTTTCGTGGGTGACATTGACATCAGCGTCGTGTTCGAGGAGCAACTCGACTTTTTCCTGGGCATCCTGGTCGCTTTCCACAGCGGCACATAATGCGCTGTACCCTCCTCGCAGAGTATTGACGTACGCCCCTTTTTCGAGGAGCCACTTGACCGCACCAATAGTGCCTTTGGAACATGCCACGTGCAGCGCAGTAGGCCGAGGCTCAGATGTTCTGTTCACCATGCCCTCGACGTCGCGTTTGACAAACATCTCTGCCAGTTCAGAGTTAAATTCTAACGAAGACACGCAGTCGCGGAGAGCTGAAAAACACACGGCTTTGAGGCCAGGTGTTGCACTATCTTCGAGTGCCTTGAGCAGATATTGGGCCTCAGGGAGTTTCCCCCGCCGCGCCGCGATGCGAAGTGCAGTGTCCCCATCAGGGCCCTTAGCAAAGAGATTCAGACGATTGCTCCTGCTAGCAAGTATCTTGATTAGCTGCAGAGTGTTCTCCTGTTCGAATGCCAAAATCAGCGGGGGGTCCTCGAAGGCACCCACGAGGTTTGGATCAGCGCCGGCTCCCAACAGCAGCTCCGCAGTTTTGATGAAATTCTCCCGGATGGCGAGAGCTAAAGGTGTAAGACCTTCATTTGTCAGAGCATTTGGTTCCGCATCATGCTTCAGCAGCAACTTGGTCATGGACGGGTTGTCAAATGCCGCGTGCAGAACATTCCAACCATCCGAATCTCGAGTAGCAATATTTGGCTTGGGTTTTGAGTCAAGAAGTACTTCAGCCACCCCAACATGGCCATCGAAAGCAGCTTGATATAACGGAGTTCGGCCGAAGCTGTCTTTCAAGTCGTTTGCAGCCCCAGAGCTTAAGAGATAGCTCGCTAGCTCCGCTGTCCCAGCAAGGTGCGTTACCGTTCGACCAAGACTATCCTTGGCGGCGATATCGCAGAGCGGGTGTTCAAGAAGTAGCTTGACGCCTGGAAAAAAGGCATCCATGACTGCAATATGCAGCGGCGCCAAGCTTTCGGCATCGCGAACGTCGGGCCTCCAACCTTTGTCAAGCAGGAGCCGCAACATGTCAATATTCCCCATGTTGGCGGCCATATGAAGTGGGATCCCTCCTCGGTTTGACTCGGTCTCGTCACCGACAGTATTATCTAGCATCTGAATAAAGTCCTCGACGTATTCGATTTTCTCATGGCGCACCAACAGGTCAAAGGCCGTATAGTGGCATTCGTCCTGCGTCCACATGATGTCTTTGAATGCGCATAATGGCTTGGCAACCGCCATGTGTCCGTTCCCCGCCGCAAGGTGTAATGCTGTCCTTCCCGAGTCGTCTGTCTTTTTGTGATCAGCCCCTTGCTCAAGAAGCTGGTCAACGCAGGACAGGTGTCCGTTTTCCGCAGCAAGAAGCAATGCTGTTTTGGAATGTTGATCAACAAAATCCTTTTCGGCCTTGTGGCGGATGAGAACCATCATAGCATTTACATGCCCGGCTCTGGCAGAAATATGAAGCGGCACAATACCCTCATTTGTGGTGGCATTGACCGGAAATGATCGTGGATGAGCAAGTAGCTCTTCGAGTATTTTTGAGTGCCCTCCTTCAGCTGCAAGATGAATTGCTGTTTTCCCACCAGAATCGACGGCAGCAGGGGCCAAGATGTCACCGGCAAGGGTCTCAAGAAGAGTCTTGACAACTTTGCTATGTCCATTCATAGCTGCCAGATTGAGAGCCAATGCACGATCCCGCGGCCTGCTCCAGGTTTTACGTTCAAGCAAGGCACGTACAACCTGGTCGTGTCCATTCCCAGCAGCTAATTCCAGCGCTGATTTGGGTCGGTCTTCCCGAACGGTGATGGGAGTCGGGGCCGCGGAAGAAGGCCTGCTTCTCCGTTCTGGGGAGCGCCTTGAAGTCGACTTGCGGCGGGACCGTCTTCGAGTATGTCGGCGAGAACTTGTGGAAGGGTTTCCCGGGGGTATTACAAACTCTATGGGTGACATTTGCTGGTCGTCCTTGTCTGTGCTGTCAATGCTCTCTGTGTCTTGCTTCTTGTCCGTCTTGTCGACTAACAAGTTCAGGAGACTGACATGTCCCTGTCGCGCCGCGATATGAATAGGGGTCAAGTGGTGGATGTTCGCTGTTTGGGCAAGCTCGGGAGCGTCCTTGCTATGTCGTAAAAGGATCCCAGCTGCCTCGGTATGACCGCACGTAACCGCAAGATGTAGTGCAGTGTTTCTATCTGACGTGGATACTTTGTCTACACTCACCTTCTCTAGGCCATCACTTCTATCCCTCAGAAGTAGGTATAGTAGCTCTGGGAATCCCCCTATTGCTGCATAGCTCAAGGGTCCGTATCCTGTAGAATTCTCTATATGTACATCGGCACCTCTCTCGAGTAGCAGCTCGGCAATTCCCAGTTGCCCAGTGAGTGCTGCCAGATGTAAGCTCGATTCAGACCAGGCTAGGTGGGCTAACACGTTGGCCTCAGTCCCCGTTGGAGACAGTTTCAGGTCATCGACGTCCAAGTCGGAGTCTGAATCCGACTCGGGGTAGCTTGACTGTCGAGTAAGGCGGTTTTGCTCACGGATCAATTTCGAAAGCTCCTGGCTTGGAATGGGTGATATAAGAACGTTGATATCGGCCCCCTTTTCCAAAAGCAACGAGACGATTTGCGTGTGGCCACCACAAGTAGCGTGATGGAGTGGCGCATACCTTGTCTCGTCTATATAGTTCAGGTCGAAACCAACGGAAAGCAGGGTTTCAACGACATTCTCGAAGCCCCCTCTAGCGGCTAGACCAAGGGCCTCTGGTGATCTGACGCCTTTGTCAAGCAAATTTCGAACAACATTGTCATGGCCGTTTCTGGCTGCAAGGTTAAGTGACTCGCGCATCTGGACTTTTGGGTCCTCGGTAGGCGCCAAGAGACCGATGCAACGATCGACCAGCTCTGCAAGTCCAAAGTTGCACACTATTTTGAGAGGGCTGTTCAGCGAGGTATTGATTCTCTTATGCAATGGATTCAGCAGATGGTGAAGATTTTGCCACGTCTTCACCCCCTCGCCACCTTGGAGAAACTGGAGTAGAAAGCTCTGAGCTTCGGACTTGGTGGTTGTTTGTCGAAAATGGCGAGGCCATTGCAGAGATGCATAGCTAAGTAGGCCCAAGTCCCAGTCAGCAGGGAGGGAGGTCAGGATGCCGTCTTCGCAAATGAAAGATTCTGCGCCTCGTTTGCCGAAACCCCTCACATATTCGAGACAATAGAAGAGAAGGCTGCAATGGCTGTCAACTAGCGGGCAGCCGTCTTGGCCAAGACTGTCTCGTCTCGGCTTCTCCTCCTCCTCCTACTCCTCTTCTTCTTCTTTTTGTGACGGAGTATCATTCTCTGTCTGCGGCAGGCTGGAAGCAAATACTGTTTCTACGAGGTAAGCTCGAAAGGTGTCGTGGATGAAATAGACTCGGTTGTCTTCCACCTTCAAGAGCGGTACCATATGCTGCTTCAAATCTCCAATAATGTCTCGGCGGATCAAATCACTAAAATCGTCGGACGAAAAGTCTGTGGTCCAAGGGTACCCCCCTGGGATTTCGTCAAGCGCCACGGCTACCGCCAGCTCAGTCGGTCTCAGGGGTCGAACTGCAAAGGCAACCCATCGAAGAGCTGCAGTCACCCAGTTGCAGTTTGCCTCATCTATGGAGCTCAGTGCACGGTTATAGAATCCATCGAGTGTTGTGGGTTGTTGTTTGAGTGCCTTCTTCAGGGACTTTCTTGTCGAATGTCTGCCAGTCCACTCGAGCAAAACCATGTTAAGCTTGACCAATAAATACGGCGAGTCTTTGGGCAGTTCTCCCAACATTTCGGTCGCCAGTTTTTCGAGCCCGTCCCATGCAGAGTTGTCAAGTGCCAACTCGTTGATCCTGCCCCGGACATGTTGCTCTTTCGCGAACAACATGTTTTCACTGCTTGACTCAAGAGCAACGTCCTGGTACTTTGTCGACTCGCAAGTTGATTGCAGTGCCACCAAGGACCCTGAGAGGAGAAGTTTGAATCGGCCTTTTGACGGTCCAATGAATCCCTCCATGCGGTTGATCGTCTCCTTTTGGAAGGTGCTGCACTGGTCTACGCCATCAACGATGCAGTATACCGAGACACTTTGGTCGTCTAGTAAGTGACTCATCAGGCATCGGACCATAACCCACAGGGTCTCCGTAGTACAAACGCCATCTTTGGTAAGGAACTTGGCAACAGGTGAAATATGTTCAAAGTAACCTGGCCGAGAAGAGAGAAGTTGACGACATAGTGAAAGATAAAGATCGAATGGAGCACGGGCACGAATATTATTCTTGTCGAACGAGAAGCTGAGATATACGGTTCTTTTGAGATCTGTTTTCTCTAGGAGCATCCCCAGAATCCGTGCCGCTACTGCAGTTGGACCAGAGCTTGAAGGTCCGCTAATGCGTAGAATCCCTACCGAGGGGTCGCTTCTCCAGGACATGACAGCATTGTTGTCGCAGATCCAGTCCACTTGGGTCGATGTTACAAAGGTTGGCCTCAACCGATGGATCTGGGAGTCAAGGAGTGATAGATGTCGAAAGAAGTCATATAGTAGCAAATTTCTGCCTAGAGTTCTGAGTTAGCTTGGCTGTAAATGTGTTGACATCATGTACGTTTGACGAACTGTTTCTCGTTGCAAGGATCCGTTGGTACAGCTCCTCGGCTACGGGTTCCCCAGGATAAAACCGCCAGAGCTCCTCGTGTGTAGTGTCACAGGGGACGTCCGTCTCATCCTGTAAACCAAGGATCGAACACTTACTATCAATCTTGCCGCTTAGTTAGCTTGACTATCGTTGCCCACCCTGTCGTTCCTATCGTCCCCTTAATGGCTTCTTACTGAGGGATGTCTACTTGACTCGTAAAAGTTGACAACGTCAAAACTGCTAGATATTGTGCGGAAACTTGCGTCAAGGCCGTCCAATCCGCCCGCTAAGCGTTGAACAAGTTTGACGGGATACTCTGGTGGTGGCACAAACATCAGAATGAGGCGCGAGCACATATGCTCCCAGGTGTTTTGCCCAGTTGCTCTATGCGGTGCGCCGAAAAAGACCTAATGATGTGATGAAGTTAGCGAACCGAGTCAAGTTTTGCATAAAAGAAAGAGATGGATCTTACGACAGTCGAAGTATTTAATGCTATATCCCGATACCGTGGCTCTTCCGTCGCTGATATGATAGCCTTACGAGCTCAGCCATGTTTGTGTTCATTCGGACCGGCCCAGGGTGTTTGTTTACCTTTTTCACAATCAAAGCCCCGAGTCCATGACCAAGGAAGACTATTGGAAGATTCTACAGATTGTGAGCGTTTGTCTTGCCCTTGAAGTCCACCTGGCTTACATGTGAGACGTTCTGAGAGCTTCGCGAGTTCCGTAGTTGTTCTAGTAGCAAGCTGGATCTGTGGTACAAAAGTCGCCTTCTGGTGACGGAGCCGCCTAAGAGGCAGAATTCGTCGAGGAGACACTTCGGAAATCGTTCAATGAGAAACTTCTTGGGATCTCCGTCTTCTCCTGCACGAGACCCAGCAACTCCAGACACAAGAACCAAGCTAGTGCGAATATCGTCAGTCTATGAGCCCGGATGCATAACCAAGTCAAGTCTCCATCCAATGTTAATTCAGATCAACCTACTGGATAGGGCCATCCATGATGAATGAGCTCGGGCTCCACGAGTTTTGAGCTACGATGCCGAAGCAAAGACGGTATGACTCTCGTGGTAAGGGTGTTTGTAAAGGGAGTGAATGCTCTAGATCAGAAAGAAGGGTATACAGAGTACTGATCCCGGACTGTTCCCCCCAATTGAGGCTAACCTCAGGGTCAGACGGGGAACGACTAATATCCCAGCTTTCCTAGGTCAGGACCATGGGAATAAGCAACTATCAATACGTGGAATGGGATGATTTGCAACGGCGTGAAGGGCAAGGGTGTTATCATACCGTGCTGAGGGGTTGATGTATAAAGCATCCGATATGCCCTGGTTCGTGTGGTTGAACAACAAGTCCACCAACGAGGCCAAGGTTCTGCGACGCCAAATTGAACTCGCACAGAAGAGGGGTTGCAATATGCAGTTTTCAGCTTGACGTCACCTGTCAGCTCTGCAGACGCAGCCTCGCGTATTGATGCAGGGTTTGACTGCTATGCCCAATCGGTCAACGTTGAGCTGTCAACTGTCCTACTGAATTTCTCCCACTGCTTTATGATATGTGATGGATTCTGTAAATTCCCGAGCTGTACGGAGTACGGAGCACTCCGTATGTCAGAGCTGTTGTTGCAAGGGCTTTCTATGAGGGCCTGTGAGTAGCTTCAAATATCAAGTAATACTTATCTTTGGTTTCTCAAGGATCTTTGCGAGCTCCATCTAGGTGAGGGGGAAATATTCGTATATGTACATGATCTTCTGAGTGTGCGTAACCTGACCTAGATGACTGAGGCATCTAGGTCCTTTGTTGTCCTGGGCTTTGATGCCTAGCTCATCGACCTCTTGGTGCTCCGTGATATGCCTTCTTTGTGCGTTTGCAGCCGGTTTCGGATAGAAAGGGGTCACGGGTTACTTTTGTGTAACAGCTATTGGAATGAGACGTGAGCATGATACTCAGTAACTCAGCCGAAGGCTGACTCTCCATTAAGTCTTTGATGCAAACTGGTTAAAAAGTTTCTCTTGCTCTGACTGGTCCCAATGGGCTTAAATTGTTAAACGGTTGGACACTTGGTGATTAAAAATTGGCCCTCATTTTATGCATCTTTCTCGTGCCTTTATTGGTTTAAACCTTTCCACGTTGTAAATGTCGCAAAACGTTGCGCAACTGAACGACGATGCTTCAAAAGAGGATCCTAACGTTATTCACTCGCATTTTGCCTCGCGCAAGCTTGATTGACGCAAATCCTCTTCACGTCTTTCATGACATAATGAGTTCTGCATATACTTATAAACTGGTTGAAGATAATTTGATTCCTGTAACCCTGCCTACATCGTCGGTGATGGTACGGCAGTGTCATAGAGCGAGGACGTTCTTTGAAGCCTGCGTAAGCCAGCCGCATTCAGATCCGGAGATGCCATTGCCACCAACCCAACGAAGCTCGGGGTTCAACTAACTCGACAGGGCGTCTGTCAATGCTCGGATGTTGCTGGAGAAGGTATCTGTCTCTACGGCTAACCGGGGAACAGCGAGTCGCAGCCAGTATCGACTACGGACAGGTGGGATACCTCAAGCAATTGGTGGTCAATCCTGACTTTAAACCGGGGGAAGAAATCGAGAAAGGTGAGAGGGACGATGGTTCTGTGGATGGAAGCCCTCTTTGCCGTCGGCTGGTGCAGCGTCCACACATCCAAGGCGTGGCGGGTCGGAGAGAAACACCATCATTGAGACCGGCGATAATTCCACCAGAAGTATTGGCGGTCTTGCATGGGAATGGCTACCCCATTGATGACAGACTCGCAGCCTTGTACCACTGCTCTAAAGTGCAGGGTGTGACATGGTATTTTAATTCTACGCCGTGTGTCTGCGTCTCAGTCAAGGCTAGGAAGAGTCAAGTATTTGTGTAACCCTTCCAATCACATCACATCAATACCACATTATGTGACGATTAATCTCACTTGGCAGCCCCCCTCCCTCGCAGCTCTGTTCCATCCAACACGGTAGTGACCGTCACATCGGCCACATCCTTCAAACCCAGGCTATCCATTTCCTTCAGGTTATGAATCTGGGGGTCTAGGCTCACCATCGACGCGCGTCCAGTCTTCGGCATCTCTGCGAGGCCAATTTCCACTGGATCAATGGGGTCATTCTTCTCCAGGCCAAACAGTGTCTTGACTTTTCCGATGAAGTCCACGTCGGCCTTGACCTTGACGGTGAAGGTGAAGGGCACATCGTAGGGGCGTCTCAGGAGAACTGCCGCTCGGACGAAAATTGGGATTCCATCTTGCTTGTCCCCGTTTTCCTCCAGCTTCCAAATAACAACATTCTCTTGTCCATCGAACCCTTTTCTGATGATCTTCTTCGCTCCGGTCAACTTGGTGTAGAACTCTCGGCTCTTCACCTCTTCCATCTCCCAAAGCAGTCCGGCTTCCGCACTGATCGGATCGATTCCCGCGCTGAGGCCTGCATTGGCACCTAACTTGATATTTCGCACCTTTTCCGTCTTGCTGAGCGCCCACTGGCCCTCGGGGGAGATGTCGTGGACAACCGGGTCCCAGTCGGACTTACCCTCAGAGTCCTCGAATTTGAACATCACTGATGCGCTCTTGAAACGTCGCCCACCTGTAGCGATATGACGCATCTCGAAGACGAGGAGAGTGGCTAGGTCCTCGCCCCCGGTCATCTCTCCATGGGTGATGCCGACAATGTTGATCTTTGTACAAAGTTGATCTCCCCGATCGACGAGAACGGGCCGGAATCTCTCATTGGGCTTGTTCTTTGTGCGGAACTCTCCCTCCTCGATAGGCTCTTCGAAAAGGTTGACAGTCAATTGATTGGCCATTCTGCTTGCCCGGATAAGTTGATGCGAAAAAGGAGACAACTTGCAGGCAAGGTGTGGCAACTTGTGAGATGGATGGGTATATGTAGTACATGGAAGAGGTGCGGATAGAAGGGAGCCTGTAGTATCAATGGCACGACTAGAATTAAATAGCATCAATTGATCTGGATCCCGATTTTATTCATACCAGACACCTCTACGTCTGCACCCTCGCTGTCTCTGCAACGGCTGAACCTGCACTTTTGCAACCTAGGCGGAATACCTAACTCGGCATGCCTAATCTGGATTGTTTTCGCTCACCGAAGCCTTTTGGTTCTGCATGCATAGATTCAGCCGTCACATCATGTTGAGGTTTGTCAGAGAGGCTCCAGGATGTGCATTATCGTTCTTCACACCCACTCATGCAAGTGATACACCCCAGCCTCATTATACCTGCAGCCGTACGGAGTGCTCCGTCGTATCTGTACGGCAATACTCCGTATATGCCGCCCTTGCCCGCTTTTGAAGACGCCTTCGCTTGGCAATAAATACCTGTCTGTGATGCAGAGTGCGCTTTGGCGCGCATTCTATAACTACACACCCTCAATACGCTCTCTGCCAAGCATAGTCGGAGACCAGCAATGAGGCTACGCGAACTCATGCCTAGCACCAACAGATCTCCTTCTTCTAGCATTACCGGTCTGACTCTATCATTTTGGACACCATGTCACAATCAAGCAGCGATAAGATCAAGATGGAAAAGCACGAAAGAGGTAGAACGCATGATAAGAGCAAAAAGGCCAGCAGTACCAAAGTCGCCAAGGGAAAGAAGCCGGGAAACACGCAACGACCGCAGCATACGGCAAACGAGCATGACAATCAGAAGGAGGAGACCCTATCTGAAATACTCTCAGATGCCTTGCAGAAATTTCCCGACACGTGCACCGAGGCGTGTAATCCGGTCAAATGCGAGCGTATGAGCTGCAAGCAGAGGCTGCATGACTTCGAGGTATTGTTCAAGACAAAGCTGAAAGACATGACGCAGAGGGCCCAAGAAAAGCAGGACAACACACTACATCTACTAGTAAAGGACAAGGGGTGGAAATCAGAGCATACAACGCCCCCAAAGAGGCTCTTTGACTGGATGCTGCAACAGCGAGAGCATGATGTCCTACTACAACGAAGGGATCCTCGCGGATTCACGCCAGTGCACAATGCACTCTACGACCATGTTCATGACTTCATCGACGTTTTGCTGAAAGCAGATCGCCTGAGCACAATCAGTATTCTTAGACAGGATTTTGCGGGCAGTAATTGCATCCATCTCGCCACGCAACACGCATCTCCTCATCTTTCTACCATGATCCACAAATGTAAGGGAGACAATGAGATTTTCATGGATGGTGATAAAACCGAGAAAGGAACGCCTCTGCATATTGCTGTCCAGGATGTCTTTATCCCAGTGGTCGATGAGGTTGAGGAGGATGATTCTGACCCCGAGGATCAAGGGCTTGAAGATGACGACCAAGACGGATTGCTCGATTGCCATGATAATGCCGACCACGATTCCCATCACTTGGATGAGGATGTGGACGAATTTGCGCTGGATTCAGATTATGAATCTTCAAGTTTGAGCGAGTATGAGACAGACTTAGAGCTTGAAGAAGTGAAGTACAGATTTGAAAACAAAGAAGAACGGGAGAAACGACTGGTCAAGATTCTCGATGACCTTGACAAGGAGGAGAACACTAGGCCAAGACCGCCGCCCAGGACACATGACGCAAATCCGGATAACCCACAGCGTATGGGTGCCGAAGATGCTGTGGATGACCTAGCCAAAGAGAATAACAGCCCATCTATACCCAAGGTTGTGATGTCTCAAGGCTTGATAGACCTACCGCCTGATCACAGCGTGCGCCTCCTTGTTGAGGTCTACCCGAAAGCCTTGATTGCTAAGAACAGTTGCAAAAGGACCCCGTACCAAGAGAGAGAGCACGTTCTGCTGAGCGATGACGTCGTAAAACGACTTGTGCAGCAGTATGCCCACAAGAAGGGCCCCCGCGGTGACACCACGGAGATCCGCGAAGCTCGTGCTAAGCGCACGATCATTGTACAAGATCCCGTGGCCCGCTACATCATGTCATACTGCATACGAGAATATAAATCTCGGGAGTTGACAATGCAACAGCTCTACAAGCCGGGTCAAGGTGAGTGTCGAGGCATTTGTCAGGCCCCAGCAGCCCTTAATATTCTAACCAAAATCGACTCCAAGAACGCCACATCGAGTTCGACCTCGAGGGCTTCCCCTCACCTTCTGTCACACACAACTATTTTGATAATCTGGGAAAGCACCTCCAGTTCGAAAGCATTCTAAGATATGTCGCTTTGCCTGTTCTGTCAGTCGAGCCTCCGCCATCAAGGAACCCGAGAATGTGAGCTATTTCTGATACTGAGCCTACGGCGTCTCAACGGCAAGGAGGGGCTAACTGACCTGCTGTCTGCCATAGCAAACAAGTATCACCCACCGAAACTCAATACGAGCTCCATCGAAACGGACGTTCCGATCTTGTGACAGTATTCGACTGGCTCTGGAGCAAGGGTGTGCGCGAGATTGTCAAGATTAGGGTTGTCGACGGAGATCTACCCCATGCCGACGCTTCCATAGTAGAAGCGTTGTATGGTTTCAACGTGAAGATGTGGGATTGGAAGAGGGTAGATCTCTGCAGCGACGTCATCTATGAGTCGTCGCCAGTCATCAAAGAGGTTTCCGTGTATTCATCTGGCAATAACGCTGTTCTAATGGGCTGGGCGAGTGAAGATGGACTTGGGAACCGCGAGAAGTTCCCCTGCGTATGTTTCGAAAATTCAACCTTACATGTGCCAAGAATCTGGTCGCTGACAGCAACAATCCTACAGCTTGAAAAGATCAACTTATTTGTCCAAGATGTAAGCCTCTCTACCCGTCCCAGGACGAATAGCGACGACTTTACTGACCCTCCGTTTGATACGTCTAAAAGGGCCTCGAAGATGACAAGAGATGGCAGTCGAACAACAGACTTTGCCAGAAGAAGATTACAGAACATGGGCTGAAGCGGCGCGATGGACATGGTGGCAAAGAAATTGAGTTTAAGATTATCATCGACAACGACCAGGGCCGTTCCACTACCGAAAACATTGAACCGTAAGTCCAATCCTTCCCTTGCGTTCGAGTCCAACCTCTCTGAACAACAACAGGGCTCCTGCATGGATCAAAAGCACCCGACAATTTGCGACATTCCTCATGAACGCCTCCAGGGAACAAGGGAAAGACAAGCAAGTCGCGCCGGTCAAAATCGCCATCATCGACGACGGCATCGATGCTACCTTGCATGACCTTCAATCCAAGATTGCCGGCGGTGCCACATTCTGCCCTTATCCTCACTCCTCCGAACTAGTGAATTCCTACTTTGTGCCTCGCGGCAAGCACGGCACACTGATGGCACAACTGATCTGCGACCTGTGCCCGGGCACTGAGCTTTATATTGCCAGACTCGAAGAGCTTCCATTGCTCTCTGGTAGTGGTCGGCGTGTAACGGCAAGATCAGCGGCCAAGGTCTGTCTGACAAACCTCCCTTACCACTATCCTATTCGTACATTGATCGACTGACACAGTGGTCCAGGCCGTGGAATGGGCGGTGAATTGCGGCGTTGACATCATCTCGATGAGCTGGACGATTCAAACAGCCGCACATGACAGCGAGGACATGAGTAGCCTCGAAACCGCCCTGAACAATGCAAAAGCAGCCAAAATTCACATGTTTTGCTCGGCTAGTGACCAGGGAGCGAACACCAAGGAAGAGTACTTCCCGGGCGACTGGAAGCAATGCATCCGCATCGGCGGTGCCACCTTCACCGGCGAGAAACTGACTTGGGTTGACGACAAGGTTGACTTTTGGTTTCCCGGTCGCAACGTCCCCTTCCTCTCGAGAGACGGAAAGTCAGTGGTATACGACTCTGGCAGCTCCATCGCCACTGCGGCAGCGTCCGGCTTAGCTGGCCTGCTAATATACAGCGCCAGGCTCATCTACAGCGGTACCAACGAGGCCAGGAACTATCCCTTCCACACGCAGACCGCCATGGCTGCTGCATTTCGAATCATGGCAAAAGGAATGGACGGCAAGTTTCCGAGGACAGACGAAGTTCTAAACAAATTGTTCAAGAATAAGATCCAGCAAGCCACACAAAAGCCCCCCAAGAGCCTGGATATGGAGACTCTGGAGTGGTCTGACAGTTCCAAGAAGGCACTGACAGATTTATTGTTGCATATTCAGGTAGGAAGTCCGATTGAAGAGGTGGTGCTCTGGTGATATTGTCTCTTGTGTCTTCAGCTGACAAACGATGATTCGCAGGGTTCATGAAATTTCGGCTTTTGGACTTAGTCAAGACAATGTCCTTGGCTGACGGACTTCAAGCCTAAGCCAATGAGTAAAATTACTATTCAACTGCTTAATCTCAGGCCATGGAGGCATGAGTCCCGAACTAACATGTCCGGGTCATGAATGTGCTGTTCGACTAACACCGTTTATTGCAGAGAGTACGGTTGCTGGATTGGCGGGAGTATTAACTTGAGATTCAACCGATAGTTCTACATGGGAGTCAGCGAATTGCTTGAATCGCCTGTACCGCAGCTTGAGATAGAAATGCGTGAGTAGCAGCGCCGAAGCCGAGAGCAGGACGGGGAGGAAGACCATCTTGGTCCCTCACGCAAGGCAACGTCTCGTCGACTTTGAAAAAAGGAAAGAAGAAGGCGGGTGGAGTCAAGGGCGTGTGCAGGCTATGAATAGAATGAGTTGGAGTCTTGGAAGAGAGATGCACATTAACCGATCATTGCTCGCTCACTTAACCTCACCCGAATAATCCCCGAATGTAGTGTAGGACCCTTAGTGTCTGGTCGTCTTTGACTCGTATTATTGATTGGTTCCAAGCCCCCTTCAACTGTTTTGTGTGCCGACCCGTGGGCTCTAGTTCGCCAATACACACAGTCTGACGATTTCAACAGCTCCGATCCGTGAGTAAAATTCTTTGTTGCCTCTGTACTAAAGCTCCTAGAACTAACGTTGGCGAGAGACATCCCGAGCGTAAACAACCCATGCCTCCACAGCGAAGCGTCTGTACGCAATATTATATCCATTATACCTGCGGGCATGATGGCAATGGGGAGTTTGTCAAGTGCGCTAGACATGTCGCAGCCGTTGAGGCCAAGTACAGTCCAGTGGCAAGGGAGGAAGAAAAGTCATCTAATCATGGGTGTGCGACCTGCAAATAAATTTCCCCGCCATGCGTCTTCTTCTTGGGGACGGATACTACCGTCGGAGCGTGTGGTTGTCTAGAGAGACTATAGACGCCATCGTCAGATACCAAATGTTGGCAAAATAAAACGCAGGCAAATCAGGACTTTTAACCAAGTGGCAAGACAAATAGTACGGTAGAGTATTCGAGAGAATGAGTTTTATAGACTAAACGCCGCCGTGGACTGCAGCCAGCCACTCTCTACTCGTTTGGCAGCAAACGTCCGTGGCCAACCCGAGTAGACCCGTCTCTATTCGTTGCGTGTGTAGGGAGTAAATTTTATGTAAGGGTTAGGACGAGGCTCCGAAAAGGCTCACGTAAAATTAGCCGGCTGCATCCAATCACTCAAATCATGCTAGCCTTGTTTCTCGCGTTTATAAACAACCAGATGCCAACTTCTTGAAGAAACTAGTTAGCCATGGCAAACGTATTTGCCTTGAGCCGGCGCATTCTTCTCCCACCTTGAGAAAAGTTGGAAATTTTACCAATATAGTAAACTCTTGGTAAAGCTTGAATTGCTAGACTATTCTTTTTTTTTAAAAATCTAACTGCTAGATTCCGCAAGGCTAGCCTCAACAAGGTCCTTGGAAATCCCAAGAACAAGTCCAATAAGAAGAGGCGCATCAGGATGTTCTTCGAGAGGAATCGTCAACGGATGTATAAGAACCTTGCGATCCGAGTCGGGAAGATACTCTCCCTTGAATTTATCAGCCCTCTTGATCTTTGCTTCTTCATAGGCTTTTCCTATCTGCATAGCGAGAAGAACTTGAAGCCCTTGGCGACTTTGACTGTCTTGAACGGGAAATATAGTAGGAAGCTCATGTTGCTTAATTTTACCTTGAATCAGGTGCAAGACGCCAAAGGCATGTTGAATAGTGACTCGGTTAATATCCTCCTCCGATGCTGTATTCGCTAGCTGCTTCATGTATTCTCGCGGAGACAATACCAAGGGGTCAATGTTTGTTAACCCCTTGGACTGCCCTAGGATAAAGGCAACCTCAATAAGGTCTGGCATTGGTAGGGGTGTCTCCCGCAGATGTTTTCCAATGCCATCCATCAGCTTGACGAGAAACTGTTGCCTCGATCTTCCTGGTAATCTTCCACCTGGTGAAGGATTTTCTTGGAAACTTCTATACCTGTCAACTGTCTCTCTAGAAGTAACCTTTTTGACAAAATTGTCATTAAACTGCTCAGCAGTCGTCTTCAGCAAGGCGGTCGAGTTGCTCCGAAGGACGGCCGGGAGACCAAGTAAAAACCTCTGCTGCCTGCCCGTGATTTCAACCGATATCGCCTCTCGAATCTTTTCAGCAGCCTCTTGGGAGTTGCCTTGGAGTAGTTCTTGATCCGAATTCGAGTCCGGCACCCGACTACTCGCATTGAGGGCCCCTATTGATTGAGCACCCTCCGATATAACCATCATGGCCTCAATAGCAAGGGCATTTTCTAGCTTATTAGCGAAGCTCCCACTTGGGTACAGGTAGGCGTGCGAGTAGATGTAGGTATACAAGCTATTCTTCGTGAAACCTTGCCACTGCGTATCACGAAGGCTTTGCATCTCCTCCTTGGTTGGCGGTTTCGGAGGAGGCGTAAAGGTCTGCACTAGAAGTCTAGCCAAGTGAACCACAACACCAATAGGGGCGAGGCCACCCAGAATCAAGGCATCTCCGAGGAAGCACATGGTCGAGTCAACTCCAGAAGAGGCGGAAATCTCGCCTCTGTTTTCTTCGGCTGCCAACCCGGTGATACAGCCTGCAAGAGGGATGATAGATGTTACGGCGGCTGCCCGGTCCAAGGCACTCGCGTCACGGACAAAGGCTGCAACTACTCCGCCAACCCACGCGGCAGCTCCAATGGCTCCGATGGCTCCGATGGCTAGAGATCCTGCTGTACCACCAGATCCAGCACGTAGCTTTGGCGACTTGGGGCCGAGAGGCTTGTAGTTGAGCAATCGTTTTCGCGCGTCTGGAATGGACATTAACCACCTCTCAACGACTCGAGTTAGCTTGAATTTTTTGACGAGCTTTGCAAACTCGTCTTGTGACACTTTCTCGGCAATGTCAGCCACCTCGCCTATACTGGTCTCCTTAAGCGTACTTGGCGTCTCAACTACAGGGTCAAGTGCTTCCCCGAGGGCGCAGAGGTTATTCACTGCTCCCAGGTGACATTGAAGCCCCTGTGAATTTCCTCTGGCTTGCAGTTTCTTCCCCCCTATGCTTAAGCAGGAGACAATGCTATGACATGTTTTGGAGGCCAAGTGTCTCGCGCCTGGGCAAGCCCTAGCTAAACACGAATTGCCTTGTGCGATATAGGGGCTCGTATTTATATGCTCGTATTTTGGATTGGCGATCCACTCCCGTATTACATGCCGTCCACCATGTAAATTGCCAAATGGGTAGGCGCCGACAATTGTTTCTGGTTTGACGCTGCCGTTGATTGCTGGTACAAACGTCTCGGTACTACCGGTATGCGTTTTGGCACCGTAGGACGCAGTGTGATTACTGCCTTCGAGTGAAAGAACGTATATGTATTGAGGCTGCTCATTTACGCTTCCATTATTACTAGTAGCATGATGGATAGCGGTAGTATCACGTCGTGTACGCGATACTAACCCTGTCTCAAAGTCGTCTAGGAGATGACGGCCGCGGTTAGGTTTGAGGCCGTCGTTGAATGTAATATCAGGGGACTGAGAATCGATGTAGAATAGGAACTGTTTTGTGCCGTGATCTGACATGGAGATGGAGAGTGGCGTAATCTGATCAAGTTTGGAATAACATGCGCCGACGACTACTGCTGAAGCAAAGAAGCGCATCTAGTTTATGGAAATTAGAAACAACCTTGGCAAGTTAGGAAGAAGTCGGAAAAATAATTATAGCGAACCGTTTAGTATTTGCGATTTGCTTCTTGTCATGTATTGCAAGAGGTGAAATATTTATTATTGCTTGAAAATGCAGATGATTGGAGGCAATTAATGCATAAATATAGCAAAGGCTCGAACGCGGTTACTGAAAAGAATCTATAGCCAGCTACGGAGTACTCGATAGAGCATGGTTGAGTATAAGCCTATAGAGACTTTGCGGCATTAAGGGATAGATTGCACTACATGCTAATGGAAAATGCATAGTATTATATAGTGTTAGTAAAAAAAAATCACGCTATGAGCGCTATTATATGCTTCAACTTTAATGCAAAGAAATCCATAGTTAAATAACTCTATATCATGCATTTCTCTGGATATTTATGCATAGACGCTTAGGTCCCTGCTGTCCCCGCCTTGGACTACTCCGTCAATACTCTTCGCTCTCTTATAGCCCAACAATAGTCTTATCAATCAATGGCGGTGCAAGTAAAAGTGTCAAGTCGAAAGTGGGAGTGAGCGCTGCCCCGGCTAAGAGTTATAGCACTGGATAAGTAAATGCTAGTCCTGGTATTAATATCCTACAAAGCTATATTTATTTGCTTTTTATATAGTATAGCACCAAGAAAGTATACACAAAGGCTAAGCTCTAAATTCTTTATTTTATCGAGAAATAATACAAGGAGACAAATTTATATAAAGTACTGCCTTTAAATTTGTAGCACCCGTTGGCAACTAAGTGGCTAGCCACTTAGTCGCTGACGGGTAGTTATATACACGTCAAAATATAGTCTCTCGCTTGTTTATATGTATTCTCAAAACGAATAAAGCAATTATAAACAGTCGTTATATCGTTACTATATTGCTCTGTAATTTGCAGGGCCTCTGGCTTCTCAGCCTCTGGAACATTAAAATAATGATCTGTTAGCTCCTGTAATCTATTATTTGCCTCGAGTACACCAGATCTAAGGTTTTCAATAGACTTTCGTACCTGCGCCAAGTCACCAATAGTTATTTGCGAAACTGGATTATTTAGTACTGGAGTCAGGGCAGAATGCGCCGTAGTTGCAGATGCTTCTATTTTCTCCACATGGTCAGCAACTTCAGTTGCCTTGGCCAGGAAAGGCCCAAAGGTTATAACTCCTCCCGTGACTGCCACTCCACCAACAGCTATACCAGCGCCGGCGATTTCCTTGGCGTGCTCGCTACTCTCTTCCTTTAGCTTGCTTGCGGCTTCCGTTGTAGCTTCCATGACCACATCTCGTTTAGCTCTATACACCTTTTGTGCAGAGTTTGCCGCGTCCCGAAGTTGCTGAAGCTTTATTTGGTATGCCTCTGTATATTCATCCTGGCCCCCCTGTTGAGTGTTGAATACGTAGGGCAGCTTTTTGTCAAGTAGCTGGTCTCTTGTGAAATTGTGCTGCCGAGCTGTATTGCGAGCATCTCGGAGATAAATTGTATGGGCGTCATGTGCTTCGTGACACTTATCCAAGCTAAACACTTCGGGTAGCGTTGGGCTCTCGTGCTCGACTCTTGGCACATAGTCTGTATAGCATTTGACGCCATGCGAAGCCTGTTCGAGAACCTGCGCCACCTGCGTCTCGTATTGTTGGAAAAGGGCGTCTTGTTGTTCTGAATTGGGGTTATTAGACTGCCCATAAATCCCAATAAGCAGAATGCTAATAGCCACAAAGGCAAACATTATGTCAAGACTTGGGTTAGGATAAAAGTAGAAGTTGTTTGTATAAGGCGATGCTTCTTTGTATAGAGCTAGACAGGTTACAACACATGATATAAATCTTGTCAAGACAAGAGTATATACAGTCTTTATTCTTTACATGTACTTGATAGCGATACTAATAAAACTAGCCTATTACATAAAAACAAGTATATACAAATAGTAGCTGTATCCAGCATTATGCCAAGTAGTAAGGCAATAAGTATTCATTTACATGCCTCAATAGCTATGAGGCGTATCGTGTAAGAGATTTCTCTTATCATCCCATTATATTCTGCCGAGTACTCCGCAGCATAAACTATAAGCAGTCTTGTTTGCATAGTATTAGCTCAATATTACGCATAAGTATTGATGTTAAGAAGCCGAGTCCAGCGTGGGTCGAATGCTTGCATTTCCCCCACTGCAAGTATTGCCAAGCAGTCTTTAAAGTTCAATGTTAATTTAAAGCCGCCGGCTGCTGTGCACAGTCAACTAGTCCTTCTGCGCACTGCGGTCTATAGTTTATGCTTATGCATACAGCGTTGGTATATGGTGTGATAAACCAGACATGTATACTTTCTGTTCGGCCCTCCTCTGGCAGCCACTTGGGCATAGACGTGATGAACGGAACGAAAAGCTCCTTCTCCTGCCCTGCGACTCGCTTCTCAAGGGTATCCAGGGACACGGGGGGCACGGCAGCGTCATCATTCGCAATCCAACTTCCTATCCGACAGCAACCCTTGTACTACTAGCGAGGCGTCTCCCCAGTTGCGAGTAGTGCGAACATGTCTGGTAAGTGCATGGGCCGAGTGGACCTGTAACGTCAACTGGTCCGGGGTATTTGACGGGGAAGCTGGGGTGAGAGGGTAAATTGTCAAGTACTTGACCAGTACGAAGTAGCATCAAGTTAGTTACTCCGTCACCGCACATGAAGTAGGTCCCTGGCTACGCCGCTTTTGCAAAGAGTGATGTGGAAGCGTATCCATCCATGTAAACTAGTCCATCCAGGTGCACTCGATATAGGGTAACTGGCTGGTCACGACCCGAAAGTTCCGATGCCATGCATGCCATTTGCATCTCATTCACGGTTGGCCTTGGGACCAGCATTTAGGCAACATATACCCCAGTCTGTAATGACCGAATTGCACAGTACACGATGATTCATGGCGCAAGATCCATTCTCATCCATGAATGCTGCCAGTCATAGCAAGCATCTACATCACTCACCCCGAACCAGTCCTGGCGCAGCTCACTTCCCTGTTTAAACTGCGCCGGGACGCCCGTCATAAACACATTGGTGCTCAACTCGACCACGGGCCGAGCGGACGGCGCTGCCAAGTCGTACATGTGCCCGGCATCGGTAGACATCCCGGAACACGTAGAAGGCGCCTCGATGCTTTGCGGGTTATCCGGCATTGGCTTCCTGATGCGCAGCTTGCCAAAATACGGCACCAACAGCTCGACATCCTCGGGGGGCCGTTGCGTGTCGACAAGCAGCTCCAGGACCCTCGCGCCCTGTTCCGCGACTCTGCATTCGAGCAGCGTCGCCATCTGTCGCAGGCTCGCAATCAGGGACTCGATCAAAATCCCATCCTCGCTAAAGACGTGCAACGTGCCGCCCGGGTTGTCGGGCATGTACAATGCGCCAATAATCAACACCATGCCCGCGTGGAACGCCTGGAAGTCCATGAGCTCGCATATCAATATCTCTGCGCCCGGGAAGTTGCGCAGGCGCACGTAACAGCGGATTTGCTCTCGGGCGGCCTCCAAAACGGACTGTCGGCTGTGTTCGTACCTCGCGTCGTAGACCGACTTGAGCATGTAGGGCAAGTGGACGAGCTTCACCAGCAAAAAGTATAGAAATTTTGCGCTCTCGCGCTGGTATGCATCCGAGATGGAATCGCTGGCGTCGCAGGGGCTCCACCACTCGACGGGGAAAAGCGACCGCAACGCGCGCACATTTTCGTCAATGTTGACAGTGGTTGCGTAGGACGGGTTGGCGCCGTCTTGGTCTCTATTGATTACATCACCGTATACTAGTGCCAGGGCGTAGAGGATGCGATATGCCACGGGCGCTTCGAGGCCCATGGGTAGGGATCCGAACGGAGTCTTGGTGGTTGTCTGAACGGCAGACGGGTATCCCAGGATCAGTGACAGCTGTCGCTCCGTCTCCCACGATAGCAACCAAATGATTCGGTGGGATTCCTTGGCGGCAGCATCGAGCCTGTTGAGCCCCAGCAATGTCGCCGTGCTAATGGCGCTTCTGGTGCAGGCCCACGCCTTCTGCGGCATGCCCATGTTGATGTACAGTTTGAACCCTAGAATGTGGCATTGCACGGCATCCAGATTGTCCTGGGGCACGCTCGCGAGCATGATCCGACAGTAGGCCAGATAGGACGCCAGCATGTCTTGTTTCGAGCATCGTTGGGGAAACAGGAGGCGAAACGAATCCGCGGGTAGTTGCTGGAGGCAGAGTACAAACCACAACAAGGATTTGCAAAATGCAGTGTCCAGAGGTGGATGGGACAGTACCCTCACAAGATATTCTTCCCCCTCAGCGTCACGGTTCACCTGAAAGGTCTGGTGAGGCTCCGAGCCGTAGTAGCAGGCCGGCCATGTGCACCAGTATTTTCGAGTCATGGCCAGCACAGACCGAATGGTTGCCTCATCCGGTATATTCGGTTGGAGGCTTGTCAAGAGACTTGGGCGGCGGGCTCCAAGGGCAGCATTGGAGCCATCATCGTCTTGTACGCGCCCATCGGCATCGCTGATCAACAGCGCATCCCGAAAGAGGTTGATCAATGGGGCATCTGACGGGTTGCTCGTCGTCGGCAAATCTTGCGCTGGGGCATTTCCTCGCGCCGCAACCGTTGATTTCGCCTGCGCCAAAGGCTCGCTCACTGCAGCTGTGGCGTGAACTGATCCGGCAAGGCTCTTGACGAGGCCCTCGAGTTGATTGACCCTCTGGCGCAAAGTCGCCCTGTCACACTCTGCTTCGTCCACCTGAGCCCGCGGCTGCTGAGCAGTGCATGCAGTGCTGTGCAGGACACAATTTTGGCAAACGCTGTTTCCTGGAGAGAAGACGCACCTCACTTTGCGTCGACGACATTCGGCACACGACTTGGTGCCCAACCTCATGCGCTTTGCGGCTTGCTTCGCTTGCCGGTCTGACATGGGAGAGGTTGTCGACGATGAGACTTCAGAGTCCACACGCACTCGGCCGAATTGTTAAGCATTGCTACGACAGGCGTAGAGTAAGCATCCGATCTCGCACCAACTCGGACGAAACCTCCGCGGCTCAGCCAATGGATGTCGAGCAATAACCGGGTCCTTCCATGTCGCCCCACTCGTTGCTCCAACACTGAATGCTGGTGAGTGAATGAGTGAGATTGCTCCTCATGACTCCTCGCACCAACTCGACCGACTGAAGATGGCTACCCTGTTTGGGCATTACAAAGACAACCACGGTGCATGCCGGGCTTTGGAATCAGGATGAACAGTATCGCTGGGGAGGCAGCTGTGATGGGAGGACGAAATATATAAAGACCTCCTGTGTATCTGTGTAGCCATGTCTATCCGCTCAGCTCAGAACAACGCCGACCATCCAGATCAGCTCCTTTTTCATTCAAAATGTCTGCCACACTTGCATCCCAACTCGCTCAAGTCACCCAAAAGCTCGAGGCCGAAGCGCCAAAGGAGATCAAAGAGACCCTCCTCAGCGCCAAAGCCGAGATTGAGCAGTCGTTTGACCCGAAGCGCGCTATACAGCCGGGCGCGAAGCTGCCACAGTTCAATCTCCCCGACGCTACAGGCAAAGTGCAATCCTCCTCGGATCTGCTGGCCAAGGGGCCTCTCCTCATCACCTTTTATCGCGGCGAGTGGTGTCCGTTTTGCAACCTCGCCCTGCGCGCCTTGCAGCTTCGCCTGCCCGAAATCGAGGCCAAGGGCGTCACCTTGGTCGCCGTCTCGCCCGAACTGCCCGACACTTCGCTCAGCACCGTCGACAAGAATGAGCTCAAGTTTCCCGTCCTATCCGACGTGGGCTTGAAGTTTGCCCGGGAGCTGGGCATCGTCTGGAAGCAGCCCGAGGCGCTTCGTCCCGTTCTCGCCGGGTTTGGGACCGACTTGAAGGCGCGCAACGGCGATGATTCTTTCGAGGTTCCGATTCCGACCACCATCCTTGTCGACCGGCGTGGCACGGTGCGAAACGTGCATGCCGAACCTGACTATTTCAAGAGGCTCGAGCCTCAGGATGCTTTGGATTGGATTGATGCGCTCTAGTGGTCATGTCGGGCGAGACCATTTTCGTAGCAGACTAGACACTTCAATGCATACAATGCTTTTTTATTTGAAACAACAATAACAGCATGTCTCTGATTAGTGTAATGTACTTGGCACTTCTCATTGACATTACTTGAGCCTTATCCACTAGCATGAACAGCGTATTCTGAGTACTGGATCTGGGGGTCGCTCGACTCGACATGGAAACGCCGCCAGATCTGCATGAAACAATGCACTCCACGTCCTCTTGGGATCAAACAGCCACCGGCCCCCAATGCCCAGTAATAGGACTCTTGGCATTCTTTCGGTCACATGGGTTCCCTCTCGTAGCTCGGCACAGCATCACGATTCACCACACACGCCCGAAATGTCCGAAAGCTAAAAATAGCAATCTGATAAGCAGCATCATTTTTGCTCCATGGATCGACGGTCAAGTCCAATGGTCGTCGGGACATTAATATTTGTGTCTGTCCCAAACCGGCTGCAAACAAACCACGCTCGGTGCTCAGCTGCCTAATGCTAGTACAAAAATTTCTATCGCTATTCCATCCCCGTAGATGGCAACTTTGAAAGCACCACCCAAAGCCGTGTGGACTTGGAGGGCCAGTGGTAGCGCTCGCCGAATACTTTGAATTTAGAGGGGAATTCAGGGGAATGGCCCAAAAAATTACGCCAATGTGAAGACGCTTCTGCCTGGTATGGCCTCCGCAGCAGCATTTTGCATGAAACTTGTTGACATGGTTCTCGGCGTAAACATGCCCTGGTACGTTGGGCCAATTGCTAAGACGACGGGTGCACCTCATCTCCGTCGAGGTAATGGAGGGTGCTTGGGTGTGTCTTATCCTTGTTTCAGAACACTTGACATGCGCGTTCTCAAGAAACAAGCTTGCCACAGGCATAGACCCGGTGATATTATGCAGCCGCCAACATTTTCGCAACGTAATGGCATAAGGTGACGACTTAAACACCCCGACAGGTGTGTGTATATAGGATATACATGTCACACATAGCTGAATAGGTGTTTAGTAAAGTGGTTCTAATGTGAATAGCTACTATAATAGTATTTTGATATTTCTTGCAGTTCTTTGCCAGATTCTATTTAGCTAGCTCACGGTGACTAGCTACTGTGTATTCGAGAGAGTATAAAACTGAATAGGATCCGAAAAAAAACCAGGCTAATAGGTAAGATGCCTAGAGGATGCCAGCTCCAAAGGTGACAGAAGTGCGCCGGGACGTGAAAGTATTGAATATACGTGATTCCGGTGCCCCTACAAGAAACAACTCAAGATTGATTTTAAACCACTGCCTATAAGTTCTGCCGTTACGCGAATCCTTTTTTGAAATCTGAATAATGTCCGCAACCTACAAGGCAAGGCCTGTGTAGTCCCAACCGAGACCTCGTGTCTACCTTTCAGAGGCATTGGTTTTACGTCAACATTTATTCTCAGGCTCCCAATCTTCCGCCATGACCGGGAGCAGGAGCCCAAAGTACCTCTTTGTCCTTGTTCCAGGTCCAACAGGCCACCAGTATTGCAGTCGCGCACAGGGTGATATTCGATTTACGATAAAGGGAGGACATGATACGGGCCACTGCATTTCATCTAACCAATAATATTGGCCTAAATGTCATCATTAATTTGCAACATTACCTTGATGGTCTTTGGCCACAACCCTGATGGCCGCATCTGGTGATGTATCTCCAAGTAGATTGAAACTATCAGGCAGTAGAAGAGATGGAATAGATAGGTTTGAGCCCTGAAAGACGCGTGAATTATCGAATTACTTTTCTATATAAACTTTGTTTTGATTTTAAAATGCAGCATCGATTACTTCCCTTTATCAATCTTTTTGGTCGCAAAAGCCATCATCCAAACCATCATAATGGGTGCTTCTCGACGCATTGGCCGAGCTTCGGCTAGTACAAAGTCCAAAAAGAAGTCTGTCAAGATTCATGTTCCTCAAAAGTCTCTCCCAGTTACTCTGCTTTCGGGATTTCTGGTATGCCATTCTTCAACTGGATATTGCCATAGTCGGGACCCTCACTCTGACCACGACTTACAGGGAGCTGGGAAGACGACGCTGCTGCAGCACATTCTCCGCACGGAACATGGGCTCAAAATAGCCGTCGTCGTCAATGACATTGGGGCGTATGTGGGCTGCATGATGCTGCGGGCAGGACTGTGCTAATTGTTGTGACGCAGGATCAACATCGACGCCGCCCTGATCAAGAAGACGCACAAACTGACAAGGACCGAGGAAAAGGTCATTGCTCTACAAAATGGATGCATCTGTTGCACATTGAGAGGCGATCTCCTTGAAGAACTGGTGCGCATCTCTCGGCTTGAAGAGTTTGACTACATCATCATCGAGAGCAGTGGCATCAGCGAGCCAGAGCAAGTTGCTGAAACTTTTGACGCTCGCCTTGCAGAACAGATGGGCGATCTAGCAAATGCAGATACTGCCATGCCACTGGACGAGAATACAGTGAGAGTTCTCAAACAAATGTGAGTAGATGGCGTGGCTCTGTCGTAGCTGTCATGGCCACTGACAGATCCATAGCAAAGCTGCGGGCGGGCTGGAAAAGTTTGCTCATCTCGATACAACGGTCACGGTGATTGATGCTTTCACCATGCTAAACGACTTTGATACTGCGGATATTCTTTCTTCTCGCCGTAATGACGTCACCCCGGAGGATGAGCGAACGGTTTCGGACTTGATGGTTGACCAGATTGAATTTGCCGATGTCATTATTCTGAACAAGATCGACATGGTGAGTTTTTGAAAAATTTGAAACTTACGAAATATGTAAAGAGGGCGCATGAAAATAACTTATACCTTTGTCCCTAGATTGACGAGGAAACGAAAACGGCAGCCATAAGCTTAATTAAGAAGCTCAACCACCGGGCCAGGATTATTCAGTCTACTCGCGGCAAGGTCGAGGTCAAAGAACTTGTCAATACTGGCTTATTCAAGCTGGACGTCGCCCAGGCCGGATACGGATGGCTGCAAGACCTTCATGAAATGACCGTGCGCGAGGTGCGGCCATCTACTACCTCTCTACAATGCGAGTTTGCGAGCTAATGTCCAATTTCACAGGTCAATGGACGCAATGTCGCCACACCCAAGCCGGAAACTGAGGAATACAACGTCCAGAGTTTCATCTACACGCGGCGCAGACCTTTTCACCCCCGAAGGCTGTTTAGCTTGATATATGACAAGTTCATCCTTCAAATGGAGCATCCCGATGAAGAAGATGACGAAGATGACGAGCTTGACCAAGACGATGACGACGAACAAGACTCCAGCATGAGCGGGCAGGATGATCCGCGTAGCTCAGAATCAGTTTCAGGATCGGAGAGGCGTGGAAGCGACTCGGAACAGTCTGACAAGAGCTCCGCATCTACAGCTCGAACCGTGCCGTCTCTTGAAGGGGAGCCACGGAAGCACACAGACGACACGGCCATGGATATCGACGTCGACATGGACATTCCGCCCAATGCAGCCATCCTGGCCAATAAGCGCGCCCACCCTACATTCAGGCGTCTTTTCCGGTCCAAGGGCGAGTTCTTCCTGGCCACCCGCCCCCATCGGGCGGGAGACTGGTCGCAAGCCGGCGCAATGCTAACGCTGACGGGCGGACGGCCATGGTTCTGCACGCTACCGCCGGAAGAGTACACAACCGGCGATAGGGACGTCGATTCTCTTGTCCAGCACGACATCCTCAAGGGCGGTGAGTGGGGAGATCGCCGACAGGAACTAGTCTTTATTGGTGAGAAGCTGGACCATGTAAACCTGGAGAAGCTCCTGGACGAGTGTCTGCTCACCGACGAGGAGATGGAGGCGTGGGAGAGGGTCATGAGGGACGATGGGCTCGATGACTCGCAGCGTGTTGACGCCCTGCAGGACGTGTTTGACGACGGGTTCCCGGATTGGATGGAGCAAGACGGCGCCGAGGGCATGGACGAAGACGGCCATGACGGCCACAACCACGGCCGCAACTCGAAACACGACGTGTTAGTCGGAAACTAAAAAGTAGAGTAGTACTCTTCCGGGGGGCGTCCGGTTCCCCTGTCGCAGACAGAGACAAGTCCAGGTGGTCATAGTATGTAATATTCCGTAGACGTTACGCAACGACGCTCCTGCTGCTCACGAATCAGATGACCTACCGTCATTTCGCTTCTTTCTTTTTTTTTCTTTTTCACAGTGTAGCCCATCTACATGACGTGGACGCATGTATGGCCTGCCGAAATTACAAGCAAGCAACACGTGGGAGCACAATACGCCCGCAGCCCCCAGGTTATCAATGACGGGTTTGCTCCCCGCGGTCCTACCACAGGCCCCCTGACCAACAGACAGTGGTGTTTGTTGGGTGTGGGCAAAAAGTCAATGAAAACAGATTGACGCTGGACGGACTCTTATCTCTGCGGCCTTGGCGCGGGCGCTCGTGTGGCTGAGTTGTCATACAATGTCTCAGCGCAAGGGGCCGGGGTTCACACAGCCTTTGGAGCTTGCGCGTGCTTGGGTCGTACCGACATTCCGCTCGTGGTCGTGAGACAAGGGCATTACTCACTGTGACGTTGTATTCCTGCCCCAAAAGGGCCGTCTAGGAACTTTCCAGCATTGAGCTTGCGACCGCCGGCGTGGGCATCTTGTGTCATGAATGATTCCGGCAACGTCTAATGGCGATCTAGTTTGCCACCCTCCACACTAAATTAAGCATAACAGAATCTTGGCTACGCACGGCAGCTCATCTCGGATGCGGCCTACCGTTGAACTTGATTAGTCGAGGCGTCGACGGTGCATCCGCACAGGGCTGTGCCTCCCCCCCCCCTCCAAGTCCTTTATACACCGGGTTCACCTGTGCGAGATACATGATGCATCCTTGTCTTCTGGGAGGGATGAGTAGCCGCATTTTTCGGCAATTGTCAGCCACACACCACCACACCTCCTTGTCAAATGGCAGCTTCAAGCCAAAAGCGCATGGCCGGAGCTTCTCGGATGACTTGCACCGAGTGCCTTGGGCAACGTACTGCCGTGAGCAAGTATTGCCGATCTCGACCGTTCTGGCGCTGATGGACATGCTCAGCCCTTCTCGGAGCCTCGAGAGGACGTGTACATCTTGTTGGACGGCATTTGTGACTTGCGCCGTCACATGTATACTTGGTCGAGCGTCTTGGCAATAGGCCGCCGGTCCACCGCTTGGGGCCGTGCTTATACCCTTGCGACAGTCACCCCCCGAATGCCTAGATATGGCGAATCTTGATGGGAATAATGCTTAATCTTTGTGGGATCGGAAACCCCTCTGACTCATCTGGGACCTCGAGCTGTCTGACCCCAGGTCGAGGCGGGAATTGGCTGAATGCCGCGGACTCGGCGGGATACGGGGGCCGAGTGTCAAATCTGCTGTCGTGGGGGCCAAGAGGCTTCGGTCTTTATTGGAATTATCTACTACTAGCAGTTACTAGACTTAATGTCCCGGTATTCACGGAACCTACTACCGTTGATCAACTTGATCCCCTGTCAGCCCGTTCCACTTTTGGGCATTTGCAAGCAGAGCCAACATGAACCCAGCCTTGGCACCGTCCAGTCCAGCCGTGTGCCATTGACGGCTTGCGCGTCGTAAATGCTGTTATCAGTCTTATTTACTGGCCTATGTTTCACCCTGTTTCCTCCTGTCGACTCGTTGCCTGAAACTAGAACCCGTCTATTAAAGAGGCCATGTCAGCCAGCACGCCATCAACACCACCGCGGTCCGCCATATCTCAACCCTCTCTCAGAAAATCGGCACCGCCGGAACTCCTCATCTGACAGATATCCGTCCTGAAATTAGTCCATCCAAAGGCGGAATAATTTTCCAGCAAGTCTCGAGCCTTCTCGGTCACTACCTGCCGGTCCTACATGTTTACTATCCCACAACGTCAGCCATGGCGGGATCATTCGACGTCGATCCGCAACTCTGTCAGCACTATGCACAGTTTGCTTCAAATCTAGACAAGCAGAATTTTAGGATAATATACTGGACCATGTTTATAACAAACTTGATTGTCTTGTTTTTCGGTTCATGGGTATATTCCAAGTGCGTGGGCAACCCCCGACTCTCGTAACGTGCTCGCTCGCCAGAGTAATACTGACATGGCATCACGCAGAGCACAAAAGGCAGTCGAGACCCTCGGGACTCATTCAAATCAACGAGCAAAAGTGCTCCGCAGATACATCTTCATCTGCCTAGGATGTTTGGCCGTGTCTACCGTCGTCGTTGTGATGGAGGCATACGCCCTTTTGGCTCTGCAGTTCTGCGACGGTGAAGACCTCATGTCCCTGTACTGGTCAACATGGACCATGCTCCAGGTTGGTTCACTGATTGCCATTGCGGGCGTCATTTTGGCCTTGTGCCATAACCTCAGAAATCGCCAGCACCCGTACGTTGCTTCGTCCACCAACCCGCTGTTCCCAACCCTAACCCTCTGACCTACTCACTGACCTACATCTAGACCCTGGGCGCTCGCATTGGGAACTCCGGTTCTCGTGATTGCAGGAATTCTGCACTTATTCCATGACTGTACAAGAAAGAGAATCAAAAAGTTGCGACGGCCAGCGGGCAGTGCATCCGACGACGGCCAGGAACCACGTATTAGCCAAGCGTAAGTGCCTCCCCAACCCACATGTCACAGAAGCCGGATGAGCATCTAACTCGGCCGTCGTAGGAATACCATTGAAAATTGTAGCCACGAAGACAAATGCTCCGATATCCAAGCCGAGTTCATTGGCTTTACGGTGGAGGGTGGCCCGATTGTGAGATTCACACAACCAGTGGCGCCGATGCCACAAGGGCAACTCTTGGGCCGCGACAACGGCGGAGGGTCGACTTTTGCTTTCCCACGGGGAATGGTTCGGTTTGAAACAGAGGACGAAATACCATGACCGGGAGGCTTCGGGGCGGGCGAGGTCACGGAACGGCGGTATACCAAGGCGGCTTACTCGACATGGAAGCTCGAGAGCCGTCGAGTGCGGTCAATAGCATAAAAGGCGTTGGGAACGGTTATTATTACTGAGCTTCTGGAGGGCGACTTGGGCCCGGCAAAAGATTGTTTTCATGCAAGCCGAGGGTAGCGACTGGGAAAAATGTTTTGTTTCGACAATGTTGCGTCATTGTGATGCTATTCAATGAAGCGACAAGGCTGAATGACTAAAGCGTTAGACATGCTTAGGTCGTATGTTTACAAATTGAGACCATTTGTTCGATCAGGTGAATCGACGTCTATCATCATGCAGGTGTTGCCATGAGAGCGGACCGCGGTAATCGCAGACCTATTGACTTGACATGAATCTCTCAGCTGTAACAGCTATTTCCGTTCTTCTAGACGCAACTCCAGAAGTCTGAGGAACTAAAGAGCCACGGGCACTGAGACACCCTTTCTTATGCAGAGCCGCAATCTTGGCCCGATGCATCTATCAATTGATTGTGCTGTTTCAGGCAGAGACAGGACTGAGCAGCAGAGTCGACCAGATAGGCGAAGTGTTAGGGGCATGTCCTGGCATCTGCAGGGACAGCATTCGCTATAACGGGGCAGCTGGGGCACCAGGCGGGCACATGTCTGGGCTGTCAACGGCCTGATGCCCCTGTGTTGGGTCCCCGGTGCCATCAATTGATGTCCCCCCAGGTGCCATGTGCAGGCTCCCCGCGCAAGTCGGCAGCTCCGGACATCGGCCTCGCTCTGGTTGGCTGGAGCGGGTTGCGACTTCCCATCAAATGGTTTCCAACTCTCTGTGCTCACACACCGAAAAAACCGCCCCAATTGCTTGCTAATCGATAAAGCGTCATTCCTCCAAGAGGCGACTTGCCAGCAACCTCTCTCTGTAATCACTCTCAGAACATCTGCCTCGACGAGTATTGATGCGCCTGCCCCAAGTTCGCTTTGCACTATATTGCTCTTACCTCAGCGCTTGTCTCAGGTATCGGTGGAGAATCGTTGCAGGACAAAACACTGCACCTTTGTTTGATACAGCATGGGCCTGGACAAGGTTAAGCACATCGTGCTGGTAAGACGTGTTGCAACATCTCATCGATGCGTTTTATGGCCCGTTCGAGCGCCGCTCCCAAGGCTTCTTTACTAACCTCTTGCTTGCATCCAGGTTCTGTCCGGCAAGGGTGGGGTGGGCAAGTCATCCGTGACCACGCAGTTGGCTCTCTCGCTATCTCAGGCTGGCCATTCTGTAGGCATCCTCGATGTTGATCTGACTGGGCCTTCTATCCCCCGAATGTTGTCCATTGAAGAGTCCAAAGTTACTCAGGTCCCGGGCGGCTGGGCCCCGGTTCCCGTTCACGGAGAGGACGCAGGCGCCGGCGTCGGCAGCCTGCACGCCATGAGCTTGGGGTTCCTGCTCCCGCAGCGAGGTGATGCCGTTGTCTGGAGAGGCCCCAAGAAGACGGCCATGATTCGGCAGTTCATCCGCGATGTTCTCTGGGACAATACCGACTATTTGCTCATTGACACGCCGCCAGGCACCAGCGATGAGCACATTTCTCTGGCGGAAACACTGCAGAGCGAGGCTGTTCCCGAGCAGGTTGCGGGTGCGGTTGTGGTCACCACGCCACAAGCAGTCTCTACGTCCGATGTCCGCAAAGAGCTCAACTTTTGTTTCAAAACGGGCATTCGAGTGCTGGGTGTGGTTGAGAATATGAGCGGCTTCGTCTGCCCTCACTGCTCGGAATGCACCGACATTTTTGGCTCTGGGGGTGGCCGTAGCATGGCAGACGAGTTCAAGGTTCCGTTCTTGGGCACGGTACCGATGGATGCGCAGTTTATTGCCTTGCTTGAGGAAGGTCGACGACCACAATATCCAGTCGGCACACGTATCAACGGACACGACATATCCTCCACTGCACCAGATGAAGGCGACACCAGTGACACCAACAGCAGCGGAAACCTTGTCGAAAAATACAAGCACTGCTCGCTCTCGCACGTGTTTAACGACATTACGGCATCGCTGACGGCGAAAATCTTAAACCAGGCTTGAGAAAGGAGCCTCGCGCTTCCTTCATGTGGACCGATCATGTCTGAATTTCCACCAAAGGCCATCAGCCTCCGGGCCCGCAAACCGGGCCAACACAAAAACACGCATCCGCCATCCCGTGGCGGGGACGTATCTTGTCGCATAGAAGAAGGCCCCGAAGCTAACACTGATATTGCCCAGCAATAGAGGCGATCCCTCGACGGGAAGAAGAGAGCCAAAAGAGGCGAGGACATGCAGGCGCCGAATGTACACCGAGGTAGCTTGTAGCTCAGCATTGGGCAATGGCAAGCTGGGCACTAGGTAGTTACTAGGCATGGAGTACTACTAGTTGCAGGCTGGGTAGCAATACGTGCATGGGGAGCAGCCCAATGCCCACCTGGTTGGTGATAAGTTGCCTATGAGCGAAAAGGCAGCACCCGTGTTGGTCGGCCGCGATAGACACTTTCCTTTTCAGTGTGCGGAGTACGGATCTAGGGTTCTAGAGGTACGGTAGCGGATGGGAGCATTTGGACAGGTGCACAAAATGAGATGCACGGATGCATGTATCCAGACAATTGGCGTGCAGTGGCTGGCTGTGCCGCCTCTCCATGGAGAGTGCAGGTGCGGGCACTTGGTGGTCTGTACGGGTTAGGCGATGATCAAAATGAGTCAAGGAGAAATTCGAGACCAATTGAGCAGATAGTCAAGTGTGTTCATGTCACGGAGTGAGTGGTGTTCGTTCTATTCTGCCGTCGTGAGACAGACGGACGGAGCCACAGACAGCCATAGTAACGAACGGTAAAAATATCTACCTAGAGGTAGGTTCCTGTGCCCCAACGATGTTTGTTTTGCTCCTTCTTGGACCATGCCAAGGGAAGAATCCAGATCGTGGACAACGAGCAAGGACAATAAATGGATGGACGGAGGCGGCATAAACTCATTTTAATGCGACGCTGAACGACCACAACCGCCATGCACCCGGTCAGCAGTCGACAGCGACAGCGACAGTGACAGCGGATAGTGGACGGCGAACGACGAGTTGATGTTTTGTCATTCCGTCTTCTGGTTCGACGATGAGTGGCGTTGGCCCCTTTCGGCAGCCATCAGCCAAGTTCCCGTCTCCAGTTCCAGTCTCGTCCCACCCACCCAAGACCAGGTGCAGGTCCAGATGCAACCACGTCCAACACGATGTGCTGCAACACGGTGCACATGCTCGGCTTGCAAAAATTGCCAAAGTCCTCCGCCGGCATTGAAAGCGCCCGTTTCTGTTGATGCCATCGAACCGGCGGGCTAGCCAAAGATGAGCATGAATGAAATGGACCTCTCGACTCTGCGGCCTTGTGGGAGCTACGGATTTCTGATTATTTTGGCTGGCAAAAGCCCCAACCCTACGTCATCAAGTCATGCATGCCCATGGCCTCAGAATGATGGTCTTTGCCACAGCCACGCCCAGCATGCATGCAGCAGCAGGCGCAGGTGCAAAGTGTGAGATCTGAAGAGATTGTACGAGATGTGAGGATGCGAGGTTGGCCAGTCCGCAACGCGGGCGAACGAGGGCCGCAGGGGAATAAGAGCACAAAAGGGCAAAGCAAGAAAAAAAAAAAAAAAAAGAAGACACGAACAAAAAAAAACTCTGTGGTCGCCCGCTCACCCGTCCAGACATCCACTTTGAAATCCACTTTGACGTCCACGTCCTCACCCACGTCCTCGTCCAACAGCATCCATCCGCTTAGGCGCCGACCTCTTTTCTTCCTTTTTTCTCCTTGTGCACCTCACACGACCAAGCAATTTCTTCGACTCCCACCTCTTCAATTGCGTTGAGCCGTGGGACACTATTCCAACACCATCTATGGGTTCTTCCCAGCCTTAAGTTTTATTCAGTTTTCGTCTGCGGAAGCCACCGCTGACCGGCCTCCGCGGCGGACCCGATTCCTCGCGAGCATCAGCCCCCTCCCCCTCGCTCAAGCGCTTTTTAAACCGCATTCTATGCGTTCGACTGATCCACTGCGCTTCCTCTTCTCTCGACCTTCCAAGTATGTCTCCCCTCGCCCTATGGTCCTCTGCCAGCCTGTCCACCTACGACTACAACTAGGACAACGACGCCGGCAAAGACTCAGCCTGCCAAGCCGTACTAGATATCCGCAACCTGTGTGTACTGACTGACTGACTACCTTCCCCCCGCAGGCCTCGATAGCACCCTTGCAAAGACAAAGGACACCAAGAAAATTACATGAAGTCGACTTAAGCCCACCGCGATAACTCGTCCTCTACTTCCTTCCAAAGCACAAGCAGATACCTCTGTCTGCTAGCTCCGGTACTTTCCCACGGGTATCGGACTACGCCTTCGACCATCCAACATTCTGTCACAGAAGTTGTTTCTTCACTCCCTCCGCTTCCGACCCCCTTAACGTCCATTTAGAGACGTTAGCGACTCTCCCATACGTCTTATTGCTGCTGGCTACGCCAGCATCTTGGGAACAACCACCTCCTGTGGGCCTACTCTCTCAGACAGACACCGCAAGGTCTGTTTGAGCGGCAGCTAGTGCTCCGCGGACTCTGCCTAGCGGGCAAAGACAATAGCAAATTGATTTTTTAAAAAAAGAACAAGAAAATAAGAGGCATTCCTCAGACTCGCCTTTGTCCAATCCTCAACCCGGGTTTAAACAGGGACCGAACCTCACCCCCAGATCTCCCTCATCATTGCTTAGCTTGGTGCGCTTCTCACTTCTCCCAGAGTGAGACGTTAATTATGGTCAACCTTTCGGTGCCCAAGAACTATACATTCTCTCCGTCCTCGGCTACGCCGCATTTGACCATCAATCACAATGTTGCTGCGGATCTGGATTCCAGCAATGCCTTTGAAGGGCCCGAGAAGCTGCTGGAGGTGTGGTTTGCCTCTGGGCCTACAGCTCTGCCCAGCTCTGCTGCACCCAATGGCTTGAAGAGCGTCCCTGCGGACACTTGGGTTGGTATGTTGGACATGGTCAATTGCAAGATTCTGTCTGTGCTCGAGTCCGATGACGTCGATGCCTATTTGCTCTCCGAATCCAGCATGTTTGTCTTCCCCCACAAGCTTATCCTCAAGACATGCGGAACCACCACCCTTCTTCTTGGCCTCCAGCGTCTGCTTCACATTGCCGCCGTCAATGCCGGGTTCCCCTTCCACAATGCCGACTCGGTCAACGACGTTCGGGCCGCGGCCACGCCCTACCGTGTGTTCTACAGTCGCAAGAACTTCTTGTTCCCCGATGAGCAGAAAGGCCCTCACCGGAGCTGGAAGCAAGAAGTCAAGTATCTGGATGACACGCTCGAGGGAGGTGGCAGCGCCTATATGGTGGGCAAGATGAATGGGGATCACTGGTACCTCTACATCACTTCGCCCAATCAAACGCTTACTCCTCCCCTGACACCGGACTCGGAGATCAATTGCCAGCCAACCCCTGCCATGACCATCTCTTCCAATGGCGGGAGCTCTGCTGGTGGCTCCTACAGCCAGAATGACGAGACGTTGGAGATTCTCATGACCGATCTTGACCCCGAAAACGCCAAGCAGTTTTTCTTGTCACACGCGAGTGCGGTCGCGAGTGATAAGCTTGCTGCTGAGGCGAAAAATGCACGCAAAAAGGCACAGGATAGCGTCGACTGTCTTACTGCCGCTACCCCCGAGGAAATTGATGTATTTGGGCACTGCGACGAGGGAGATTTCGAGACTGCCAAGGCCCAAGTCACTGAGGAGCTCACAACCGAGGGCCACGCTCTTGGCTCAGTCGTCTCGGAAAGCTGCGGACTCAACGACGTTTATCCCACGTCTGTCTACCCCGATGCCCGTGTGGACTCGTATCTCTTCAGCCCCTGCGGATTTTCTGCCAATGGCGTGGTTCCCGCTCCGCCATCCGCCGAGGACGACACGGCTGGAGCAACTCACTACTTCACCGTGCACGTTACGCCCGAGCCAGGCTTCTCCTTTGCATCCTTTGAGACCAACGTGCCCGGGGGGCAAAAGGGTCGCACCACAGCCGAGATTATCGAGCACGTGGTCAACATCTTCCGCCCCGGCCGATTCAGCGTCACGCTGTTCGAGGCCAAGGGCCGCGGCGCCAATCCTTACGGCATGGGCGACGGCACATTCAAGAGCCTCTCCATGCAGCGCCTCGTCGACCCCGTCCGCGGCTACCGGCGTGTGGATCGCATCGTGCACGACTTTGAAGACTATGACTTGGTCTTTCGATTCTATGAGCGCGAGGACTGGCTGGGCGACAAGGCTGCTCGCGTGGGCGAAATCGAGTGACTTGGTGACTCAAGCAAGGCATGGAAGTTTCCTCGTAGTGTTTTCGTTTTCTGGAAATCATTGACCTTGTTGGATCAGGGTTGCAGGTTGATGATGACGTTGTAGTCTGCTCTTCAAGCTCAGTTGCGAGTCTAGCCCTATACGCTCACTCACTGGATATGTACGACACAGCAAGTACATTACTTTCTGGCGGGCAACGCCAATGTCCGTGCTCATTTTGTATTACTTTTATGAATAAAATCCAGTTTATATTGCTACGTTATAATTGCCCGTCTCTTGACTGAACAATGCCGCTCAAAACAAGCTATTTCTCCGTCATGGCCGAAAACTCTTATCGATAAGAACACGTGATGGCCCTGGCCGAATTTTCTACCCCCTGCAAACGTCCCACCCCCATCCAGCCCGCTAGCGCTCCATACTGCCACACTATCCCAACTATTTTTTTTTTTTTGCTCAAGCATTCGGCCATATAGCTCGTCGGTTTGTCTTTTTTAGTAAACAAAGTCACCAATTCGCCAAAAACAAAAAAATGCATCTCATGTACACCCTCGACGCCGGCGGCAACCGCCTGTACACCCTGAAGAAGGTGGCCCACGGGCAAGTCACCAAGTCGGCGCACCCGGCTCGCTTCTCGCCCGACGACAAGTGGTCGCGGCAGAGGGTCACCATGAAGAAGCGGTTCGGCCTGCTTCTCACGCAGCTGAGTACGTTGGCCCCCGAGCACTGGCTAGAATCCGGGGCATGCTGACAAGTCGCAGAGGAGGAGTAGGTTTGTCCGCGGACGAACGCAGTGCATGATGAGGGGAGGCTACGCGGCGCTGGCACATTGGATCGAGGGCGATTTCGAAATGTCAAAAAGAGAGAGACGGAGGGGTGTTTGTATTCCTGCCAGGGACGATATTTGCGGCTGGCTGGCGTTTGGGTCACTGGAGTTTATTGACGGCAATATAATTTACTCTTTTTTTTCTTCACCTTTTGTTGCTATGAATCTTGGATTCAGGAGCACGTGTGCTGTGTGAGTGTGAAGACGAGGTGTGTTTGACTGGCTGGATGAATATCTACGTTAAAAAATATGCTTTAATGCTTCCTCTTTGAATTCACATTTCTGCCCGCCCCGACGCGTACTTTTGCCGCCCCGCCTGACCTTTTCCCGCTCAGAATGCCCGGCAGGTAATCCTCGTCCATGACGTCCTTGTTGCGCTGCCTCTTGTGCTCCTCGCTGGCCCTGACGTACTCCTTTTGGTCCTCGGCGAGAACCAGGTCCCGGCCCCAGCCGTTCTTGCCGCCGGCACCCTTGGGCAGCCGCCCGTTGGCGGAGCCGTGGACCGCCTTGGGGACGCTGTAGACGTTGCCGCGCTTGTTCCACTGGAAGTTCTTCTTGAGGTGGACCTGGAAGTTGCCGTGCTGGTCGGTCGAGCAGCTGGCGCGCGTGAGCGTGGGCTGGCCGCACTTGGGGCAGAACTGCTTCTCCATGTCTTTGGTGATGGCGAAGCAGCCGTGGCAGCGGAGCACCCAGTTCTTGAGGTGGGTGATGCGCGAGAAGGACGGCGTGACGAGGTTGATGTTGATGCGGAGGGCGACGTTTTGCATGGCGTAATCGGACGTGAGGATGGCCGCCTGCAGCGTCTTTTGCGCCGGCTGGGACGGCGTGCTGCCGGCCGATTCGGCAGCTTGGTGTCTTTTCAGGTTGGACGGCGTGATCCAGCCTTCGTCGTCGGAGTCTTCTTGCGTTTCTGGGATGTCTGGATTGGCGGCTGGCGCGTCGGTAGTAGATGATGGTTCTCCTGCTGCGGCTTCCTCCTCGGCTGGGGTGGCATTTTCTGTTGACTGCAAACTTAGACCGTCTAGCTTGTCCTCCAGCGCCGGCGACTCTGTCTCGTCACCTTCTGCCGCTGGAGGGGCTGCCAGATTTCCAAGGTCATCCTTTGGCGAATCTTCAGCATCAGCCTGGGTCTCCGCCTCTTTTGGCCGCCCATTCAACCGCTTCTGGACGGGCGTGTTCCTCAGCCTCCAGTCGCCGCCATTTCTCTCACACTCAAGCTCATACCCGAGTGCGATGACCTCGATATCAGGCCTGCTCAGCACCGCCAAATCGCCCGTCCGCCTCGCAAAGTCTGTCACAAACTTTATGCTCGCGGGGCCGGGTGCTCGAACAGTAACAAACGGCAGGAGTGTCGTCTCGACTCGCGCGCGGGTGGCGGGGTCCCTGATTTCGGGGATGACGGACGGAATCGTGTATAGTTTTTCGGCCTGCGAGAGGAGTGCGCTGACCGAGGGGTCGTTTTTGATCAACGGGCCTGTATCAAGGACCAGGCTGTGGATGGGCTTGAGGGCCGTGGGCTGCGGAGCAGAGGGCTCTGCGGGCGGGGTGGCCATGGTGACGAAGCGTCGAAAAGTCACCGCAGCGCCTGCAAATTGCGTATGTTAAATAGTACGGTGTGCAGTGTGAGAAAGGTATTCCGGGAATATTTGCTCGAATTGTGGAAAAAGGCCACCAGATGCTGTTGGTGCCGCAGTAATGTTGATTTGACTTGATGGTTATCGACGTGGGGCAACATTCTGCCCACGGCGGCCCAAAAAAAAAGTTGCGACATGATAAGGATAAGAGTTTTTGTGGCATCACGTGGGATCTTAATGAGCCCTCATCATTCTACGGAGAAGCAATGACAAGTCATATGCACGATTATAATTGTGAACTCTCGTATGCTTCAATGCATAAGCCATATTCCGTACAGATTTGGCAATGACTCAAATTGCAGAGCACAGCAAATCTCTAACGTTTCGCTCTGCTCAAAGCTAAATACCTCCATTTGCAGGGCCATCTCCGTCGTGGACGCGTCCAACAGAAAAAGAAACCACAATATTGTATCCTCTATCTAGCGATATGCACCCGGTAACTAAACGAAATGAACGCTTCTAATCAATGACAAGTTTCAAATTTTACAGCTTCGACGCCCGCTTGTCAGACTGAAACAAGACACTCGAGTCGGGATAAGGATCAAAGGTGATATCGTTGAGGGGGTTGACCTCGGACGCCCTGTGGAACATGTCCTCGTACACGCGGCCGTCGTACCGGCCCAGCGAGCTGTCGAGCTGCCAGTCCGAGAACTTCCAGGCGTCGACCAACTTGACGGCGTGGGGGCGAATCTCCTTGAGCAGCGAAAGCGTGCGCTTGGTGCGCGCCAGCTGGATCTGGCGGACGGTCGAGGCACCGCTGGTGAAGAACTCGGAAGCATGCGACTGCAGGTAGTTGAGCGCAAAGAGGTGGAACAAGCTGCGGAGCATGGTGGTGGTGGCCGGGTCGAGGGACGAGGTCGTGGCCTGGTCCTGGAGCGTCTCGTAGAAGTTCTTGACAATGAGGTACTGCGCAAAGGCCGTGGACAGGCGCCAAAAGTCGATGAGGAGGCTGTTCCAGGCCTGCTTCTCCTCGTCTCGGTGCTTGAGGGCCTCAAAGGTCAGAAACGCCACCCTCCAGGCAAACGCCTTGACGAGATCCTCGTCATTGTCGAGGATGTCGAACGCGGCGCCAATGTCCTGTCTCGCCTTGAATTCGGCCAGGACGCCGGAGATGTCGTTGGACGCCGGCTTGCCCTTGAGGACGGCGCGGGCAGACTTTAGCAGGTAGCGGGCGACCTGCTGCGTGAGCATGTAGTTGTCGCCCTCCCAGGTGACGGTGGGCAGGTAGTCGGCGTACCAGCTACCGATGCCGGAGAATGCAGAGTATCCGTGGCCACCGCACGCGCGGCGGCAGACCTCGAGCCCTTCTGCGGCAACGGTGGACGAGAAGGCCTTGAGGGCGCAGGACGTGGCGTGGAGGTCGGGGAGGATGTCGTGGCTGGACTTGGAGGCCGGGCCGGCCAGACGCTTCTGGTTCTCGTTGTACAGCCTCAGCATGGCACGTCCTGTAAAGTGAAGGGCATACGTGGCCGCCAACAGGGGGAGGAGACGGTGCTGGACCATGGTGTAGTCGATGACCTGGTTCTCGCCCAACTCATCGTTGGTGCTGTCACGGTCTTGGAACTGCCGGCGGACGGCGCAGTAGCGAACGGCAATGGTCACGCCTCGAGCAAGCACCGACCCGGATTGCAGGACAATGGTGGACCGGATATAAGTCATGGTGCCGTAGACAAGAGCTGGGTTCTGGGGCCTGATGTACTTTCCGGTCTCGGGGTCCACGCCTGAGAAGCGACTGAGGAGGCTGATGTGGGGGACCTTGACCTTGTTGAAGAGCAAGAAGCCGTTGTCCATGGTGTTGTAGCCAAACTTGGGGCCAATGTCGCCGACGTGGACGTTTGGCAGGGGCTTGTGCGTCTTGAGATCGCGAATCTGAACGACAAAGGGATGGGGGCCGTACGTCTTGCCATCAATGATGAGCTGCGCAATCACGACAGCATGGTTCGCGGCCTTTCCGAGGGAGCCGATCCACCACTTGGAGGCGGTCAGGTGTGGTGAATGGATGGTAAAGGTCTTGTCCTGCTGGTTCCAAGTGGCCGTCGTCTCAAGGCCGCGAACGTTGGAGCCGTGACCAAGCTCCGTCTGCGCATAGCAGCCGATGTATTCGTAGTTTTGGGCCTTTTCGAGAAACACCTTGTGTTGCTCGGGCGTGCCCTGTTCCTGCAACGTCTTCATGAACATAGTGGCATGGAGGCCGTAGGGCGTCGGTTCGCTAATGAGGTCATTGGCGACGGTATACTCGTCCTGGTCCCATTGATGCTTGACCGACAGCTGTCTCAACGCCTTGCCCCTTGCCAGCGCGGCCTCTATTCTCTCGATGCGACCGTTGAAGTAGTTTTGGGACTTGTCGAAGACGGGATGGGACTGCAGAATCTCCAAGATTCTTGCGTTTCTCTCGAGCGCCTGGCTGGTGTGTAGAAATTCGGCAAGCTGGTCCACGTTGACATTGGACTTGGCTCTTTCCTGCTCGAGGAGCTCCTGTCCGTTCAGGCCTGACGGCTTGAGAGCCTTGACCCAGTCGGGATTCGGGGGAGGCATGGCGAGCTCTACGAACTGGGTGTTTTTCCAATGATTTTGGGGGTGGAACTGAGTACTATTCCGTCAAGTCAGACACGTGTCTCTGAGAAGCTGGAAGAGATGCCGTAAAGCAAGTGGTCCGCAACGTTGGTGTTATAATATAGGTTTTTTGGCAGAGTATCGGGGGGGAGGGAACGCTAACGCCATCCCGAGGCTCATGGCAATAGCTCGGCACGACAACTCGCGACATGGCGGTTTGCGAGGTCGGAGGAGTCGGAATTATGTACCATGTGGGGCAGCATGAACCCAAATGGCTTCCTTGGCCCCTTCGCTGACGATGATGGTGAGTGAAACGACGAGGAGCAGGCAATGACATGGTGGATATGTCGGACAAGATTGGTGAAATTGGCGAAATCACCCTCGGCACTGACAGCAGGCTTGGCGGCACAAGGCGCAGCTTGTGAGTGTGGATTATATTTGCATCAAGTGCGATTGATAACGGTGTCATGATGGATGCTTGCGTTTGCGTCGTCTCTCTCACAAGCTAGCTCGGGCCGGATCCATCCGTGATGTGCAGCCAGACTCCAATTCCCATGTGCTCACTCCATCGTCCATATCGATGCTCCGCAACGTGAATGCCAGAGTTTTCGGGGCCGCGTATTATATAGTGCTGATTGTGGAATACTGCCTTGCAGTTGTGCAATCCAAAGGAGCGCGTGTTGTGTTCCAATGTCAGTGGCGCCGTCTTCAAAGTGCCGAGGCATTGTACGGAGCCCCGACGCCGATACCGACCGACTGGGTAACCAGGGAAGGATCGAGCTGTGGTGTAACTGTCGCACCTTCCACCTGCGTCTACCGGCAGGCGTCGACTGTAGGGAGGCTCCGTAGGGCTGATGGTACACCAGACGTAACACGGGTCCGGTACATACGGTACCTAAGGAACCTAGGTGGGTATTACTTGGGTCGAGGTACACAACCCGTCATCTTTCAGGTTACCAGGACCATGGAGCACCATTCTCTCGCCTACATCTAATCTGCTGCCAAAAGCAAGAAATAGAGCAGAGCAAAACACAAAACGTCAAGTTCAAGATGCCGGAAATCATGGCTCCGCAACATGTCCCAAGGCCAAACCTCCTCCAAAATGTGGCTGGCCGTCGCACATCCATTACTACACCAGACTTCATCAATCTGCACGGCGAATCCGTTCCGAATGCAAGCCTTGACCCAAAGAATATCGAGGCGCAATTACTCTTGGCCAGAGTACGCGACAAGATGTCTTGCAATGCGGCTTCATTGGTCCAGCTCAATCGAATGGTCTCACTGCTGCGCTGTGCATAGTCAGTCAAGATGGCGAATTCTGTAAGAGTTGGTCCAATACATTTGCTCAACTCCCCATGATTTTGCATCATAGTTATCCGGCGGTGCAGGCATCCCTCCAAGTACCGGCTTCCGTCTGCGAAGCACGACAACATGGTTGATGTCCGAGTACCAACAGGTGACTTACATTACAGCCAAGGGAACCTCCTCTAACTACCAGAAAATGCTGAAAAGGGGAATCTATGGATGACTACATCCCCTATCAAGTCTAAAGGCTTTCCAACAAAAAGCTAGTATCAAGCTCTCATTCTTCAGTTACCTAGCGAAGACCTAGCCATCTAGACAGTGTACTGCATCGATGACCCGAAACTGCGGCCAACACACGTTCTTCGAGAATGGAGTTTCGTAATGGCGCAAAGCAGCTGCAGTCTTTCTTCTGCGAGCTCTTTCTAATTGAAAGGCCTCGAGGAGGCTTGTTACCGGGCTAAAAGCTGCATTTCCAGAGACGCAAGCGCGCAGTCGGCAACCAGGTAGCTATGTGCAAGCAAAGCTATCCTCTGTCTAGTCAAATCAAGATACGCTGCGAAACTCCTGAGCGACTGCTGCGTAGTGTCTTTCAGCCTAGGCATCGCCAGAAGCAAAGCTCGTAACCAGAATTAAGCGCAACTCCAGCCCTATTAGCACATATGGTCAACTCCTAAATACCAGCTGCTGCAGAAGGAAAAGGCGACTACTAGCTTCTGTCAGGCACCATGAAATATCTCACGTCCAACTCTATCGAGGCGAGCCGTTGAGACGGAGCCGTTCGAAGTAGAATAACAGTCCTCACCCTTCAAACAGCTTCACGTCAACCCGTTCATTACTTGACTCAAAATCCAGCCTAGCTTATTCTCCAAACCTCTCCTCTTTCTCGGCATGTAATCCATGCAATTGGCTCTCTCGTTAGTAAGGTCAACCCGCCGCACCAGCACCAAGAGAAACAAAGCCTCGTGTTCTTTTTTTTTTGGCACGAAAATAGCACTGCCCTTCCGGGGACAACATGTCCTTGCAGCATATTGTTGGCAATACCTTTGCCCCTTCGCTGTAGTCGCAAATTACTAGGTGATTTGCGTTTTCCAGCGATAATACAGCCTTTGTGCATCAAAATCTGGCATTATTCAGGCCCATTTAACGAAAGATGCAAATATGCTATTAGAAGACCATTTAAGTGCATATTCCTGCGACACCGTCTTATCTGTATCGCGTGCGTAGGACCCCTTCAAAGCTACCGGCACTCTTTGATACTTACCGCTTCACGATTTGTCGACAGTAAAACGAGTAAGTTCTATCGTATCTATGTCGCCTTCGTGGCCAGCTCGAAATTAATGTGTTTTACATGTTGCTCAAGTCATATTTCCTAACACAAGGGTAGGAGGAAAGCCGTACTTGGCTCTCATTTTTTGACTTCATTATACCTGCCATCTACCAAAACATAGCAAGCTTGTATTTTACAAATGTCTCCGTGCCGTAAAGTAGAAGACGGGAGTGGATATACATCATCTCGCATGAGCCCTTCATTATGATGACGCTGATCTCAAATTGATGCAAGATCATAACAAAATTGCGGGAAAAGGGGGTCGTGTTCGATGAGCTTAGAACTTCTCTTCTTGCGCTTCAAAATTCGCAGTAATGTATAGACCTCGGGGTAGCCTGGGAATCAGTACACACGTATTGCTATACGCCGTAATGCCTTCTTGCTAGCCATGATTATTCTCTACCCTATTCCCAGATCGCGCTCGCATCTTGCTGGGAACGATGTGCCTCCACACACAGCACATTGTGGAGATGAGGGTTGGAGAGTTGAAATAAATCAACAATAATGGTAGCTGTCCTACCAATGACTAGAGCTACAAGACAACATATCTGGAACCCTCCATGCTCGCGAGATCGAACCGTGTTGGGTGTTCAGCCAACCATGGTCTAGGGTAGGCTCGACGCATCATGATTTAGCCCTGTGCTCTATGAAATGTACTCCACGAAACACGAAATACCGACGATCCAGAGATCGTGGAGAAATCGACGTTCCAGATCAACTGTATCTCTCCATTCTCCAAGATCAAACCGTGTACTACTACATACAATTACTTGGGCCACGTTATTGCGACCCATTAGCGGAACAGTTCCCGCATCTGCTCCCGCACTCTCCATAGCCGAGACTAAGCGTATGCAAGGAACCTGGGTTGCAGAATATGCCAAATACGAAAGACATTATTCGTTGCCTGACATGTCAAGGTTACAGAAACCCATAGCGACAAGGATCAATCGGGGTAAAAAAATCCTTGAACGGACGAAAAACTGGCAACACGCATTCATACTAAGTAGGCATGTACGCAAGTTGCGAGTGCTCGTCCCCTCACCATCTAGGATCATCCAACATTGGGGATGTTGCATTGTCACAACTCCACCTCCAGGTTTCCCGCTCTCGCGACCCCTGAATGGTTTACACTTTCCAAAAGGCTCAAATTGGTGACAGCGTCTGACAATTATGGAGAATCGGAGGGAGCAGAATTCGTGTACGTACTAGTCGTGCCTCCTTGATGTCGGAGGCCACCATCCCCGTGGGGGTTACATGATGACTTGGGTCCATCTAGATCTCGACAAATCGATGGTTGTGGACCAATGACGAGATCAAGAGGAAAACGAGGGCTACTCGCAACTCCATATGCTGTGGAGCTCACTTAAAGATGTAGATGTACTATGTAAGAACCTCTGCAGGAATAGGAGGGCGTAAATCAACTATGAAACGTGGTGAAGAAACATATTGGCAGTTAGGCCGAGCTATGCCCGGCCGGGCTGACACCTCATTGCTGTGATACGAGTACAACTCGGAAGACCCGGAATAGTTGACACTGAAGGATGAATGCAGCTACGTGAGCGATGAGCGATATAACTGCTGCGTTGGCGCTGTCTCAAGATTGCAGATCATGTAGAGGCAGTTTGGTTGAGCTGCGCAGGCGAGAGCAACGGCACCTGGTTATTTTACTGTTGGGCAGGCCACCAACGTCGAACATCTGCAGGAGTTATCACAAAGATTTGGTTCCAAGAGTAGAGCACGGCGACGAAAGTAATCTCGCAGGAGCAAAAAGAGCACCGACTCTCGGCCGGCGCTGGCAGTTCACCATTAGTGCAATACAAGTAACAGGTCTGTGGCCTGACACAGCCGGTGGAGTAGTAATAGTCCTCATGTACGGAGTACTACTCCGTACATATGCATAGTATTGCCTTTGGTTATGGAAGTGCTTCGAGAGCATTCCGAAAGTGTCGTAAATCTCGCGGCCAGGCACACTTACAGGGAACACGACGCTGCAGAAGATTCGATATGGGGCAGAAGGCCGTTGCGAACTTGCAAGTGGTCGCTTGTTCAGCGACCGGTCCGCGGAGGACAGGGAAGTCAAGGGACCAAAGAAGCAAGATCCTCGTCGACTGCGCGCGGCACACCGACAGACAATGCAGCGCGTGTGACTGGTGTCTCTCCGTCTCTGCATCAATGCCTTGTTCGTACTTTTCGAAATTTTCCAGAAGCCTTCCCTGATTTCGTGGCCCCGCAGAGGCCAGACAGCCCCCGGCAGAGACGATGAGGGAACCATGAGGTAACCGAATAAGGAAAAGACCGTGACAAGGAGTCGAAAATGAATTGTTGTTTATGGGTGGAGAGGACTGGAGAG